CTTGCTGCCCCTGGTAGCCGCATGATCCTCTCAATGTCCAAGGCAATCGCCCAGTATGCATAGCGGCGTAGTCGGTTGAGGACAACAACTGCCTCTCGGATCTGGTTTGCAATACTATCCCTTTCATCTGCGTCCAGTCCGCCTTTCCTTGCCATGGAGGCCTTAAGGGACTCAATTGTTAAGGCCTTGATATGGTGCTTACTGCTGTAGCTGTGATCAACCTTCGTAGCATCCTTCAAGTTCCTAATTGGTGCACCTTCTTTTTTAGCCCTGTGAGGCTTCTTGCCTTTGTGCTTCCGCTTTTGTTTTTTCTGTTGCTTCTTTTTTGCCTTTTTCCGACGTGGTGGATGCTTAAGGCCCGGCCTATCGTGCTGACGGCAGTTACTGATATCAACTGTGCGCCCATTCAATATGCTCGCCTTGTCAGAAAAGATGGGCCGGAACTGGCTCCTATGTGACCCTTTCGCTATATAGAATGATGGTGTGTCTCTACATTAGTCAAGAAAGGGACTAACGATTAGTATTGGGGACGTTTGGTTTCAAGGTCAAAACTATAGCTTGAGCTTTCTTACGTTCTGCGGCGCTTGCCTTTGCTGAGCCATTCTATGGCGAAGATCCTTTCCATTGAGTAGACGCTGCTTGAAGTTATCGAACTCATTGTTCGATGGTAACGCTTGGGCCGACGTTTGATGGCCGGAAGTAAAAAATGCGGAGAGCTACTCTGAAACGGCCTTCTTCAGAGGCTGCGTTCCTTCCCAACACCTTACTAGCTTTCCTTAGGTAGTCCCGAAGCATTTTATTGTAGTTCTCGTTCCACGCAACGTTTCGAATTAATCGAAGATTATTAACCGGGCCTAACGTCTCGAGGTTCCTTGAGTAGTCATTGCCTGCGATGGCACAGAATAACACCAGATGCGCGTGTGATGGCAGTCTTAGTGCTTGGATAACGATGTCTATATCGTAAACCCCAAACTTCCGTCTACGGTGCGGAAGGTTGACTCTCAGATCCCGGCAGCAATGGCGGAGATAGGAGTGATGTAGTTGCATGCGCTTATTGCTTGAAGTAAAAGCTATCTAAGCACCCTTTCTTACTGGACGATGCCTTGTTAATGGTGATATTGCGCAGCGCCTTGTGGATGGAGGGAGAGCAGAAGCGAGAGTGGTGGTTTTTGGCGGTCGTTTGGTGTGTGTATGTGTGAATTTGATAGTTGATACCAATCGCCAAAACATATGCATCTAGAAATACAGAAGCGAGATTAATACCGACGCGTTTGAGTTTCTTTCCTTGAGATTGTTATAACCATGAGATGATTGTGGAGTGGCCGCCAAGATAAAGTTTGTTTGGAGGCACCAATGGAAAACGCTTGTGTTTTGAACAAAAAAAGACCTCGCGATGTAAAATGTGTTTATACATGTACAGAAACCAAAGAGATGCTTCAGCTGCTTATTCGTGCACACAGTGATTGACGAACAAAAAAGGAAACAAGATTTGCGACAATAAAAAAAAAAGCCCGCGATGAAAGAAGGCATGTGCAGACAACAAATAAACACAGCAACTGTTTGCTCACATACATTTTTTTCACCGTTGTGTCTGTATCTCTTCTAAGCTTTCTGTCTGACCGTTTAACACAAGGAACCCTCAGAAAAAGAAATACCTCGCATTATTGGTGCCAGGTCTGAAAACAACAATAATGCAATGCTGTACGTGGAAGATAGGGTCTAGAAACTATACCATTGATCACAACTGCTACTCATGCTCTCTTGCCAAGGACTTGAACAGGCATACCAACCCCTTCTTCCTTGCTCTCATAACCGCTCACATCCTTTCGATGCATTCTTTCACCGTTTATGTCCACTACATCTGAACCACACACAGTTCACCACTCACTCCAACAGAGATATTTGTATCACCTTGGGTATGATATGTTGCTGTGGCTCCCTCTGGTTTCAACAGGCCCAACAAACTCTATTAGCAGTGCTTACCAACCCAGATACATCAAGGGAACGCAAGAAGACGAGCAAGCAAACGATGTGACAAATCAAGTCTTGCCGGGGCTGTACAGGAAAAGATCAAGTTAGTCAAGCTCTATGGTGCGGTAGAATGAATCAACTCAGATTGCCCTCCTTTCAAGTCGAGACTACGACTACGGCGGCGAATATTATCACTGCTATTACACTAGTCAATAAATAAACGATACAATGGACCCCCAAGCGGATGCTAGGGTCATGCGAAAGTCTTCAAGAGTTTTTTATTTGCACAAATAAAGAAGCCAGGATAGCTCCATGACAATTTAGTTTCGGTCATTTATTTCGACATCAAAATAAAATTTCAAGACAATGACAATGCCCATGAATTGCTGGATTTTAAGCCAATTTATAATGGCAAATTTGGACGAAGGGATAAGAGCTTTTCACAACCACATTCGTTGCACTTTAGCGTGAGAAGAGATTGATCACTGGTTGTTATATTGTTTGTAGTACATGCACTTGTGACTAAACTCCGTGAACTATTGCTCTATTTGGAATAAACGTGCACCCGATAAGGTTGGGCGTCTTGACAACAAACTTTATCGCGTTATTTTGCACATCGATTCTTAAATCCCAAAGCATTTAGCTGGTGCTTACCTCTAGACCATACCTAGACCTTGCTTAGTTTTCTCTCTTTTTTTTTTTTTTTTTTTTTTTCTTTCTTTCTTCCTTTTCTGGGGCCTCAGCGATTATCCTTTCTCTTTCTCCCGCCCTCATGCCTTATCTCTTCTTTTGTTGCCACCCTCAATTAGACCCTCCCACATATACCGGCATGCTGCCCTTTCACTAACCCTTCCCCTTCCCTTCACCTGCAGCTCTCCTGACGTTTAGTCGAGTTTTTTTTGTTTTATTTTTGTCTGTGCCCTCGTAATGGCCATGGCGCCAATACTTATTACCTTCTTGGGCAGCATGCAGCATCTCTTTTTTTTTTCTTTTTTTCTTTTTTTTATCTGTGCTGAAGGGGGGCGTAACCCCTCATCCCATCAGATATGTAAACATCTCGCCATTGAAGTATTTCGCCGAACCAGTGACCTCATTGCTGCACGCATACAGTTTTTTGTATTTTGAGGCATGTGTTCTAAAGTCTCGACCCTCCACAATATCCCTTGCCCATCATACAGGCTCTCAAGGAATCCCTTCATCCTCTATGTCTTTTTTTTTTTTTTTTTTTTTTTGCAGGACCATATTAGCTTCTCATGCTGCGTCTTTCGCTTGTTCCAAAGAAAAGAGACAAGAAAACAGGAAAGAGGTATGTACAGTTCAGTTCACTTTTCTATACTTCTTTTTTTATTGCTATCTCTCTTCTCAGTTCTATCCTTACTGCCATATTACTCTTATTGCTTACTACATCTTTTTTTTTTTTTTTTTTTTTTAATCCTTACTTCCGCACATTCCAGTCCAGTCACTCCCATATTGCCTGCCTCCCTTAATGACCGAGAAATCTGGCCCCTCTCAATGGCAACTCTAATTCCTCCGAAAGCTGGTGAGCCTATCTTGGATGTCTCTTCTTCTCCCCTTCCCTTCCCTTCCCTTCCTTTCCTACGAATGACATCAACGTGGTCGTTCCCGGCCCTGTCTCTCAAGCCAACGTCTCCTTCTTTTCCTGAGACATAACAGCAACAATAAAAACAGCAACCGCAACAGCAGCAGTAAAAATAATAGCATTCAGATCAAAGTCTATCCACATATTCAGGCAATCTCGATTCCTTTGGGACTTTGTGTCGAAACCTTGTTTCTGTCGGTAGTGATCACAAACCTTTTTACGCCGCACATGCCATACAGAAATAATCATGTAGAAGAGAAGAATGAAACAAAAATAAAATATAAAAAAAAGAAGGGAGCATTGAAGACTGCAGCTGTAAGGACAGTTGAAGATTGCGCCGCTGATTAACAAGTATCATTGGGTCCATCTCATGAGAAGAAACAAATCAAGTCGACCGGTAGTGTCATTGGAGCTGACAGTGGTATCGATAGAAGAGGATCAGACGGCGATAAGGAAGACAAATGTGATCATGACAGATCAGAGCTGGTAACAGTCCTGATAGGCCACATAGCACACATCTATTCCTATCGATCCAGAATCGTCAACATCTGCGTCTCCCTCACACCAATATTCTCGCTGTAACCGTTGCCGTTCAGCTGTCAGGAGCCATGGAGCATTCAGAAAGGAGTTCAACCATCTCCTCTTCGGGTGTTTACTACGTGTTTCTTTAAAGGACTTTTTTATTATTATTGTTAGCGGTTAGGAGTGACTGATTTCTCATCTTCCCATCCGATTCTTCCCTACTAAACTTTCTAACAATCGGGAAAGGAAAAAGTCTGCCAAATAGGATATGCCAAGTTTGCGTATGACCTCGACCGACGAGGAAGCTTCCATAGCGCAAACCACCAGAGTTATCTGGACGGCTACCGCGAGCAACAGCAACAGCAACAGCAGCAGTATAAAAGTAGTTTAGGCCATGACGATGATAAAAAAAAATAAACAGAGTGGAAGAGAACCTCCTGACTTTTCTTCCTCCAAGAGCCTTCTTGCTGTCTTCTTTCTTATGTTAATCTACTTCAACTATCATTACTTATTGAAACCTCATAGTACAGTTTGTCAAGCTAATAGAATAGAGCACCACCATTGTCTAAACAGCATTCATAAGTAATGTCAATCTTCTTTATGAGCTTAAGTAAAAAAAAAAAAAAAAGAAAAAAAAAAAAAAAAAAAAAAAAAAAAGCGAAAAAAAAAAAAAAAAAAAAAAAAAAAAAAAAAAAAAAAAAAACAGAGAAAGAAAAAGTGATTTTATATACAATGAGTGGAATGGAAGTGGGGGAGTGATGGGAGGAGAAATTGAAATGTTTGTATGCGAAAGTTATGGTCAGAAATGTCAAAGAATGAAGTATATAGTTAAAATGGATGCCATGATAAAGTACATAATGATATATATATATAAAAAAAATAAAATAAAAAAAAAAAAGATAGAGCAAGCGAGAGAGAGGACGATAATGAGTCTTAAACAATGCTGGTCATCATAGCAGTCGCAGATGGGACCGGAACAGGTCGTACTATCGAGGAAGTTGAAGGGTTTCCGGGATCACCACCTGGGCTTATTCCCGCAGGACGATCTCGAGAATTGACAGGACAGGGTACATTATCAGCATCGAAGCTGAACGTAGGTTTCCAGATCCAAGACAAACCCCAAATGTGCAGTCTCCCGCCTACAATAAGATTGATCCCTGGAACCATCACCCCTTCATCCAACGAGTCGAGATCAACATAGGTGCATGCTTCCACTAACTCTTGAAGAACTTTGTCAGTGCTGATATCCATCCGATAAGATCTGTAATTAAGTATCATGGGAATCGATATCACTTGATCGACTCGGGGTTGGATTACAAACGAGGATGCCATGTCGTCATTGTCTGCTATTTTGGTCCGGTTGTATTGGAGCCATACCTAAAATATTTGATAAATATATATTAAGAAAAGAATGTGAATACAAGCTTTTCTTCCATCATTGAGACTGCTGCTTGCCCTTTGAAGTAGAAGAAGGATATCAGGAGAGAAAGAATAAAACTTACAGTCATTTCAATAGCATCGATACGGATGGGCACATAGTTGCTCTTGCTATCGATCAATATCTGGATTGCAAAAGGTTCTCGAATCCGGTCCTTAGTAATCACAGGTGGTCCATTGGGTGTGACAGATTCGAACGCGAAATAGGGTGTCCTAGGTACCAAAAAGTACAAGGCCAAAGCAAAGGAAATGAGGAGTGCAAATGTGAGGAAGACGCAAGTCCGTGTTGTGCAACAACAGCATCTTTGCGCTTCATGTCCTCTTCGGATTCGATCAAGGCGGCGACCCTTATGATTATGACCATATTCATCTCCGGATTCATCTGCCCACTGGCTCCTTCTACCACGAGAGCGACCGCTTCCGTAGGAGATCCCGCTTCGAGATCCCTTACTGCGGGTCCCATTGTTGTCGGTAGCGCTAATGACTCCCAGCTTTTGGAGGATTACATCATTTTCTTCCTCTTCAATCTTGCTAGGAGCCTTCTTGGTTTTTCCAGATGAATCCGTTTTGGAGAACTGAGAAAGTTGAGTGGTAGACTGTGGCTTGTCTTCCGTTCCTGTGGAGAGGTTGTTACTGCCCATGGCCATCATGGGTATATCGTTACCTAAAGGCTGTGCTGCCTCTACAACTTCGCTGGATTTAATGTTTCTTTGTTGTCTTTTGACATTGTTCGTGTCGAGGCCTGTAGCTGAGAGTGCTTGAGTTGATCCCTGGCCAGCCAGGTCTCGCGTCGAGTACTGTTGACTGTTGTTGTTATTATTTTGCTGTTGCGGTTGAAGTTGTTGGTGGCTCGTGCCTGAAAATCGTGAATCGAATGAGGATGAGAAGTCTTCGTTTGGGTTGGGTGATCCGGTTCCTGATCCAAGATAAGGAGAACAGTTTGATTGATTACTAAGATGGCTACTGTTATGGTGAGGATGATAGTGGTGTTGTTGAGAGTAAGCGGAGCGATAAGGATCTGCTTTATTGCTACTACCATAGTCGGATGAACGCTCTCGCTGCTCCTCAAAAGGAAACCCTGTGGGAAGAGGTCCCAATCCTGGTGAAGAGTATGCAGCACTGGATCGATAAGCGTCCATAATGGACGGGGAAGGTAAGGGTTGATTGCTGTATGGCTGATAAGGGAGATAGGCAGGAGATTCGGGTCGGGCACTATAGCTCGCCGCCAATAATATTTGGCTTGCAGCCAGTGTAGGTGAATGGCGATGATGATCCTCGCGTTGCCCCACTGCAGGTGGTGGAGGCATAATTATCATTGACCCTTGGTCGTTTATTGAGAGTGTGTCTCCACCAGACTGCGACCGTATCTCATGTACCTCTTCTGATGAACCATGGCCTGAATATTGAGACGGAGGTGCTGATGGAAATGTACTGTGGCCTTCGCGCATGGGTGACTGCGCATGGTAGTCTACATGAAAAAGGGAAAAAAAAAAAAAAAAAAAAAAAAAAGTCGTTAGATATGGAAGATGAACCCCCTAGAAGATAGCCGCCATGACTCGCGGAAAAAAAAAAAAAAAAAAAAAAAAAAGAAAAAAAAAGGAGAGGGTGGGATATGGGAAGCGATTCCTCTGTTTGGTCTTTGCACATAACATGCATGTACACGAGTCCGTTGGCACGTATTGACACTCCAAAGGCCTTTCCGTTCCTTCACAACTGTTTTAAAAAACACAGCAGCAGGATTTGGAGCTGCTGTGGTTGTTATGCATGGACACAGAGTCAGGGTATCCACAAATTATCATGCTACTCCCCTTTTTATTCTTTATTCTTTATTTATGCATCCTTCTTCTCAATAAATATTCAAATGGACTCTCTCTCACACATATCCGTGTTGGACACTGGATATCAAAGATTTTAGAGGTGTAATAACATGGTAATAGATAATAAAGAATAGAGAATAAAGACTAATAAAATAATTATAATTATAATTTTTATAATAAAAGCCAGTATTTGGGCTTAATGGGAATCATTAAAATAGAATAAACAAATAAAAGTAAAAGATAAATAATAATAGTTTGGTCATTTTAAACCCTTTGCAGCATTGTGGTTCCCATCTTCAACACTTTTTGATGCCTTCTTTGCTTTCAAAAAAAAAAAAAAAAAAAAAAAAAAAGCGCGACTTTTTTTTTTTTTTTTTTTTCTTTCTCCAGAGAGAGATCACGATGGTTTGTCCTACCAGAACGTCGTATTAAAGAAGACAAAGAAAAAAAAAAAATTCTCGCCTCAAATGAAACGTGATCCTTATTGTTGGAGAAGTACATGAGAACATGGGAAAATGGATGGACGAACGTTGAACAAATGAACAAATAACACAAATAAATAATTGATAATGATTGAAGCTTTGATAAGGAAAACAACAGGGAAAGAGATTGGGGAGGAGAAACACATGAGAGCAGGAGGAAAATGAATGGCACAGCACAACAGAACATGACAATCACCATCGATAAAATAGTAAAATAGAGGCGGGTAAAAAAAAATAAAGTGTGCAAAACATAAAGGAAAACCATTCTTGAATCGATCGACTGCAAAAAAACATAAACATTCACTCATATACACACACACACCATCGGTATTGTTGAATTAAGCTGAACTGAACTAAGCTGAATTGCATTCTGATAATCTTTCTTCCTCCTTCTGCACCTTCAATTCCAATCAATAAGGTCAAACGAACTGTCTCATCATTTATTTGGATTGTAGCCGATTTTTTTTTTTTTTGGAGTTCCCGGTCCTTTTTTTTTTTTTTTTTTTTTTTTTTTTCTTTCGTTAATTCTTTTTTATATATATATACATATATAATTTATTTGTTCAGGTTTGAATTTCATCTTACCGTTCTTAACTCTATTGGCAGACACACCTGGCTGACGCGATCGGTAAGGATCATAAAGCGACGACTCATAGCTTGGTATCCGTCGTGTGCTAGAGACCCGCTGGTGTTGATGATTTTTAGGAAAAGGAAGTAGACTACCTCCTGAGGCTGCCAATGTTGGCGTTATGGGCATGGTGGGTGTGGTGGGTGTGTAGGGTCTATAGGATGGATAATGAGCATTGTATGAGAGAAGCTGGGTCATACCAACTCCAACTCCTGTTGTTGCTGCTACTCCTGTTCCCCCATTTTGAGATTCAGGGTTTTGGTGTTCCTGTCCCTGAAGTGTTACATGTTGATGTTGATAAGGAAATGGGTATGAATACTGTTGTTGTTTTTGAGAGGGTGCACTGTTTAGACTTGAAGAAGAATTGCTGTTGGAGATGGTTCGGGAGAGAGAAGGACGATGGATGGCAGAGTCTTTGAGGACAAGATCTGGAGGTGTAGGTCTACTACTGTTATTCTGCCGTGTCCGTGCAGATCGTGGACCGATTGCAACTGACATTGCTTTGTAAATTTATTTTGAAGGAAAAAAGAAAAAAAAAGCCTTGGTATTTGATATTTGAAAGAATAGAAGGAGTGATTTAAAAAAAAAAAAAAAAAAAAAACCACGAGTAATAATAGAGGTAAGGGAGAAGGAAAGAAAAGAAGGATTATGAGACAAAAGGAGGAAACAAGAGGGTTCGACAAGAAGCAAGAAGATTAGGAAAGAAAAGTGGGAAAAAGTGACAAATCTTCCTATTCGCCCGCTCACTCACATTCACTTTTTTTTTATTTTTTTCCTGTCACAACACGCGAAGGACAAGAATAGGTCGCCACCTTTAGAGTTCTCCGTGCGTGCGATTGTAGGAGTGAATGGGGTAATCGATTAGCATATACAGACACTCAGAAGACTGTTAGTTGTCAATTTGGATGTTGATTGGTATAGGATGTGGTATGGTTTTGGGTGAAGGTGTGAAGTCAGGATGGAGAGAGGAAGAAATTCAGGAACGGGCTATTGTTAGTGTACGTGAGAAGCGCGAGGATAGTTGAAAATGTGGTTATAACAAAGAATGAAAAAGAGAAAGAGATGATGATGGGGAATGCACAAACTTTTGAAAATGAAAATGAAAGCGAAGAAAGAATGGAAAAGAAAAACGAAAGTGACAAAGCTTGAAGGCAATATAAAAAAAGAAGCGGGAAACAGGTAAAAAGTAAATTAAACACACCAGCTGCAGTAAGAAAGATAAACAAAATGTATAAAGCCATTAAATGGGTCAAATGAATTGAATTAATAAATATTTATATATCTCTATGTCTATATCTATACGAATGGAGGGACATCCTTACACACAAGTTGTCAAGCTACCAATTTTTCACTTTTTCACTTCATCATCGTTTTTGCATTTGCAGTGCCACAGCTTCGACTGTTCCTCTACTCTGCCTTATAGATGAGTATTCATTTACAATCATCGTCATCGTCATCGTCATCATCTTACTATTACTATTGTTATTATTGCTATTATTATTATTATTATTATTATTATTATTATTGTTATATGTAATATATTAAATATTTTCATTTTCATTTTCTTGCTCATATCGATCTTCAATTGAAAAAAAAAAAAAAAAAAGTCTTTTCAGCTTCATTCACGAGGACAATCTTACTGCATCCTCAGATCCTGATCCAAAATCAGAGTCAGATCCAGATCCAAATAGAAAAGAAGAAAAGAAAAAAAAAAAAAGGATTCTACACTCCCGACTGGTCATGATCTAGCTATGGGGATAAAGTTTTGTCATTACGACAGTACTAGATTGATAAATAGAAAGACAGCCATGGTCAGGGTGAGAGATGGAAGGTCTTGGATTCGCCCATCGTCTTCTCATCTTCTTGCTCACTCGACTCGCCCTTTTTTTTTTTTTTGTTTTTGTTTTTGTTTCCAAAGGGAATTTTCTTATCCAAGATTGAATAAAAAAAATAAAAAATAAAAAATAAAAATAAAAAAAAATTCACTTGTGCGGGATATGTGGAGCAAATGAAAGATGGTTGGGACCCCTGCTTTTCTTATTTCACTCGTGGTTCTTCTCCTTCTTCCCATGAGATTCAACCAATCAAGGACCAATCGCGCTTTTTTTTTCTTTTTTTTGTACAACGGCACGTTTTACCAAGAAATAGAAAGGCAGGAAAAGAGGAAAAAAAAAGTAGACGGATACTACAACATAAACTTGTAAAAAAAGGCCATTTAGACTATGCATCTTTGATACTCACTCCTCCTTCTTTTTTTTTTTTTTTTTTTTTTTTTTTTTGCTCTTTCTTGGGACCCCAAGCAATAGGCAATTGATAGTAAAAATATATAAAGTAAAAAAAAAAAAAAAAAAAAAAGGGAGCAGCTATCGTTTCAGCGTCATCGTTCAAAGAGCTTTCTGCCTTCAGTAAGGCGACCCTAAAAAGTGGAGAGCATCTACATGTATTATATACATGTGCTCTATTGTCTACTGTACAGCGCTACAGCAAAAATGCAGTCGATACCAAAGAAATGTCACGTTGTTCAGAGCGTTCTTGCTTCTTCGCTTCTTCCTGTTTCGTTCGTTATATATTATATTATATATTATATGTAAATATTTATTTCATTTATTTATTTTTGATAAACTATTAATATTACTGTCATATGTCGGTGCAGTAAACTTGGTATACATGCAAATGCAATTTAGTTGTACATATCACTCCAAGTCGCTCTGCCCAAACAACTGGGCTACGATGGTAATAACCATATTGACAGTAGCGAGCTTGCTTCCAGAGTGGACCTAATGAAAAAAATAAAGTATACAGATATGAAAAAAGGAAAAATCCAGCAGAAAAATAGATTAGCATATATATCTCTTTTTACCAATAAGCATTAAACACTATCAATTTCTTCTGAATTAAAATAGGGCTTCTTTGTTGGTCAGGGAACAGTAGGACCACGACCGTTTTTTTTTTCCTGTATTGCGCAATCTATGGTCCTACTGAACAAGCATTATTATCAAACAATTTTTTTTTTTTCCTCCCCCTTCCCGCCTGTGCTATTAGATACTAGCCAAGTGGTTACGCACGCATGCATTTAAATGAATGCTTACGTTGAGATGTGATCGGATTCGTGCGCATTTTTTAGCCATGCTCCTTAGGATCGACACTTGGTCCGATTCTAGTAGAGGATCGAGCTTCAGGAACAGTGCATAAAGCCATTTCCCCTAGATGTTTAAAAAAAAAAAAAGGGCGGTAAAAGATTACCAGTTTTCATTTTTTTTTTTTTTTAGTACACTTGTACCAATAGAATATTAGATAATAGCAACAGACTTTACAGCACAGACGCGACTTTCTCTCACACACACACATACACACACATCCGTCTCTCACGTACAGACTCTCCGTTTGCTAAAATTACCTGATGATCTGTAATGTCGTCTTCAGCCATCCATCGTAAATGGTATTTGAGTAACTGGATTAGATATCCTTGGTTCAAACGTACCAAGAATAGAGGATGTGGCATCATCCCTTGTGCTTTTGTCAACTTTGATGTTGCAGGTACTGGTATTGGCAATGGCAATGGCAATAGTGATGGTGAGGCTAGTGGTTGAGACAGTGATTCTACCAGAGGCCGGAGCTCTGCTGCTGCTGCCACTGGCACTACGTCCGATATAGATGCATCTTGTGGAGCCAACTTGACATCTTGTTGCAGTGATGGTTCTTCCTCCTCTGTAGGAAAGCTAGCAGTAGCTGTCATTGTCGTTGCATTTTCTATTGATACTGTCGTGTCTGATAGGAATGTCGATTCCTTGATATCTACCTCGTTAGGAACTGTTACCACGCTCGTATCAACAGTAACAGGCGTAGCAGCAGCAGCAGCAACAGTTGGAACCCTTGTAGCTCCATATAACAATACGCGCCATTGTTGCTCATCAAACATATGTGGCAATGGTGTATCATGTGACGCCATAATCAAAAGAGGTATAGACTGAGTCCTTTGTTCTTGATCACTACAGCTCTTGGATGACGATGCGTTTCTTTTGTCAAAACGATTTCTTTGAGCCAACAATGACTTGTATTTCTTCAAACGCGCTCTTTCCAACTCAAATTCTTTCATGAAGTTCTCCTTCCATTCTTTAATGGGGGCGCAGCCCTCTGGCGCAGGCCGGCAGGAGTTCCAATCTGTCTTATATTTTAAAGATGTGTTCTTGGTGGAAAGATACTCTTGTGCTTGGGGAGCTACCACAACTACGGGGAATGATTTTGCTTGCGCTCTATTAAAAGTGCAAAAATAAAAAAGTTAAAGTCACGCAGTACACGCATGGGTGAGAAGTGAAAAGCGAGTGCATGCAAAACGGTACCTAACCATGCGCAGGTACTCCTCTCCAGAGCTAGGTAGTATATCATCCATTGCGAAAGAGAGAAAAAGATGAGCCAAAGCTGTATTCCTACAGGTCAATGCAAGTCGAGTGAATGAGCTTCCTCATTACACAGTACACTTATTCATTCTAGAGGGTAACTGACATGGATGACCCTTAAATTAGGCAACATTGATTAACAGTCACTATTTGCTTTTTTTTTTTTTTTTTTTTTTTTTTTTTTTTTTTCAGAAAAAGGATTCGCCATCAACCAGTGTCTCTTTGCATTCTCTTTTTGAGACAAGACAAGCAAGCTTTACTGGCTCTCTCTCTCCTTACCGTCTCTAAAGTCATTGTTACAATCATCTTTTCAAGACAACCGTATTCGCATTTCATAAAATCTCCATAATGTCATCTCTTCGCAATGCCGTTCATCGGCGGAACCACAAGGAGCGTGCTCAGCCCCTGGCTCGTCAAAAGTATGGTCTTCTTGAGAAGAAAAAAGATTATGTCGCTCGTGCACGCGACTATCATTCCAAACAGGATCGTCTTAAGGCTATGCGTGAAAAGGCAGCGTTCCGTAACCCAGATGAATTCTATTTCAAGATGATTAATACCCGGACTAAGGAGGGTGTTCATATCACGGAACGCAACCAAAAGTTCTCCCATGATTTCTTGAAACTCCTCAGCACTCAGGATCTGAATTATGTGACTCAACAACGTGATATTGGACGTAAACGGATCGAAAGGATGCAACAGAGCATGGTTCTTTTGGATGATGTGGGTGATGCACCTGGAGAGTTTGGAGATGATGATGAAGAACCATCCGGATCATTAAACAGCGGCTCTAGTTCGATACAAAAGCCGAAAAACCATATTGTCTTTGTCGATAACGAAGATGAAGGTAGAAACCCCCTCCCCTCCGATATGAGCTTCTTTTTTTATTTTTTATTTTTTTATTACTATTATTACTATCATTGTTATTATTATATATTAACAGTTCCTCATCTATTGCTCTTTAGTCAAGAGTTTTGATCCCGCAAAACACTTTGATACTGCACCGGAGCTTGTACACCGGAAATTCAACCGACCTAGGACAGAACAACTGAAGAAGCAATTGATTGCCCCGCATGTGAACAAGGCAGAGGTCAAGGCCACAGCCAAGGAACGTCAACAGGCCATGAAGGAGCTGATTTCAAGGATGGAAAGGGAAGAAACAATGTCAAAGTTGGAACAGGAGATGACCCTTCGTAAAAATCTAATGCTCAAGGGCAGGAGACAGAAAATTGGTGTGGACAAGGATGGTCTTGCAAAGTATAAGTGGAAGGCGGATCGTAAGAAGTAATGGTAGAAGTTGAAGGTCTTATTGGGGAGGACAAGATAAGGCAAGGATCAACTGTTTTACTTTGTACATTAGCAATAAAAATAAAAAAGATGTTTAAAAAAAAAAAAAAAAAAAAAAAAGAGAAAAAAGTTTTTATCTGGCAATATCATATACGCAATAATTTAGATCTAGTTAAGATGATTCGTTGTTTTGTTAGATCTTCAGGCCAAGTCGCTTGGCGGAAAAGCGATCCAGAACTTGCTCTTTAGTAAAGAACTCTGTGATTTCCTTCTCAAACTCAACCGGCCGTTCAAATGCTGCAAAATGTCCTCCCTTGGGGAACTCATGCCACGACTGAATGTTCATCCAGTCACTATAGATAAAAAAAAAAAAAAAAAAAAAAAAGAAAGAAAGAAAGAAAGAAAGAAAGAGAGAGAGAGAAAGGTTAAATTGCATTTACAGATCAAACTTTTTGCAGTTTTTATAATGCAAAGGACTTACTCTGCCCAGGCCTTTGGAACCATGAAGAGCTCCTTATTCCAGACACCGACACCGACAGGCACCCTATGAGGAACTGGACTCTTGAGCATCCATTCAACGTCTTTATTATGATGGGCTTCGTAATAAATCCTCGTCGATGAGGTGATAGTCCCTGTGCTATGGTAGATCATGATCTGGGTCAACAATTCAGTCTTGGAAAACGGCCAAGTCTCTGGCTTGTGCGGATCCAAGTCCGCCCAAGAGAGATATTTTTCTCCCAGCCATGACAACAACCCTACAGGAGAATCATGCAGTGCGTGGCCCAGCGTCTGGGGTTTAGTCGCCTGGATAAAGAAATAGGCTCCCTCTTCTATAGCATAGGCTTTTAGTGCCTCAACCGAGGCTTGTTCACGAGGATGGTTTCTGTATATCAGAGAAGGGAAAAGAAAGCCTGTGGCGGCTTTTAGAGATTGGAAGGGACGAGTCCAAGGTCGAGGGGGGAGACATGGAAGCATATTGATATGAATCGCTAGACAGCTATCCGGATAAAGTGTTGCGAGTGTTCGAGTAATAATAGCTCCCCAGTCACCGCCTTGTGCCAAATAATACTTGTAACCAAGGTACTGCATCAGCTCATGCAGCGTCTTGGCAATCTCTCGGACGCCAAACTTTTTCTGCGAAGGTGCTTTAGGAAGAAGGAAATAATAAAATATGTTATTGGTTTGAACGGTATGATACAAAGCGTATTCTTTTTTTTTTTTTTTTTTTTTTGTTACCTTGGCTCCAGCCATATCCAGGCAAAGAAGGAACAATAATTTGGAAACGCCCTCTCTTCTTGAGCAATTGGATTGCTTTCCCAAACTCATACCAGGATCCAGGCCATCCATGAATCAACAATAACGGCATGATCACCTCCCCTTTTTCATTGGCTTTACTCTTACCAGCAAAAGCCTTGGCTTCCATCTCTTCTCCTTCTTCTTCCGCCCATGGATCATGTCTCACATAATGAATATCTAAGCCATTGACTCGACAGGTCCAATGTTCAAAATCTCGGTTCAAATGTTCCAGTTGCTCTTCCCAGTTATAATGGTGCAACCATTCTTGTGTCAACATCTTCACGGTCTTGGTGTCAATCCCATATCCCCAACCAGCAGACTCGATTTCATCCGGATATTCTGTTGCTGCCAACCGAGCCTTGAGAGTCGACAAAAAGTTATCCGTTCCTGGGCCTTCTGTGGCTCCTGTGGCCTCAGCTCGGTCCTCTGTTCTGCGAACCGAGAGTTTTAACCGACGTGGCACATTAAGGTCCATCAATTCAGATTTTTCAGTCTGTTGTTCAAACCCATTAGAAGTTTCTTGTACTTCTCTCTCCAACATATTGGTTGAGTCCATCTTCTCGTGGATGGAAACAAAGCTATCCTCAAGTGAACTCTGGTAGGGTTGTTGTTGTTGAGCTTCCATTTTTTTTTTTTTTTTCAAATGGAGATGACGAGGTTTTTTTTCTTGTTTTCGGGTCGTATACTGCTTTCTCGGATTTTCTTCTTGGTTAGGGAGGCGGTTAGGAAGGTGGAATGAATGCGCAAAAAAAGAAAAAAGAAAAAGAAAAAAGAAAAAGAGACTAAAGGAAGGGGAAGTAAAAAGAGGAAAAAATAAAGTGAAAAAGGTTCGGCTTGCTCTCCCCTAGTCTCGGGTGACTTTTTTTTGTGGAATGTGTGTGCATTTGAACAATCACTGAGCAGGGTTTTGTGGTGGTACGAAGGCAAAGACCTGTTGCATGTTACATAAATTTTGATTTCGCGTTTTTTATATACATCTATGTTTTTTATTCCTTTGGAGTATTTTCATGCTAGAGAAAATGAGCGAGACTTTCTATCAAAGATAAAGTATAACCATGAAGCGTCGTATTACGGGATAGTAATGGTCCGTAAAATATGAAGATTGTTTTGCGAGTATAGGATGAAAAAAAAAAATAAAGTAAAAATGGAGAGGAATAAGAAGGTGATGATGGTTGGGTCGATCTTGTTTTCAAGTTCGTGCGTACTTCTGATAGCTCTATGATCCTCATGTAATGATACAATGATTAAGGCGAACATTGTACAAGATACTCCCACATACATCCATTCATACATTCCCTCTTTCTCGTTCACTTGAATCCTCGTTAGTCCTTGTAGTGAGCAAGTTAAAAACTAATAACAAAATAAAAATAAAAAAATAAAAAAAGACGGGCTATGGATGCTTGCTTCTAGATGTGCTTGGTCTTGGTCTTCTTGACATTGCCATTACTGACAACTTTGCCATTCGTGGCTCCGTTTTTCTTGACTGCCTTGGCCTTGGATTTGTAGGTCTGGATATAAAAGTTGATGAAGAGCAGGAGGTAACTGGACAGGAGAGCACAACCAAAGACGGCAGCACCCTCGGTACCAGCACACTTGCCATGGTTGGGCAAGTAGGGGGCGTAGGTGAAGGAAAAGTAGGTATAGGCGCAGTAGTAGATGATCCCAAGATCAAGGACGAATTGGATGATCTGGAGAGTGGTGAGGTATTGCTTCCACCAGATGCGAACACCAGCAGCGGAACGCATGTAATAGTAGTACATAAAGACATGGACAGTCAAGTTGAGGACAATGGGAACCCAAGAAACAGAGGTACGCCCTCCGAGCTGGACAAAGCAGAGGACCATAGTCATGGAGTGGTGGAAATAATGCAGGAACTCTATCAAAGGAAAGGATAATTTACAGCACATGTTAACCCTTTTGTTCTATTGGACTGGGAAACCGGGTCAAGGGCTCCTAATCTTTTTTTTTTTTTTCCGACAGCCAATCTCCGGAGAGTGGGAAGAAAAAAAAAAAAAATCAAGCCCAACATATTGAAGAGGACGATGGGGGAGAGAGCGATTGACTTTGATAATAAAGAAAAAACATTCTCACTCCGGAGTCCTGGTAAAAAGTTCTGCGCTCTTTCTTCCTTTTATCAAGCAAACACATTCTATGATCAAAGAGTTCGTGAAACGATCAGGTCGCACAGACACAATTGCTTCTCCCAACAAATAGACTTACCAAGTGGCTTCTTCTTGAGAACAAGGAAGACAGTATCAGCCAGCTCCCAGTACTTGACCAGATAGTTAAGATAGTACAACAACTCGAGACGCTGAGTCCAGGCATCATCGTCACAGATAGCATAGAAGAGGCCATGTCGGGCAACCATAGGGACTAGGTTCTCGATGAATAAGAGAAGCAAAGCACCCGAGGCAACCGTCAACAAAAAGTTGTGGAGAATGAAAAGGTGCTTGAGCTTGAAGGGCTCCTGATTCCTCATGAGCTCACGGCCACCAAAGATGACGACAAGGTAGGTGATAGTCCACACAATAACTTCATTTGAGGTCGAGAAAGGTGTAACACCCTCTTGGAAGGCGAACGAGTCAATAGATTTTCCAGTGACGAACTCATAGGCTTGATTGAAATAAGGATCGAGCTTGATACCGAAAGGTTGATCAATGCTGAAGTTGACCTTGTCCAGGAATGTGGAAGCCATTTCGAAATGCAACAAAAAAAAATTGCTGGAAATGCAAAGGAAGAAAAGGAAGAAGAGTGATGAGATGAGAAAGAAGAGAGAAAAGAGGAACTTTTTAAAAACGAAGGCGGGGTTTAATTATGATTATTGCTTTTTATTTATTTTTTTTTTAGACATGGCATTTGAACCAGAGGAGTTTTTTTTTTAAATACTGTCTTTGATGATCGAGTTGATTTGGTGGCTGATTGTCTGAAATGAGGGCTTTCGTGCATGTAGAAAATCATGTTACTGCGACTATTTCGGTATCTTTCTTTTTCCGGGCACATCAAAAGGAAAAACAAAGCGTGAGTGTGCTTCTTTTCTACCTTACTTCTTCTACATGTATATACTTGTACTGTTTTCGAAAGGCCTACATGCAGAAAGCAAACGATCGCTTACTACCTACTTTTTCTTGTCGATCTACATTCTTAGGACAATTACAGTTTCCAAGATTCATACCCAATCAATGCAGTAGCGGTGGTCCGCTTATCTTTTTTTGACATCAGAAGAGAAGGCTGACGAGGAGAAAGGAGATTTAAAAAAAAAAAAAAAAAAAAGATAAATAGCTGCTTCGTGACGACGATTTCACATGTGAAATACCCAAATCATCGTTGTCGGTCGTCGTTTCAGTCCTCTCAGGCCATTCAATTCAGCCAATCTGATCAATAACCTTTTCTTCCTTTTTTTTTCTACATGCTCTCTATTCACTCCAGTTGTTTACACATGAACATGACAAATAATAAGGCAAAGAATTATGAATTTTTTGGTCCTATTTCAAAGCCAACTCTCGTCCCTGAATAAATATTTTTTATAATTTTTTACAACTCTACGCGTGGGAATGTTCCACGCTGATGACATGTGTTGCATTACACACCTTGCATGCCACTCGACAACCATTTGCTCTATCTGCATCCTCTATAACTTCGCTCACACTTGCGTCTATCGCATTTATCTTTGTCATCCATGTCGTCTTTTGTGGAACAATACTTGCTTGAACCTTGTCTTTGTCCCTCTCCATCTTGCCTAGTAGCTTAAGATTCGAGGCCACAGCTGCCATCGCTCCCAGTCTCTTGCTTGCTTCCTTGAACCCAATTGGCGCTATTGCTTCTCCTACAGCTCCATGCTGCTTCAACAACGCCTTTTGCATTCCCCCAAGGCCTTTTACATCTTGGATAATGGCCCCTTCCGCATTGAGCATCACCTGTGACGAACTCCACCACAGGCGACACTGACATTGACCGGAACTTGAAGGATCTATATTCTTCTTACCATCTCCCGTCTCCTGTTTCTCTACATCATTCACGACTGTCTTCCGCACTTTCCCTTCCTCCTCTGTGATAATTTGCCATGTCCGAACTGAGTTATCCATGCACCCCGTTACCAAAAAGACACCTTTCTCTGCGGAAGTATTCCAAGTTAGAGTCCTGACCTGATCATTAAATTCTACCACTGCTAGACATTGTCCTAGTGATCTCGATCCTAATATTGACTGTGCATCTACATCCCACACTCGGAGCGTCTTGTCTTCGCCAGCACTTGCGAGATATCGATCACAGGGTGAGAAGGCCATCTCATAAATACGCTTCATCGCCACATGGCCATCCAATCGACCAATCAATGCCCCTGTCTGGGTGTTCCACAGGGTCACTGATCCTTTCACGCCCCCAAGTGCGATCCGTCGGCCATCTACAGAATATGCCATACAGCTGATAGCACCCGAGTGCTCCAGGATATGCAACAATTGACCCTCTTGTGGATCCCACAGCCGGACAGTACAGTCTGCGCTTCGTGACGCGACCTGCTTCCCTCCATCAGGTGAGTACTTCACATCAAGAACAATATCTCTATGGCCCTCAAGTGTATATAAAAGCTCGCCAGTAGATGCATCCCATAACTTGATAGACTTGTCATCACTTGATGAAGCAAACTGATATCCATCGTCACTTGGCGAAAACTTGACACAGGAAACCGATTCTTGATGGCCCTGAATCGTGTACTTTAGAGTCATCTCAGATTCCTCGCCTTGTCCTCCTGCTGACAAAAGCAAAGGCCACGACGACGGCAAGGATGCATCCCACACGCAAAGATATCCGTCTCGACGACCCCAGATGACATAGTCACCTCTAGGGGAGTAATCTACGGTATAAACACTTATCTCATATTTAAATGTATGGACTAGCTGCCCCGACCCCAGATCCCACAACCTCACAGTCCCGTCGTTACCACAGGATACCATCTTTTGACCGCAGGGCGAGTACACAATCATTCGGACCCCCTCCGTATGACCATACAAAGTCCGGATAAGCTGGCCATTTTCTGCATCCCATAACCGGATTGTCTTGTCACTCCCTGCGGACGCAATCTGCTGTTGTTTTCCAGTGCTAGCTGAAGAAATGACTTTTGTCACCCACCCTGTATGACCACTATGCTGACTACTACTTGATTGTGATGACTGAATGTCCCACAGGCGGAGAGTCTTGTCGTTACTGAATGAGGCAAGTGGTAGATTGGATATAGGCGAGTACGCAACGTGATTAACACCATCACTATGGCCCGTAAAGATATGGGTCACCTGGCCTGACTGTGTGCTCCATTGACGTACTGTCATATCATCCGAACATGTGGCGATATGCTCGCCGTTCGGCGAATATGAAAGTCCATTGATCCATAAAGAGTGGCCTCTCAGGGTATGGCGTGGCTCTCCTCCAAATTTTGTATCCCACACCACCACAGAATCGTAGCACGCTGCGGCAAGCTGATGGTGATCCTCTACAGGTGAAAACCTCAAATGAAAGAATGATTCCGTATAATTTAATGAATGTTGAAGCTGTCCAGACTCTGTATCCCACAAATTCAGCTTGCAATCCTTACTGCAAGAAGCAATTTGGTCTCCACTAGGGGAGAATGCCACGCCATGCACCTCCAACAAAGGCGAGTTCTCTCCGGCCTCTAATGTATAGAGCAACTGTCCTGAGGACACATCCCACAATCGTACAGACCTATCTGCACTGCATGATGCAATCTTATCACCCCTTGGGGCATATGCTAAGCCCAAGACTCTTTCAGTGTGACCTTGGAATATGTGAGCCAGCGCTTTTGTTTCCTTCGTCTCTTGCTCTCTAGTTGCTGTATTACGTCCGGATACCACGTTCCATAATCGAACAGTATGGTCGTCGCAGCCAGAAGCGATCTGCTGCCCATTAGGTGAATAGGTGAGGAGAGAAACCCTATTCTTATGGCCTTGGAAGGTATGAAGAAGCTCTCCAGATTCCGCGTTCCACACACAGACCGTGCCATCGTCGCTATCGGATGCGATCTGCTGAGGCCCCTTCTGTATACTAGGGGAATAGGCAACAGTGCGAACAGTTTCCGTATGGCCGCGCAAGGTATGTAGCTTTGTCCAGTCGGAAGTACTGTAGATACAGATTGTGCCATCCCTCAGGCCCACAGCACAAGTCTTGCCATCGTCAGGCGAGTAAGATCCTACAATTACTCCACTTTCTTCCGGCAGGTACGGTCTCTCTCCAAATTGGACAGCCGTCATCACTGAACCTGTCAAATCAGCTTTACGAAGCCAGCTGCTACGGAAATTCACTTTCCGCAAATCTGCTCCTTGCAACTGCGCAGAGTCAAAGATACCTCCGCTCAAGTCTGCGCCGGGAATCCGGACGCCCTGTAAATCTGCATTTGTGAAAGGTAAACCTGCTTTGATCAAGACTGTGATCGCGTTTGCGGCTGCGATCCTCCACCTCTTGTCTCGTTTCGAATGCTCTATATAGGAAAACAATTGCCTCTTGAGTCGCGGTTCTTGTCGAGTACGCTCCTCTAGGAAATTCAGAACGGACGGCTCTGCGACAAAGCTTCGTTTTACTAAAGGGGAGTTAATATCAGGCTCTACCGCCGCAGCGCCAAACACGTTGTCGTTGTCATCGTCATCGTCATCATCCTGTTCCTCAATTGCATCCCGGTTATCAAAACTGAAAGCGGAACTTATGCTCTTTCGGCGTTGTGTAACTGCTATTGGTGTTGATCTTTTCGCACCACTTTTGGATCCGTCCTGTGGTTCAAAAACTGCACGGGCTAATCCATATTCAAGGAGAGATCGATGGATAAACCGGTACTGACTACCGGTTCGAGTCAAGGGGCAGGCTTCGCGCAAAAGGTGTTTTTGATTTTCTCGGCTAAAGAACTTTTCTTTCCAAGTTCCCGAATCCTCAAAAGGAGAGTATTCGACTACAGGGTTTCCTGCCTGATGTGCATAGATCTCCGCTGCAAGTTGTTTCAAGAAATTAATTCCGTTCTGTACGAACCCCTCATCTGAGAGACTCTCAAAGATCTTTCGATCTTCAGGCCCCAATGTGTCAGACAAACGCTTCTTGCTGCGTTCCAGCCACTGCGCCACGAATTGGTCGTATAATGCGACTCGAGTAATCCGAGAGGCTGAGAGCTCTTGACCTGGATCTACCATCCGTGGCAGGACTTCTAACGATAGTGAGAGCAGGAAAGGATTCTTGACCAGTTCCTGAAGACTGGGTACTTGACGTAGAGTTTGTTGATAATCTCGAGCTCTCCAAAGCGGGGCCTTCACAGCCACATAGTATTTGATATAATCATCTACTTGGTTTTCAGAAAAGGGTGCCACTACCGCCTCTGAGAACAAGTCCGGCTGTCCTTGATGATCACGATCTGCAGGCTGAAATCGGTCTCGGTAATCTGATCCAAGGTATTCGCTCCGACAGGTGATCACCATTTGAGCGACCCATTCCCCGGGCTGGTTCAGCCTGTTACTCGTGTACAGGTTATGGGTCTGTTGGCTCTCATCATATCCATCACAGATTAACACAAACTCTCGATGGTCCTTTAATTCCTTGATCTGAGGCTCCGTAAAGTCAGCCTTACGCAGCCGCTTAGCGATCAAGTCTCGCTCAGGTTTCTCGATCGCTGGTAAATGAATAGATAAGGGAATTCGCCCTTCTTTTTTCTGGTACTCGTCCCAAAGATAGCTTTCCAGCGCTCGGTTGAAAGTGGACTTGCCCGCACCAGAATCCCCTTGAATCAAAAATATTTTTTGTTGGCTTCTCAAAAACTCTTTGGCCTTGTCCATCAAGAAGAATAAGTCCTTATCATCTCGAGCCTCTTGCGCAGCAGCATTCGGTTTAGTTGCTTGGAGAGGGATATAAAAGCTATCGCCCCGTTCCTTGTGTCGCAGTTTTTTCAACTGGCGTAAGCTTTTCTCAACATCGGGTTTGTTCTGAACTCGATCCAGCAGAGTTGGAGACGACGGAAGAGCCAATTCAACTGTCAATGGATACTCGCAGGATGGCCCCTTCAAGCAAGCTTGGTAAAGCGCCTGTTTCTGAGCATTCCCGTCTTCGGCTAATTCTTTTAATAGAACCTCGGCGGCTATTGCCCCCACAATATCATGAATGAAATATAATTTACTCATATATTAGAGGTCAAAAAAAAAAAAAAAAAATCTTTTGTTTTTCAGTCACTCAGCTGCTTACATCGCATTCCACTTCCAGACAAGGAAGCTAGAGGTATAAGGATTGTCAAGATCCATTGCTTAATATGAGTATGGGACCCCCACTCCAGATCATTTTTGTAGATCTCGCCCAGAAATGCCACTGCTCCTTGACGAGTCTCCACATCCCAGCTGGTCCCTGTCGTTGTTGTCATAGCTGAGGTATTCGCAGCAATTTCGCCCAGTCGTTGACAGATCCCCCATTGGAACGCAGGATCTCGTCGACAAGGCGCTTCACAGATCAAGACCTTGAATTTAGCGAGTTGACCTTGTTTCAATAGGATATCGGCTCCCCGCAATGCGGGATACCAAGCAGTCTTTCGAGCAAAACTAAGTCCTTCTTCAAGACATTCCAGGAATGTCTGTCCACTCTCGATTAATGAGCTCACCCCTTCATAGACAGTCTTGCCCATCTCAAAAACCTCAGTCACGGATGGTAATCCACTCTGAATACTGCTCAACCCCTCCATAAATCCACTGAGATCCAGTCCCTTGACTGCACTTACAATACTCGAGACACCTTTAACTACTGCGGTGGTCCGCCGTAACATTGCCTGCAATGGTGTCTCATCATCAGGGATATATTGAAGAGCTTGATACGCATAAGCCGCATAATATACCAAGTAAGGGTCCGAGTTGCTCTTCAATCCATTCAGGAACGCTGACAGTGGCTCATGAAGCTGTTCTCGTTTCAAGCCATTAACCTGATTGTTGACCATCGCATCCAGGACGTGAGCAATCGTCACTGTCAACTGATAGGTATGCTGGTTTGATTGTGGATGTACATTGTTGAGTCGCTCGTTCAAGAAATTAAGAATGGTGACCAAATCATCAGTATCTAACGACCCTGTGGGTGCTCGTTGCATCACCTGTGCTAAACCTTCCAAAAGATGGACCTCCAACAATGCAGACTGATAAATTCCGTTAGCCAGTGTCATGAGAAGGGTCCGAAACTGTTCGCGGTCGAGAACAGGAGCCAAAAGAACTACTTCTGTCACGGTTGCTTCGGCTTTGATCTCATCATTGATAAAGGCTGCAATCAGGTCCAAAGCCAGCTTGCGCAGTCGCTCCTGCTCATCTGGATCTTTAGCAACCGCTTGAGACCAGTCTAGTTCTTGTTTGCTGAGGGTCTCCACGGAGAGTGATTGAGACGGTAGTAGACTGAGACAATGGATAAATTGTTGGATATTTACGATCCGTTCGTCTGAATCTGGTAAATGGGTTGTTGAGATGGTTTGAACCACATCGCATGCAAAGATCTCGGGCGGGATTTGAGCAATATCAGCAACAGTTACTGTTTTCTCTCCATCAGCTCCTTTTCCCAAGTGTGATAATTGGTCAACACCTCCACTGCAAGCTTTTCCTTGTAGTTGCGAAAGAATAGGTCGCCATTTTTCTGATTTCCTAATACTCTCCTGAGCCTTTGGTGTTATCCCTAGTCTTTCCAATAATTGGGCATGATTATTATGTGCAGTCATCATTCCATGACATAGTGCCTGATCCTCTGCCGAGTCTGAAGATATCAATCTTCGACGCTCAGAACGTTTTGCTCGAGAGAGTGCTGTTCCTGCATCCAAACATAATTCCAATGCAAGTTCCCGGTCCTCTGTCTTAGCTGCATGCTCCAGATAAAATTTGGCGAGTTCAAGTGCTCGTTCAGGAGAAATGACCTTTCGGGAAGTCAAGTAAATGTTACCAAACATTCTTTTTCCTCTTCCTCCCTTTTTTTTTTTTTTTTTTTTTTAAAAAAAAAAAAAAAAAATCGAAATTGCCATGTTTAGGGTCAAAGAAGGACAGTGTTAACCTCAGCAAAAGAAACGGTTTTTGCTATTGATAAAAAAGATACGTTCGCTTTTCAGGACACATCCAAACCTTGTGACAAATGATATAGAAAAGAAATATATCACAACGATAATCTATTTTGCTGAAGGGGAGGGGCTATATATTCATGATTAAAGAGAGAAATACATATGCGAGTATATATTCATTCATACAACCACTGGTTCTACCTTAAGGCTAAGATGGTTTGCTTTGTTCAAGCAACAAACTAAGGGTAGAGAGTAAGGGAGAAGACGAAAAGAAGAGTGGAAAAGAGAGTGGAAACACAATTTAATGTTTCGTTGGGCTGTATTTAATGGCATGTTTTGTGTAACACATACAACCCCTTCTCTAGGTTTATTGGATTGGGCAAATGCATTCCCGACTCTCTGGCCTCTTCTCTCTTCAGCCCTGGAACATTAGGTTAAAGGCAGCAGACCCATTGAGAGATAAGAGAAAATAATAAAGACATGGTTTGGTAAAAGGTAGCAGAGACGTTGAGAGCGACACTGCCACCAAACTTAAGAAAGAAAAAAAAAAAAAAAATAGCAAATCATTTTAAACAGGGCGATTATTAATCTTTAATTTGATTCTGTTTGTACTTCCAAGTTGGCACTTGACGACGCGAGGGTTTGATTACGTTGCTGTTGTTGTTTCAGTTGCTGTTGCAAGGCAAGTCGAGTTTTCTGCAGCTGCAACATATGTTCATGATACTCTATACTCCTTCTTAGCTCTTCGTCACTGTCATCATGTGCGTCACTGATCATGGTGCCAGCAGCAAACACTTCAGTGGTCAGAGTAAGAGGATTTGTTGCCAAAGATTCCTTTGATGAAGGATCTCCAGGAAAAACCCATTGTGATACAACTGTATTTGAAGGCACGTGTGGCAAAATTTGAGAGCCTAGGGCTGTTGGGTTGGATAATAATAGTGATGATGTTGTTGCTAATCGGGATGATGTCATGCCGTGAAGTGCTGTGCCAGATAATGCTTCAAGGGAAGGTGTAGAAGCCAGTGGATGATAGTTTTGACTCGGGTTCAGATCTGTCGGTGAAAGTGTCCATTCATAATTATTCATCAGTGTAGGATTTTTTGTCAGCATGTTTTCTTCGATGGCGCTTGTTGACGCTAAAAGTATTTGTACTGGATGAATAGAATTTGGTGTCGATAGTGACGGTGACAATGGTGACGATGATGGCCTGTTTGGTATAACTGAAATTGTGTTTGAAGGCTGTGGAGTGGGGCCTAGGAGCCAGGGTATATTTTGGTCAACGTCAACGTTTGTTGTAACAGAAGTCTTTGATGAGATTCCAGCAATTAGGTTATCCGTATTAAAGTTAGACAGTTGAGGCTTAGGGACCATCCCTGTCAATAGTGGCATCGTAGTATCCTGAGTGATTTGACCAAGCTCTAATGAAGGCGGTTGCAATTGTATAGATGGAAGTAACGTCACAAGTGAACTGCCCCCATCGGCGTCTTTAGGCACAGTAAGCATAAGATCGTAGTCAAAGGGTGATTGAAGGAATGTCAGATATTCGTTTGTTGAAGGGTCTTCGATACCGACTGAAAAACATCCTACAGATGAAGAAGATATTGAAGTATTGCTCAATGGCGATATAGCCCCTGCGAACAAGTCAAGGGTCGGTGCTAGTGGTGACACTAAGGACGAAGATATAGGCTCCTCGAGGGATGAGGATTGATTAGTGGTAGTAGATGTGGATTCTGTTGACATTTGGGCCACAAATATGAACTCATCCGAGATGTCCGTGCTTCGCATTTGAAATTGGGTACAGTCTTCCGGCTTGGGAAGTAAACCATGGTTGTCTATAGTTGCGAAGTTTGTTGAAGTATGCTTTGTGTTGCTTCTACTATTCGTGTCACGCGTCCTTCGATTACCTGATCGGTCATTGGAAGAATTGGGTTTCTTGATGGTAAGTTCTGAATCACCAACAAACTCATGTAGGGCTACTTCTGTGACTACAAAACATTTCTTCTCCTTAGTTACTGACTTTGAAGGCTTCGTCTGGTTTGATGTAGATGCTGGGGAAATGCTTGCTTTTGGTGTTGCTGCAGCCGCCACCTTTCCACTGGCAGCCTTGCTCCATAGCTTGTTGGATCCATTCTTGGGGTCTGGGTCATCGATTTCCATTACAGTGTCCATGAGCACAGTATCTACTGAGCCATCAGCAAGAGTATCCACAGCGTCCTTTTCTGGATGACCGGAAGGTTTGTTGTCATCATCTCTTTTGCTACCTTTAACCTCATCCATATCTTCCTTATTGTTCTCTTTTTTGGATGTGGATTTTTTTCCAGCATTGGTCGTGTTCGGTCGAGATGGTGAATATTTGTATGTGGGGTATAACGCCTCATGTTTCAGCTTCTCCTCAATGGCCTGCTGTCTATAGATGCTCTTTACCCATTCAGGCTCTTTTCTCCAAGCCTGGCCAGCAAGCTTAGAGATCTCCTTGTTATTCTGATTGCCATACTTGGCTACAATCAGAGGGTGCATCTGTGTGCGATATTTGATAAAACAGTTGGACGATCGCTTTATCTTGCCCTCCTCTCGTAATTCTTTTCGAGCCTTTTGTTGAATGGCGGATTGTGTTTGAACATAAGCACCGCTCTGAGAGACTGGTTTTGGTTTGGGTCGAGGTATAACAGGGGCGAGATTGTTGATGAATTGAATGGGCTTTGCATTGTTTGTGGTGGCAATGGTCTTGACGACTTTAACAGGAGGAATTGTAGTGGTGTTGGGAAATGAAGTGGAAGAAGAAGAAAAAGAGTCTTCCCTTGACGACGACGGTAATGGAGTTGATAGTGATGAAGACAGTGAGGATGTGGGGTGTGTATCAATTAAAGTTAAGATTGAGGGCGACAAATTATCTGGTGAAGAGGATCGTGTAACAGTTGCAGGATCAGGAGGTGGCGTCGTCAAGTCTATTGGACATTTCGTGTTGATGTCTACAGGAAGCGGGCACAAAGAACCGCTATGATTATCAATTAAAAGCTCTTCTTCTTGCTCCTGGATATCAATGTCATCATGCTGAGTAAGGGGCAAAAGTGGTGACGATGCGCGTGAGAGAGTATTAGGTTCGGTTCGGGGAGAAGAAGAAGGAGAAGGTAATTGTATGGACGTAGCACCAGTAGAAGCGGTAGTCGAGCATAGAGGAAGAAGAGATGGCAATGAAAATCGTCTTTTGGTCGCACGAGGTTCTGTAACGGCCATGCTTTCGTCGTGACTATTGGTGGTGCTTGCTGCAGTTATCAGAGCCGCAACTCTACGCTTCGATTTTTTACTGAGGTCTGTGAACAAGAGCAAAGATGGGTTTGCGTCTATGATATGTTAGAAATGAATAATAGATGAAAGGACATGACGACTTTGGCAGTCTGATATTAATTTCGAGAGAGGGAATTTACCTTGATATATTGGTACGGGCATTCCTTTAGGGTTTTGTACGAGTGTAGAGGGTACCAGAGTAGTTTTAGCGCCCCTGGTAAATGAGCTAGGCGATGGAGCCAGGTCTGATGTTTGGCGCATAATGTGATGTATAATGAAGGGATTTTGGAAACAGGGAAATGTGGATCAAAAAAAAAAAAAAAAAAGGACCAATTCGAGTTGTGTGATATGAAATGTTTCTATATAAAAACCTTAAAAAGTCGAATGCAACAATGACTGGAAATGAATGTGGAATGTAAGGATTCAACTACAGAAGGCAATGAGAACAAGGGGGGAGGTAAAAAAAAAAAAAAAAAAAGAAGAAGAGGAAGAAAGAAAGAAAGAAGGGGGGGTACCATCTATTGCAACATGTTGCCACAGCTGAGTACGTCTATATAAAAGAACAGAGAAGGCTATGTATGGCACGCGTGAACTCAATTGTTTATTGCACAGCAAACAAGCGTAATTTAGTAATTTCCAGTTGGTTGAGTGGGGTCAATACCACTTCTAACCCTCGTTTTCTTTTTTTTCTTTTTTTTTTTCTTTTTTTTTTTTTTTCAAACAACAGCTTGTTGTTTATGTGAGATATAAAGCCAAAAACAGCATGATCCTATGCAGGAGTAAACATCAATGTAATTCAAATAAAAGCAGGTCAGTTAGAAAGAAAAATAAACCGTTGCATAATACCTTTCTCCTTCCTCCTGTCAAAACCCTTGGTGGTCTTAAATAGGAAGTCAAAGGAGGACAGAGTCAAGAAATTTGGTATCTATTTGAGTACTGTAACATGTACTCTCTCTGCCCTGGAAACACTAGACATGGACATGCAGGGCGAACATTTATTGATCACCTGATAGGACGTACCATTTGTCCGAAACAATTGTTGTGCTCTCACGCATCTGTCAACAAACTCATCTACGAATTTTGTGCAGATCAAATGCGCAAAGACCTTTTTTATGCCTATTTGTGTATTGCATGTAAGGACTTTTAAGGACTATGTTGCTATATGCATACGATAGGTACCCATTCTTCTGATAGTGGTAATATTTCAGGCGAATACAAGTTTATCTGAAGTATGGATAGTAGATACTTCTGATGGTGTACCCCACATATCGGAGCATAGTAGGCTATTTCTTGGGAACTTTTGAGTGATGACATGCTATCAAGCCGTTGTTGCATTTATATATGCGCACTTACATGGAGAGCTATCTTTTTTTTTTTTTTTTTTTTTTTTTTTGCTACATCTTTATTTCATTTTCAACTGTCCTCTTCCACTTCGTCATCTTCCTCTTCCTCTTCATGCTCTACTACTTTGGCCTCTATTTCCCCTGTTTCAGTTTGATGGTTAGCGACAACTCCTGTAGTTTTTTTCTTTTTCTTCTTCTTGTTCTTGTTCTTTTTCTTTTTTATTGCCGTAGCAGCTCTTGAGTCATCATCACCTATTGCGGCCATCTCTTCACGTGTTCGTTTTCTACCTTCGATATTTGACTCTTTCCATAGCGGAGCCAATCCTGAGTTATCTTTTTCGCCCACACGTTCAAAACATGCTACAAAGAAGCCATTCATCAGATCTCCGTCTGGTCCTCCCGGAACAGCACGAACTAAACAATCTGCTACCTTGGCTCTATCCTCATCTGTTGATACTAAGCCTGGAACATCACCCACATCTAGAGCGTAGCCCCGTCGGTGCCACGTTGGCAGCACCTTCGCTCGTGGTGACAACTTCCATTTAGGCCAATACCTTCTTAAGAGCTCCGTCACTACATGCTCATTTTCCTCCGCATATATTGAGCATGTTGAATAACTGATTTTGCGAACATTAGGAAATGTCATGGCCTTGGCGACACATTCGATTTGAAACTCTCCTAACGACTTGAGTCGTTCCTTTTTCTTCTCTTCTGCTGCAGCACGCTCTGCAGCCCCTCCTGTGGTTGTAGTCTCAAGGATTATCGCCTGCTCCTGTTCCTCTGCGTACGCATCTACTAGATGGTCTAATCGATTGATAATCCCTGATCCTGAACATGAAGGGTCCAATAAAATGTGTGTCACCTTGGTATAATCCGGCTCCGAAGTATCCAAGGTTAGAAATGAGGTATTAAGCGCAGTGATGTCTAGGAAGATGCAGGATGCAAAACAAAAGTCAAACAAAAAAACAAATAAATAAATGCGACAATGAATTTATAAAAAGCAAAGTATGGGCGTGATCCTCTCCGTGCAGTATAAATCAAGAGGAAAAAGCTTACTTGTGCACCCTGCCTTTGTGGTCAAACGCTTCAGAATATTCAATCGTCGAAGATCAAGATCACAAGCAATGATCTTGCCTCCATTTCCCATACTCATAGCTAGCTGACTAGTTTTATTGCCGGGTGCTGCACATCCATCAATAACATATGCATCCTTAGGTGGAGCCAAAATCGCTGCTGGGAAACACGATGCTTTGTCCTGCAATATTAATACTCCCGAGACATAGAGGGGATGAAGATGAAGATCAGATTTTGGAGGGAACACTAACATAAAATCCAAATGCTCGTCCCTGTAGAATGTATTAGGGGCAGGAGGTGCTGGCGGTGATGGCGCTGCTGGTAGGAAAGTCCAGTTGTCGGCAATAAAGGTATCGATAACCTGTTTTGGCGTCATCTTCAGAAGGTTCACTCGAACATATCGTGGCATCAAGACTTTTAAAAAGAACATATATATAAATAAAAAAAAAGCCTTCCATCTTAGACATATTGCGCTTCAGTATCAATAGCAGCCGTTATTTTCCTCGCACAGTTTTTTCCTTACTTTCTTCCTCGCCTTCAACCAGCCCATCCTTTGTAGCGCCAATTTTGATTTTTGCCTTAACAAACTCGGCCTTCAGGCGGGTTTTATGCTTCATGACAGCTTGTTTCATGGGCCATGCATCCGATGCCTGAATGCCTCGATTTTGAAGCAGCAAGTCATGCAAGAGCAGTAATGCCAGTGATCGATTCAATTTCTTTTCTAATGACAATAACTTGGACTCTTGTAGCACTAGTGAGAGTGTTGCATTATCTATTGATATTTGGTATAGAGTACTGAATGGTGAATATACATGGAGGTTTTTCATTGCATTGACTCGCCATATTGCCCGCTTAACAAACATATTACTACATAAAAAAGCACACACACAAGAGGTGGCAATCTCCCTTACTTACGCTTCAGCGTCTCACAGATAAGTGCATACATACGCTTCTTATCCGTCACTTCGGCATTTCCAAGAGTTAAACCTTTGATAGACCCCTCCTTCTTTCCAAGCCTGTCTAATATTGCTGCAGCCTGTTTATAAAAGTTCATTATTTTATTTATTCATATATTTTTTCTTTTTCTTTCTTTTTTTTCTTTGAGCAAGAGGCAATGAAGCTCCAGTTCTGGTTGCTTTGCCATGAGGTCCTGAAAAAAAAGTGCCTTTTGATTCAAGCCACAAACCCTAAAAATATAAACAAGAAGTGCTCTGTGCGTAAAAGTTTATAGAAGATCATTCCACTCCTCTTTCGTAAGGAAAAAGAATTCAAATCGACCATGGCGACCATCACTCCTGAGGCTCCAGCATTAACTGCTCTCATTGCTTCTATCAAGCAGAAGGACCCAAGTCTGGGTATTAAGAAGGTCTTGGCAGAGATTCAAACTCAAGAACCTACTTGGCTCGTGAGTGAGAAGCGTGTCAAAAAGTTGATGACCGAGGCTGGTATCGCCGTGGCCAGACCAGAGTCTGAGATGAATCTGGATCCTTCAGTCCCTGTCAGTCACATCGATACGGAGGTGGATGTCAGCGCATTGACCAATGGTCAAATCAAGGCCAAAATGATCAATAAAGTCGTTGGCAAAGGTACACGAACATATAGTTTTATACAGCTACAAAAACTCAAGTGCTCACTGGGAAAGGATAATAATAAAAACATAAACGATATCAGTACTCAATGGTCACCTAAAAGCAATTATTTGATATTATCTTTGGGGACTAGGTTTATTCGCGGCACAGGATCTTCCCAAAGGCAAGGAGGTTTTCAGGGAATTTCCTTTTGTCTACTTCCCCCCTATGAAGAGATACAATATGATCCGCAAAGGAGAAGCCTGCGGTCTTTGCGCACGTACCATCAAGTATGGAAGTCTTTTGATTTGTGCATGTCCAAGCTGTGGCAAGATCAAGTACTGTACAAAGGGTAATAAAATGATAATCTCTAATGCTATAACCAGGCAATGCTGTCAGTTATGATCGAAGGCACTTCGTTTATATTGAATATATATATACATATCACCGTTTATAAAGCTTGTAGGCAAAGTGCATGGGACAGCTCACATCGTTTCGAGTGCTTAGCCTTGAACCCGGCCATTAAAGATTACATCAACTACTGTGTCGAAGAAAACTGGAGCGCAGGCATGGGAGCACTTCGTTGCTATGAACGCATTTTGATCGCTAATGAGACATCGCCTGAGGAACTAGCATTGGTACTAAAGCACCTTGACGCGTTCGCCACTATCAGTCAGGAGGAACGCCAAAAGAAGGAGACCTCGTGGGATATGATGGGTGATCAAATACTGGAGATTTGGAATAAGGGCTTAAAATTGCTTATCCAAGGCTGCCAGTATCCGCTCAAGATCACTAGCAATAAAGCAGTAAACCCTGTCCTCACAAAGGCTCTACCGGACGATCTGAAAGATAGTCTCTTTACTATGGACACCTACCTTAAATTCATAGGACGGTATAATCTCAATAATCAGAGTGGAGGGATGTATCTCCTGCATTCTTCGTTGAACCATTCATGTCTCCCCAACACGGTTATTGATAATCCAGGTGCTGGAACTAGCTATGGTGTAAGTATTCGTCTAGCTAGGGATATCAAGCGAGACGAACAACTTCAGATCACATACTGTAACCCTCTCTGGAAAAGAGAGACACGACAGCAATACCTTCGTACAGAGTATCTCTTCACCTGCAAGTGCAAGCGCTGCACAGGGCCAGATGACAGCCTTCCTGAAGATCTCATGCGAGCATTGGAGGTTGATGAGTAATAATAATAATGACTAAACCGTGGCATGTCCAAGGATTTTGTAAGGCATTTACTTCGTTAGAAAGGTAGCAAAAAAAAAAAAAAAAAAAAACAAAACAAAACAAAATAAATAAATAAATAAGTCAAAAAGGCGTCGAATAAGTGATTTATTCGATTCAATGTAAAAAAATTCTTTCAAATAGATGAAAAACTCTTCACATGGCTTCTTATAAGATGACAAATGCCATTCTTTGTAAATCGCCTGAAGCCTGTTTGAAGTAAAATAGACGTGTTCTTAATGAATAAGTTGAATAACATACATCATTTGTGACGTATAGGCATGATCATACATCTACATACTCATAGAAGCGCCTGCCATCCACTAGAAAGGAATAGACAAAAAGAGTGGCTCTGCTTTTCCATTAAGTTTGCGGGATCACTAGCGGTTATTTACGGATGTCGGGCTGTTTACAAAAGTACTTTATTAAGCTAGACAATATCTAGAGAGTTCGCTCATCCGTATTCTTGCTCCAATCCAATGATGAGGCATACGCGCAAACCAACAAATATTCTTGTATATTATATATGACACATGTTGTCAATGCGAATAAAATGTATCCACCTTGTTGGTTTCAGTGCGAACCACAGCACAGCAACAATATGAATGAAGAACATACGGAAGGAGACAAGGATTAGGACAGGAATGTTTTCAAAGATTCAAGGTTCAGGGGAAGGGCCCATGCCCTGAGCTAAAACTAAACGTCGTTTGAAAGTAATACAAAGTCCATGTCCACGTCTCACGCTCTTTTTTTAGCCTTGACCTCTGTCTAGAATAAAATTCCTTTCTTTAGTGGATAATTCCTATCACCACGTTAAAAAAAAAAAAAAAAAAAAAAAGACACTCATACACTGTGGAAACACCAATATGTTCCCAAAAGACCCGGACCAATTGTTTTTTTTTCTGTAATAAAAAATAAGCTGATAGGCTTGTCCATGGTCCCCAGGTCAGCTCTTTTGTCTGCAGTGCTCTCTAGGTGTATCAAAAAGCCCAAAGGCATCCATGGGCAAATCAGGTGCAGTTTTTTTTTTTTTGTTGATGAAGCACAATGGAAAACAGCTGGTTGACGCCTTCAGGCTAATTATGTGGGACTATACTCTTCTTTGATCTGAGTAATGTTTTTTTATTTTATTTATTTTGTATTTGTAAACACTCAAAATGCCTTCCACCTATCTTACAAACATGTCCATGTACACTCTCTTTTTTCTCAAATGTTTCTTTGGCGCAAATGGATAGTAAAAACACTTGATTACTTTGAGGCGTTGACTTTTATCGTCAGGTATAAAAAAGGTACATCCTGGTATCATCATCCAAGTATATTTTTTTTTTTCCCTTCCTTGCTCATCTTTTATTTCTTTAGCCTATTGATGCATTAATACGGTATTCATTTTATTCTTCACATACACCAATACCACTGTCACTATTATTACTATAACAAAGCATTTAAGGGATGTCGCAATACCCCCCATTGACAGAGAAGGAGTTTGAGCTCGTCGAGGCGTACAACACAATCCTCAATGGCCCATTCGAAGACAAATATGAGGATAAATGGGAAGACGAACCATTTGACATTGCCCTAAAAGAATTCCAAGCCAGAGTACAGGAGATCGGATTTTCGAACCCATTTGAGTTTCTGGCGCGATACAACATCGATTCATACGAAACCATGCGAGCTCAGTTCAAGAAGGGTCCGGCCTTATGTTTCCGGCCAGGATGGAAGAGCCCTTTAATTGGAGAGTCTATCAATATAGAAGCTGTGCTTTCCAAATGTCATTATGTCTCCGGACCTTTGCTCGACACTCGTTGCAGGGTAGTAGTCATCGACTTTTGGGCAAAGTGGTAAGACTTGTTAACATATCATTTACCATAATATAAATTGAATTCCTCTCACCAATCTGATTTTTATTATTATTACTTTTTTTTATTAAAAATCCTTCAGGTGTGATCCATGTGTACAGGCTGGACCGGGACTATCAGATCTTGCGGATGAATTCAAGGATCGTATTGCAATAATTGGTATCCATAACGATAACATTTTCAGTTCTACAAATGAATACAACATTGAGGAACTAAACGACTTTTTGGAAGAGAATCAAGACGGATTCCGGTACACGATTTACATTGATAATGAGGAAGGATTCGCACGAGACAGTAAGTTGCACCAATCCTTTTCTTTTTTCTTTTTTTTTTTTTTATACACATTTACCCATGGTGAACAACATCGGGCTCAAGGGAAATGCCATTGCTACTGGATACAGGAGCTTTTCATGTGTGACAAAATTACCTTAGGAAATGAAATGCAGTATTTTTTTTGTCATCGTGCAACAACGTGTTTTTTTGCTCATCCATCTCTTTTTTCTAACTTGACTTGTATCACCCTATTTCCTTGTCGTATGATGTGATTGTCTAAATGTACGTTATCGTTCAAAAAAAAATAAAATAAAAAATAGATGTCTATAACCCAGGCGGCTATCGGGGGATTCCTTGTATACTATTGGTTGTCGATGGTGTCGTCAAATACGTAGGCTCTCCACAGGAATCCTTTCGGCCAACTTTAATGCAAGAACTGGAAACCATCGAGGCGGGACGTGCACGGGAAGAATAATAAGCACTCGTCTAATTTATCTTCATCCACTTTTTTTTATCATTTACATACAATAATTGTAATAAATAGATCAATGGCCGACATTGACCCTTTTTAAAAAAAGAAAAGCTCGAGCAAAGAAACTTAAAAGAATTACTAATATAGCTTTCCCTAGACGATTTTGGTACACCTGAGAATTCCAGAGGATGCTAATCAAGGGGAAATGAATGTGGGTTGTTTGTTACACATTGCTTGTAAGGGACAGTTTTATGCTGCCTTTTTTTTTTTTTTTTTTTTTTTTTTTTGTTTGTTTGTTTATTTCCTGACTTATATGTTTTTCAAGTGTTGTATTTTATTATGGGTACTGGTCGCTCTCACTCATTCAAGAAGGTTATAGTAATAATGATCATGCTGGCGGCCATATGCGGTGTCGTTAGCACTGAAATGGTCCCATCAGTCAAGGATTGTCTCATCGCAAAAGGGCAGCCATCAGAAGAGCGTATTGACACATCATTGGACAGCCATACGAAAAATTTCATTCAATTACAGGATACTGGGTCAATAACAGCAGCAACGCACGTTAGTGAGCCAGCAGATCGAATCAAGTTAGAGGAAGGAAAAACTGTACGCAATGTCGTCACGTTAAGCAAACCACCAAGGCCAATCATTCCGACGCGTAAAGCTAAAGCAACATTCATGATGTTAGTTCGAAACGAGGATCTGTATGGAGCTCTGCGCACAGTTCAACAGATTGAAGATCGGTTTAACTATCGGTATGAATATCCATATGTGTTCTTGAATGATAAACCATTTTCAGGTCATTTCAAAGAGAAGATGAGGAAGATGTCCAAGGCCGAGATGGTTTTTGCGCAGATACCGCATGAGCATTGGAGTTATCCAGCATGGATCTCACAGAAAAAAGCAGCGGAGACTAGGGAAAGAATGAAGAATGTTATTTATGGATCCAGTGAGAGCTACCGGCATATGTGCAGGTACTTTTTTTATTTTATTTTATTTTTTTAAAAAGAAAAAGAAAAGAGTCTTTGTTTTATGGGAAAGCCGAATTACGAACGAATCTTTTAAATTAGGTTTCAGTCGGGCTTCGTTGCTCAACATGAAGCTTTATTGGCATTCGATTACTTTTGGCGAATCGAGCCAGATGTGAAGTATTCGTGTGATGTTGATTTTGACCCATTCTTGTACATGCATGACAATAATAAGAAATACGGTACGGTAAAAAAAAAAAAAAAAAAAAAAAAGAGTTGCCAATATGTATTCGATAGAACATTATCGAACGTGTATAGGCGTATAAACCAGCTCCTGATCCTTTTTGCTGATCATCTCGCTGGATGCTTTATGTTCATGAAATAGCATTCACAATTTCTCTCTACGAGTACTCGGAGACAATTCGTGGGTTATGGAATGCCACCAAAATCTTTATGGAAAGAAACCCTCAGTTCATAGCTCGTAACAATGCTCTAAGCCTAATTTCTGATGACAAGGGCGGGACTTATAATGTAATATCTTTTTGTTAATCTCACTGTCACTTGAAGAGCGAAAAAAAAAAAAAAAAAAAAAGGCTATGGTTTTTGTAATCAACGTTCAATTTCACATACAAGGATGCTCACATCCCTACACTCCACATTCATATTTAGAACTGTCATTTCTGGTCCAATTTTGAGATTGTAGACGCGCGTTGGATGCGTAGTGAAGCATTCCAAGCATATTTTGATCACCTTGATCACCAAGGTGGCTTCTTTTATGAACGTTGGGGTGATGCGCCGGTTCATACGATTGCCGCAGTGTTATTACTGCCTATTAACCAGATTCATTTCTTTCGAGAAATTGGATACTATCATGAGCCGTTTCACAATTGCCCAGCAGAACCTCATTTGCAGTTGAAGTGCCATTGCGATCCGGAATTAAATGCGAGTATGTTCTCCCTCAATATGTTGCTTAGGGCATGTGGGGTACATGCCAAGAAAAAAAAAACAGAGCTTGCTTCTAAATGCTCACCTTCATCTCCTTTCTTCTTTATTAGATCTTGAGCGTTTTACATGCACTAGCAAGTTTCTGGACCTGGCAGGAGAGGAAAGGATAGTTTTTCCCGAGGAAGTAGATGACTAGAGAGAAGAAAAAGAGAAATAATAAACAGAACTTGGGAACTGATGCCAAAACAATGGTAGCGATAGTAGAATCAATAAAATGACCCTTTCATAGATCGCCAGCCAAGACCAGAAAAAAGAAGAAATGGTGGTCACTCGAGTAACGCTTACGTTAGCAATGGCATTGTCCTTCATTTTGCTTTTATTCTGCCCTAGATATCTAGACATCTGCGCCCAAGGGCTGAGGGTATATATATAACTTGCGTTTCATTATTATGAAAAGGATCCAGAGTAGTCTTCTCTTTACATCATATTATGGATAAGCTAATTGGTCGATAAATAAATGGCGAAGCTTTTTTTTTTTTTTTATTTTTTTCTCGCGATGAATTCACGTATAAATGTTCCCATCATAAAAAATAAATCATAAACCGTAACTCTTCAATCTAACTCACATTCCTCACCAAACTTACCAATTAAACAGTTTTTCTCTTCGCTTTTTAATTATGACCGGGAATCCAGAAGAATTGAAGGATCCAACTGAGCGGGATGTGAATATCCAGAATATCTTCATACCGCTCATTATTTTACCTTTCCAAGGTAAAGACGACGAGGACTGGGATGACGATGTATTCTGGGCTGCGGTCGAGACCTCTAAGGGTCAAGCCAGGGGGCACTTGGGCGAAAACCATGAAGGAACAGATCCTCTAGAGGCCTTGAGCAAATTTGGCTTCAAAACGTATGAGTTCGTACGAGATCTTCTAAGAACCGGACTGGAAAAGTGATCTATTAGGGCAGGCCTTGGATGTTAAGGATATCCTTAACCATTATAAACACATCTCTGGCCCGGAATACACAGGGAAGGAGGAGATTGTTGTCCTAGACTTTTGGGCTTCATGGTATAAGGGACTATTTCTTATACACATGTAATTTTCAAAGGTGCGATCCCTGCATTCAGTCTGCTCCCGAACTTTCTGATTTGGCTGAAAAGCATGCTGGCTTGTGGCTGTGGTGGGCGTGAACAATAAAGGCATGTTTCAGCAAAAAGGGCATGACGTTGAAGTGACCAAGGCTTTCCTTGAAGGAAAGAGGAACATTTTTAGACACACTCTTGTCATCGATAACGAAGACCATGCGATGCAAAGTAAGTTTAAGGACAATGTATAAATATCTATAATGGGAAAGGACAAAGATATTTTTCCTATCAAACGAATGTCCTGTTGTAGAATCAGAATCAGAATAGCAGATATTAGAGCCTTGTTCATGCATTAGTCAAATCAATGACCTTGATACGCTTTTTTTTTATTCTTCAGATGCTTACATGAAAGCAGGGTATGAGGCTATCCCTTGTCTGGCCCTAGTCGCCAATGGGTTGTTGTGTACGTTGGAAGTCCTGGGGAGAATTTTGATGTGGAGCTTAACAAGCTACTGGACTCACAAACTTAGATTTAGATCAATAAAAAATAACACGTACTCGTTTATGTCTGATATGATTGACACTTTACGTCGTAAGATCAATCGTACTTTTTACCCATTTCACAAAAGACAAGAGGAGGAAAAAAATATTTTTTTAATCACTACGAACGCCACAGTGGTAGTGGAGCATACTCTCTTGACGAATACTCACTAAGAGTCTATTACTCTATCCCACTTATCAGTTGTGCACAAGCCTTGTAAGTGGGTAACCATTCTTTCTTCTATCAAATAAGGCTGACAATGCTTGTGCGAATATTTATTCTACATGAGATTAGGGGTGCTGTCTATTCTAATGAAAAAAAGAAAAAGAAGTGGAGTAAAAGCTAATAAGATATCCATAGAAAACGATTTCGTGTTTGTCGAATATTGAATGAAGCAAATAAAAAAAAAATTAAAAGAAAAAAAAAACATCATTAAAGCAAATTAAAGCAAGTAGACAGTTCAAAAATTAAAATCCACCCATGCGAGCCTTCTTAGGCTTGAGTTTCTCTCCTTCTTTCGACTTGTTCATCGCCTTATCCTTGGGCTTCGTCTTCTTGATTCCTGAAGATGTACCCATAATGGGTTGGCTTGCCCCCCAGATTGCAGATCGATCTGTTGTCTCCAGCGACTCAAAACTTCCACCTTTCTCCACAGGAAGGCTGAGTGCAGGCTGTGACATAGACATGGATTGGCTAGAGCCAAAGCTCAGTCCATCCTGAGTTAATGTGCTATCCTCGTTACCCCACAAGTGTCCGTTCCTCTCTTGTGAAAGACTCTGTGATTGACTCTTGGCCTTGATCTTGCTTTTCGCCGCGAGGCGATCCACGCGGCTCGGGGTCTCAAATACGTCGAGAGATAATGAGTCTCCTTCCGCTGAGGTTGTGGACGGTGCTGTTGCTGAAACGGATCCCTTTAACGGTTTAGCCTTCATAGAGCTTAGTTGTTTCTGCTGCTGCTGTGATCTCATCTTCGACTGTGATAATTGAGAAGCCGAGACCACTGTTGGTAACGAAAACACACCATCTTCATCCGCCTCCACATGCGAATAACTAGCACTAAAGGGATTTGTAATGATACCCGTCCCGATCATAGGCATCGAGGAAGAGCCCAATGCATTGACATTATAAGAAAGGTCATTCATCCGAGCCGATTTGATTTTCTGAGCACGTTTCTCTCGTTTCCGACGCATCTTCAACAGTCGTTCTTCATGTTCTCTAGCCTCATCCGAGTTCATGGCTTCACCATCGTCATCATCTCCTGCTGCCCTACTATCAGCAAACTCTTCTGGTAATTTATAAACGTACTTGGCCGGATTCTCCCCTAGTATCCACTCATTTAGTACAGATCTACATTTAGATGAGAGAGTGACAGCTGATGGTCCTTTGGATTGCTCCGGCTGTGACGTTGTATCTTGAAAGAGATATTGAAACGTTGGAAGCTCTGTTGTTGCTGTTTTCTGACCACTCGTTATCTCTGGTTCCACTGTTCGAATGACCACTGTTGAACACAGGGTCAAATCTTGAGCCAACCTCTTTATTGTCCTACTTCGAGTCTGTCGCGATTCCAATGAAGGCCATTCAGCATACTGTACAGCATCATCTCCATTACCACCCACTATTCTGTGTACAGTATGTTCGTTGTTAGTAGTATTAGTAGGCGGAATGTTCATGTTCGCCAACCGGCTCGAGAGGGTACTCTCTTCCCTTGATTCTTCGTCTTGATACAGTTCCAACGAGACACTTTCAGGGAAGGGGTACATTTCTTTAAGGAGCGTTGCAATCGCATCTGCGTTGGATTCCGAATCTCGTAGTAAGGTATCTACTTTTCGGCCGAAAATAGGCCATATCTTCCTGACTTGACGATGAATGATCTCTCCTCCGGCCGTTGCCTCATAAGGATCCATATTAATGTTTTGCATAACTCCTTGTGCAATCACGTCCCGCTCAAAGGTAGGCAAATTGATACATTCGATCTCTTCCAATAAAGCATAGCTACAAGCATAAATGAATGGGGGGCGGCTTACAAGTTAAACAGCCGTAATTTTGAAAAAGATACTCACATAAATGCGTCTTTCAAAAACAAAAACAAAAAAAAAAAATAGGCTCCTTACATATCCTTGGGAGTGGTACTGTTGTTGATTATCTCCATGGCACTGGTAATCTTCTTGTCAATATTAACGGAGTCTGTATTTGTTGAAGCGTCCCAATCGACCGAGGCGTGCTCCTGGAGTTTAGAGAAAAACGAGCGTAAATCCATATCCACGTGTGCATGGACATCGCCTTTAGTTAACTGCACTTTATCTGCTAAATCTTGAGCCTCCTTAACACCCTTTCTCCAAGGTGCTACGTGCGCCTCTGCAGTTGCAATCATTCTGTCGATTATCACATCTTCATTAGTAGGTATTTCTTTACTCCCTTCATTCTCCTTCTCTTTGTCCACCTCAGACACCTTAGTCATCAGGTCAAATGCGATTCCAGTTGAAAGTTCATTCCCCGAGGTTGCATCTACTCTCCGATGTACATCAGTGTCAAAGTTTTCAAGAATTGAATCTCTCAATACAGCGTTGTTTTCTGCCTCTATATCCTCCTTGGTCCGTATTTCAAAATCCTGAGAATACACAGCACCCGTCAGCGCATATTGTACCAAAGAGAATTTCGAAATGCTTTTCTGTATCGAGTCTGAAACATCATTATCGTTATCTTCATCAAACTCGCTATCGTCGAAAACATGATCTGGAATGATAGCAAGTCCTAACAGTGGAGGCTTAACAGCATGTTCCATCGCCCCATCTGCTCTCTCTCTAATGTTATTACGTTTAAGTGGATCTCGGAGCGAGCTGGTGTTGACATATTGTGAATGCGATTGGAATGAGGGTAACTCCTGTGCGCGCCCCTGCATGGACAATAGCCCCAGGTCCGTCTTATTTGAACCAAGTGAGATGTTGTAAGCAAGGATGTCTGCATTGCGTCTACTCCATATCAGAACTGTCGCTATAGGTATCAAAAAGATAAAAGAAATTCAATCAAGACTAGATTTACGGATTTACGACAAACTGATCAAATGCAAATCAATCATAGAAAGGAGAGGAAAATCTTACAGTAATTTTTGCCTTCTGATACAAGGTCCATAGCTTTTATTCCACATGGCATAAAACGATCCATTTGGTGCGCCCATGAAATGAGGGGCCTTTTCGCATATCGTTGGTCAATACACGCAACTTGGTGTGACGTAGCGATATAGGTCTGAAAGGGAGCTAACTGAAGCGCCTGATCCTCTTGAATTGCACGAATAGTTTCTCCTATCCTTGGTGTAAAGAGGTACGTCTGGGTTGCCTTGCGCTGTGAATATATTAATATAAACAACATCCACACACCCAAAAAAAAAAAAAAAAAAAAAAAAAAAAAAAATTAAAATCGGAAACTTAGTCAGCCCTCAGATCAGTCAAATACTGATCTTAATGCTTATATGTCATAATTAAGGTCAAACGAATTTACTCTTACTTCCACTCTAAAGTCAACCAAATCAAGTGATTTCCTGGACGCCGTTATCAGCTGCGAAGGATGAGCTCCCCAGGTACAACTCTGCCAAGGGTCATGATCCTGTGTAGTAGCGTCTGAGGAAAATGTTGGATCCGCATCACGAATGATGGTTACTTTTGATGAAGAGTCTGTCGATCCTGTAAGCATTGTACTATATTCACCTTCATCGTCACTGTCGTATAACACCATACTATAGTCGTCCAAGTCATCAAAAGTCCTGCCACTAGATAAGATGGTTGGAGTCCATAAAGCAATTCTTCCTCTGTCGCCCATGAAAGCATATGTATTGGGGGTATAAGGAGACATGGCGGCATGGATCGTCACGTCAGTGCAGTTAGAAGGTCTTGTTGAAATCTGGGCCATTTTGCTGATATAGTCGGGTTCGACTCTATAAATTTCTGTAGGAACATCTTTCTTTGGCGCAAGAATGGCCACGCTTTCCCTCGTACGGACCAGGAATTGCTCTATCTCGTGATAATAGTGAAAAATAGAAATGAAAATGGATTCATAGATGCTCTTCTACTGCTTTTCATGAAAAATAAATTAAAAGCCTGTATCCACTATTTCTTCTATTACCATCAGGAGGCCCCATTCGTGATGTTGTGGAAGGTGTAGCCACTTGACAGATGGGTGAGAGAAATGACATCAGTGACGACCTTGGTCTAATCATACGGTAAGGAGGTTGAGGATGTTGTTGAAATGATGATGATGATGATAATTGCTTTCGTGCAATCAGTGTGATGCCGACATCTGTCCCTCTATCCCCTTCAGGTGTGATAATTACTGGCAAATCCACAAATCGTCCTGTAGCGCAAAGATTTCCCAAGAATGGATCATAGTATGAAAGGTCGAAATCCTCCTGGTCTGACTCTGCTATCAACTCTGGGAGGAGTTCATTGGAAAAGTCGTATTCCTGAAGTTCTGATCCCATATAGAGTAGCTAAATCCCACTCCAACAGTAACAAAAAAAACCCCCCCCCCTGGATCAGTATTTTAGGTAACTCGGCCTTGGATATACTTGAGAATAAAAAAAGGGGGAGAGAGGGAGATTGGTAAAGGATTGCTCTACCTTTTTTGCTATTGTTGCATTGGTGGTGCTTTGGTATCTTTTAGATGCATATGAATACTTTGTTGAAATCGGCTTGGGCTCCCAATGACGTACCCGCGGTAGCATCTGTGTCAAAGGTGACGATCGGCAATATACAAACTCTGATCAAGGAGTAGAAAAAAACAAAAAAGAATGGAGTATATATAAATATTATGAATACTACGTGAGTATAAATTCATTTGGTTGTATCTGCTTGTATCGTCAAGCACTTTTAGTAACCTGAAGCTGTTTAGTGCTAACCATGTATGTCTCGTGCAAAAGTCCAGCTCTGCTGAAATGGGTTAAAGGAGGCCCCACCAATGAGACCAAAATCGAGTATGCCTGCATGCTGCGCTACCTGCTGGGGCCATGTTAGGCTTGGGGCTGCTGCACCGTGTCGATGGCGTCGGTGCATGGTCGCATTGTTAGTTTGTTGCTGGAATGGTGTTTTGATAAAGTTTTTTTTTTTTTTTTTTTTTTTTTTTTTTGGAAATCGACAAATTAAAAAATTAGGTGACTGCGAAACTAGGCAACTGCCTCAAGAGGTGGCTTCATTGAGCACCATAAATAAACAAGTAACATAAATAAGCAGCAACTTGAGTTCACTTCACTAATCTGTGGGTGGCAAGAGTGCGGATAGTACTTTAGTCAATGAAAGTCTTTATTCCATTTAGTGATCGGTATCAGATGTTTTTTACCAAGAAAATACGAATAGACCCACCGGATATCAAAATGTGGCTCGTATTTATTTATTTTTACCATTGAGTCCCTGCTTCCATTTTCTTCAGGGTCTTTGCTTTCGCCGCTTCCGTTTATTGTATCTGTCCAAATTAAAAAAAAAAAAAAAAAAAAAAAAAAAAAAAATTATGCCTGCCACACGTTCGGTATCTACTGTCCCTACCACAGGTCGGTTATCTGCCAAGCGCTCTCACTCTGTTTATGGCGGCTCGAACCACTCAGAAACCGTTCCTTCATCGAGCGGCTCCATATTGAATGTATGACGCAACATCTGAGCATGGAGATCCCGGCAGGCTGTGCCGTGTACCATCTAAGCAGGAGCTAGCAGACCAGCAAGCGGAGAATGCGGAGGATGAAAAGAAGCTATATGACAGGATCTACAGCTCCATTGACGAGTGCGCCCTACTTGGTTTCCTTGAGCAGGTGAGAGAATGGGAAAAGAAAGAACAGGAGGAAAGAAGACGTAAAGAAGAAGCAGCAGAAGCTGAGCTTGCAGTCAAGCTTGGCTGCGTGGTTTGCATGAACACAAGTTGCTCTTCTCAACACTGCTGTGTTTGTCCTACACAGGAGGATTATAAGCTAGAGCTTTCCCAGATGCAGGAGACTTGGCTCCCTCGACTACACCAAGCTTATACCATCAAGCTGCTACTGAGCTCACCACTTCAACTCCTCCACCAGTCTACCTTGAACCAAAGGCTCTTTTGCAAAAGAGAGGTAAAGACCATATATATCACGCTATAGCCAAAATAGCCCCTGTACACACATATTGCCCCAAAAGGTTGAAGAGCCAAGCTTTGGATATCAATAAATTCCTCTACTCTATCCACCTAAAGACTTGAATGGCCATAACCCTGTAGCTGCTTTTCATAGGTCTTGTGTTTTTTTAAATAGTTGCCTGAAGGAAATGACTTCGCCCAAGACCAATAAAAATAAGTTATACATAAATTAAACCGCAACATGACATGAACATTGGAAACGTAAAAAGTAACAAGAGGTCAGTGCAGCATTATAGAACCTAGTTATTTTAAAGCATTACGCACCAATCAGGGGACTCCATTCACCTATTGTTTGTCGTGGGCGATGGTGAGTTTGCTCAAGTCATGGCGAGATACTCTCTACCAATGATTTATTTCTCTTAAAGAAAATGTAACAACGACAAATCAGATAGCACACTTTATTAATAGAAAGCGGCATTGACCAAGTTTTTTTTATATTCGGTGATAGGTAAAATCACTTGGACCGAATATCGCATGAGCTGATGAATGGTGCAAGAACGTTGGGAACTTAACTGGTCACGTCATCGTATGCCGCAGTTGCTACCAGGAGCGTAATTGTGATCACAATGGTGCAGACAACATAGCTCCTGAGCTATGTCGGCCGTAAAACTCGCGCTTCGTGGAGAATCGACACAGTTTTATGGCAATATTAGATTTGTGGTCCATGGAAGCATTTATTTAAACATGCTGAGACAGCTACTGATAAACTGATAAAAGTACAAAGAATGGAGCTAAAGGCATACAATGTAGTAGGAGCTATTCAATCCTCCATCACTCCTGACTCTTGGTCTGTCGTAGCTGATGGTTTTATACCATGCTGCTCTTGATATCGGATCATAGCTTGGATCTCGCGAAGCAAAAAATCTGCCTCAGATTGCAATGGATGAATGGGTCGACGTTGATAAGGGTTGAAATGGGTGACCACATGTCGAGGAGCTTGTTTCTTCTTCTGAGACCCGCACAATGCTGGTTCTGCATGGATTGATCGAATTCGTGGAGAACCAACTACAACTTTACTTGCCAGTTCCTCGTCGCTGATTATCATGTCAGGATGCATTTTGGTAGTGTGAGTCTAGCACGAGCAGGTTGAAGATTTGTCAGGGAAAATCAAGTAAAATTCAAACAGTGGAAATGTTAGTTGATATCTATACTAAAAAATAAACGACTGCGCCAAAGCGAGATAGTAGTATAATAATACACATTTGTGCCGCAGTAACTGCCAACCAACCTTTAGATTTCCAAATTGGTTAAATGTTTTGCCGCAGTCAGCAAGAGGACATAGAAAGCGTTTAACCTGGTCGTGGATACGTTCATGTGTCTTCAAATTACCGAGTTGAGTAAAGGTCTTGTCACAGCCAGGATACATGCATTTAAATGGGCGTTCGCCAGTATGCTTCCGCTCGTGAGTCTGTGAAATAGCCATGCAAGAAAGTTACATTCAGATCAATGGGGCTAAAGCAGAGGTCAACGTTGAGCGAAATTGAAATCATAGTAATACCTTCAGATTTCCGAGTTGCGTGAATGATCGTTCGCATCCGTCGAACCGACATACCTAAATAGCATAAGAAATAGCATGTGCACACACAAAAAAAAGAAAGGAAAAGAAAAGAAAGAAAAACAGAAGAAAAATCATACGAAACAAATTGCAGCCCCAATACAACCAAATAGCCATCGGTGTTGATCCATCGACAAAGCACCAGTGCAAATGATTATTTATCGACACGGTCGAAAGGAGGCCAGATAAACGGTAACAAAGCACAAAAATTGTGTGAAATCGCACACAAAGCAACAGCGCAAAGAACCAACAGCCCCAGCCACCCAAAGACGAAGCAAGCGTAAAAGGACCAAGGTTCAACAAGAAATGATTTGTAAAGGAAAAATGGAACAATGGACCCCAAGGTCAAGAAGCACAATCCAATACCAATAGGTAGCAAGTAAAAGTGAACCGAATTACAAAAAAAATCAACGCACCAACAGTCCAAAAAAAAAAAAAAAAAAAAAAAAAAAGCGAAGCATATTTTATGGACAGTAAAGGAAAGAGAAATAGACCGTGAGTCGTCAAAATATAGATACGTTCGTCAAACATTTCTTGAGAGGAATCAAAAAAACAACTCGAGAAGTAAAAGAAAAGAGAGAAATACAAAAACAGAGATGCCTAAGAGCGAATGAGCATATCTAGAATAGCGACATCCCATCGTTTAGATGCCCCTCTTTCAGCTTATCTCTTCAATCTTTTCATTTTCGATTCTCTTCATAATCGTTTTTCCTTTCTAGCTCTCCCAAGGTTTTGAGAAATGCTGTGCTCGCGCTGACGGTTGTACCAACTTTTCATCACGGCCGATGTAGTGTGGTAAACATGTTGTGGCACTCACGAGTAGAGGCTCCTCAAATCTCGAGCAGCCGTTAAGGAATAAAAGCATTACCGACACACAAAAACGGCAACAATACACATACATATTAAAGTAAAGAAAAAAAAATAAAATAAAAACAAAAGCAAAAACAAAAAGTAAAGGAAAAGCAACCCTTGTGTGCTTAATGACAACACTTGAAAATCTCCTGCTGTGAAAAATTGGCCAGAAAAGAGCTGTTAAGTTTCCGTCAATTTTGGGGCCTCCTTTTCAACAAAATCATTTGTTATGAACCTGGGAACCGGAAGGCCGCCTAGGTATACGGGCTTGAAGGGTGAGAGACTGGCTGTCAACGTGAGGTCCCTCATAGGGCAAAGACAAGAAGGCTCTTTCACCTGCCTCGGGAAAGAGATCAAGACGCGCTTGACATGTTTTTCCTGGACAAGAAAAAACATCCATTCATTCATCCATATGCCCATCTGTAAGGTACAGAGACCAGGCAGGATCCAACTGAGCCAACATCAACCGTCAAAGAGTGTCGACTTGCCCAACAAGTCGACGAAATGACCATTCAAGTGGCTCTCTGCACAGGCCATGGGGACACATGTTTTTCCATCAGCCGAGTCCCTCTCCCTCTCTCTCTTTTTTTTTTTTTTTTTTTTTTTTTACTTTTGATTGTGGTGGCGTCATTGGTTCCCAAAAAAAAAAAAAAAAAAAAAAAAAAGATACTTAAAGTTGGCCCCATGTCCTTTCTCTCGCTTTTGCTCCATTTTCATGCCCAAGATTTCCGTCTTTGCAGCAGAGTACAGAAAGAGAAAATAGAGGAACAGAAAGTACGACGAGTTGTTGGCAGAGATACACGGAAAGGAACTTACAAAAGGACGAGTCCCAGTGTGGCATCTATTCAACAAAAATATTTACCATGAGTGAGAGCTCCTAAAATGGTAAAAAAGAATTGTGGCCTGGGCGCAGACAACCTAAACTGTCCTTAGCTTATTTTAAATATCAAAAGTATAGCGGACATTACCGTTCGTGAATGCGCAGGTGCGCGACCTGATAAAACTTTTTTTCGCAACTATTTACTGAACAAACAAACATCTTATGGCGCCCCGCCCTCGTATTGGTCGATGATGTAGAATCGACGGACCCTTGGCTGCTCACAGACAGCTTACGCCAGTCGATGACATTCTGATTAGGAACAGGACAGGTAGGAGAGACAGGGTGGGTACTTGACGTAAAATCGTTGCTGAAGATAGAAGTCGACTGCATAGGGGGTATTGCTTGTTCTGAAGACGATGTGGCTGGTAGGGAAAGATGAGAAGGGACTGTTGATACTGCTGCTGGAAGCTCCAGACTAGGCAGTTGGTGTAGTGATGGTATTTTGGCATGCTTAATAAAGAAACTGGGCGAAGAAGGCACTGTGGCATTGGGATCCTCTTCATCCGCCGTTGCTCCTACCCCTTCTCTTTGTCCTCTTTGTATTGCAGAGTTGAAGATCGAGGAAGAAGTAGAGTTTGATCGTGCTATGATATGATGCTCAGTCATACCTTCAGCTGTAGCCTCGAGAGCCATAACAAGAGCATCCAGAGGGGAAGCAGGAGGGTTGGTGGAAGTCATCAACTCCCTGACAGATAATCTACGATAGTTGTCTGCAGCGTTTGTGCGAAGAGCGGAAACAGGAGAAAGGGAAGGAGAAGGATAAACATTTGGATTGGTGGGGTCAGATAGGACTTTGGTTGGCGAGCTAGTTGGAGTGGCAATAGAAGTCATAGTTTGGGAAATGTGAAGGTTTGTAAAGAAGCGAAATGAAGAGACTGCTGTTGTAATATTGATGTTATTGCATATGTGTAATGGCAACTCGCTGAAGTAGAATGAAATGATGAGCTAGAGAAGAGTCAAGTTTATGGTTAATGAGTGAATGGTTCGTTTGTTGAAGTCTAAAAAAAAAAAAAAAAAAAAAAAAAGTGTAAACAAACCAAGCCATCTTGTTGCAATGCGACCAGTGCGTGTCATGGGTTTACTTTTCTATCATCTGCCCAAAAGCCTTTTGTGTAAGAACAATTAAACTGAGACCTTTTAATAAAGACTATTGTCAGCCACAAATGCAATGCCATGCTATGCTATGCTAAGCTATGCACTTAAAAAAAAAAAAAAATAACACATTGCAGATGAACACGCGTCGCAAAATATCAAGGCACATGAGCAAAAATATGTTTTCTTTGAACGTATGGTTTGATTTACCGCATATACTCTATCAAAGCAGTGAAGAAGGACATATCTGGAAGTAAAGGCGCTTGCTCTCCAGCCTCATTTGGCTCTGGTAACTGCAGCCCAGTCCCTGAAGATGATGTAGGAAGTGAACTCAAACGAGCCCCTGGATCTTGTAAAAAATGCTTCTCTTTTGATTAATCACTGATGTTTTCAAGGCCTCAAAGCTAATAAAGTATTAAACTTAATTTGAATGACTGGAATGCTTCCTTAAAAAATCGGCTTTCAATTTTTCATGTTTGCAAAGATCTAGATGAGTCTCCTTCATAGGCTTTACGGTTTCGTCTTTCAGGAGAAATGACAACCAGAATCTTTGATTAAAAATCTTCAATAGAATACTATTCAGAAACATAGTGTTTTCCGCCTCCTTTTCACCCTTCTATCCCTTCCTGGCTCCTACTCATGATTTTTATATATGGTGTACACATGTATGCTTGTATGGTTATAGGTTGAAGAAAACCACATCCAGCGCCAACGCCCTTCTTTCGTACTTGATGGGACGGCGAATGATTCTACAATCTTCTTGACTTTTAAAAAGAATCATTGAGATGTATTTCTGGCTTAGGGCCAAATGATCCAATCGGACACTGGTTAATTGACGCAGGATAAAATCAATGCAAGGGCCTTGGACCCTTATTTAATGATCGTCTCGATGACTGCAAATGCTCCTTTTTTGTTTCCAAAGGTATCTTCATTTCCTTCTTTTGTTCTCTCATTCCAGGCCTTTTTCCTCTCTTGGTCTTCTTTCTTTTCCCTTCTTATTTTCTCTTTCTTCTTCTCAATCCTATTACCTGTGTTCCTTTTTCACTTTCCAGCTCTTCTAATGCGTATCCCATTTATTCTTCCATGAATTGCAGAGGCTGGTTATGACTTCTATCCTAATTCTTTAATTACTTTATTCACGGGTGTGGGCTTCTTTACACAAAGGAAAATTGCTGGCACAATCAGTCTTCTCCTTCCCTCTCTCTCATCACCAAATTAAAAATAGGGCCTAACCCTGTCATCAAATAAGTGCCAAGGATATATCCTAGTGAATCTTACCCACCACCGCCACACGATACAGAGACGCGGTTTTTTATAGTAAAGTCGACATGTCTGTGACATCTACTAAATCAGAACGCTTGACAAAATGGGATCCTCAAAGTGGCCCCGACCCCTCTACATTATCTCCTATCTATAGTGGCCACCTGCTAAAACTTGGGCCCAACGGCAGATGGCAATCCCGGCACTTTACATTTGACGGTGCAGGTAAATAATACCCGAGCGATTTCATCGTACCCTTGGTCGTCGTTGAATAAAAGAAATACAAAATGCATGTATATACTCATTTCCATAGCAACGATCTTTCCTTTTTACTCCGCACACACATAAAGTCCTATTTTGTGTTGGAAAAAGATCCAAGGCCCCAATGAACATGCCGCATGACCCTCGCGTTTCCTCGTCATTTATGTCAACATCATGTGGCAGTTTTCGACCCTTGAACACCAACACCAAATGGCTCATCAACATCTCTTCCATAACTGAAATTCGACTCTTAACCGTCTCAGAATCGACAATGACTACAACAACCATTGCTTCGGCCTATCGACGGTGTTTTCCTTTTAATGATACCTGTAGAGAGCTATTCATTCAAACCTTTGATGGTCGCAACACTACCTTGAGAGCAAGCAAGGATGTGGAACTGGAACGATGGTATTTCGTCCTTTCGAAAATCTGGGAATATCGACAGCGGTTAGGTAAAATTGAGGCACAAGTTGCAACAGTAGAAGCAGTAGCAGCAATGGCAGAATCACCTCGTTCAACACGTCATCTTACGGCACATCAGCAATCTAGGCGCCTATTCCAAAAATATCTGCAGAATCAGTATCAGGGATCGCAATACCAAGATCAATTCTCTGCCAATCATCATCAGCTACAGAGGACATCCACCTATCAACTACGCCATATGGATCCTATTCATAAGCAAGCTCGAGAGGGCTCACTTCCTTACCATATTCCATCTTCTGCTGGGCCCTCGGAACTTTTGCCGCAGAGGCTTGAGCGGTCTGTGCTAGAACAAGGGGAGGATGATACTATGCCTAATAATTTTTTCGCTTCATGTCATGAACCTCAACAACCTCAGCCTGTATCCGGAAACAGGAAACAATACTCTTTAGAGCGCCTGGCAACATGGAGCCACAGCCAGCAGCAGCAACAGCGACGGCAATGTCCTCCTTCACCCGTGTTCCCAGCCTCAGCGCCCGTAAGAATGGTGGCACAGCGGTCCGACTGTCCTGCTGCTTTTTTGATGGAGCCCCAGAAAGCTGCTATGATCGACAACTGGCGCAGGAGTTTGGCTGTGTCTCCACTAGTTGGAGGAGCCAAGCCTGAAGGGGGTGAAAATACGTACCAGCTCAGGAGCGAGGCGCCAGACGGAATAAGTTTGGGCGAAACTGGCGTGGATGCACGGAAACATTCAGATATTTCTTCAGAGTTGCCCGATCTGCGCATCAATAGCCACAAAACGGAATCTACTCTAAAACATTCTTATTTAGGATTGGACTTTAGTGGTGCAACCATCGTGGATGATATGCTCAAAACAGGAGAGCCGAACATCAATAGGAGGGACCCGGAGGATAATGATAACTCATACGACCCATACAGAGGAGAGCGAGCCTACATTAACAATGGACGATCGAGCAATCCTGCTGGACTAAACAAAAGCAATATTGTTAAAAAAATAGGGGTTTATTCAGCAGAAGTGACGAATGATAATATAACGGTTAGGGATAGCTTGATGACTGAGGAGGAGGAGGAGGAGGAGGAGGAGGAGGAGGAGGAACTCCCATTAAGGTCAATTCAAGCCAGGCAGCGTCCACGATGGCTCAATCCTCAACTCTCATCCGAAGATGACGCTTCGGAAACACAGCCTACAAAGCCAAGCCTTCATCCTTGCAATGCAGAGACACCTCATCGACTTCCTCCTGAGCCCGTCACACCAGATGGCACATCAGAAAGATCTTTTGGCCATAGCTACCAGCGAGCTACCTCACCGATGGTGACATCCATCTCAGAATCTGTTCTCGATGTATATCGGAGACAGCATCAGGACCCACTAGGTATTCAGTGCCTAACACCGCCTTTAACAGATCCGTCTCTTAGCTTGCATGGCTCGAGCTACTCGCATCCTTTGGTCTATGGTTCAGATGTTTCTTTTTCGAAGCTGCACACGAGCGCATTTAAACCAGCGGACAAACGTCTAGTAAAGCTCCTTGCTGATCCTCCTCTAACAACGAATGCGACAGAGCATCCATCATTATCACTTGCGAAGGATGGTGAAAATACTACTGCTTCTGCTGATATTGTTGCCGCCAGCACTGATAACCCATCAAAGAACATTAGCTTCTTGACTATTGACACAAACCCTTACAACAGCATTGCAGCCTCCAATCCAAAACTTTCTACTTTATTTCCACGATTGAAACGATCATCGGAGGGCCCGATGTCCCCCATGCTTTTTGAGCCCAAAGATACTCTTCCTTCCATACTGTTGTCAAGTTCAGATTCAATCAATGCATCCTCACCTCTTCCTTCTACTACCATACATAAGGGTTTTGATTGGCAAGAGCAACAGCCTTCGCCATCTTGTTCTATCTCGGTTATGTCTAGTGTAAGTCAAGTGCCTCGATTGAGTCAATCGCCACCATCTCACTGTGTCCATCCTCACCAACAGCGCCAGGTCAGAGTAGAACGTGAGGATGGTGATAGTGATGATGATGAGCCCTTGGGTGTGACTCTCTCAAGACAACAGGGTCTCTCACAACAGACTCCTTTATCACAGCGACGGCGTCTGTCGACTACAGGCCACATGGGCCATAGAGACAGTGTCCATCATGACTTTGATCATGGTCATGCTAATAGTAAAAGACGACTATCATTGCCTTATAGACGACTCACTCACCACCCAAAAAATAATGAGGGCATTGCATTTTGCTAAAAAGTAAAAATAAAATAAAATAAAATAAAATAAAATAAAATAAAATAGACATTTTTAGATCCGAATAGGTTTATTAAACAGTTAAGTGTTGAGATGTATATAGCATGATAAACTTGAAAGTTATAATTTTGTGTAGGTGTAGAAAAAGGCCTTTTTTTTCGGGACCCAGGGCATAATTGAGAGTGTGGTCTTTCTTTGTAAGTGAGCAACGACCCAAAGAGAAATGCGAGAGAAGAGAGATTTTTTAAAAAAAAAAAAAAAAAAAAAAAAAAGAGAGAGAGAGAGAGAGAGAGCGGCTCTTGTTCATCCTATCGTCTCTTTGATCCAGCAAAAGGCTTGAATAAAAAGTTTAAATATAAAACAGGGGAGAAGAGCTTTTATTTTTTATTTTTTATTTTTTATTTTTTTTATTTTTGATCATGGCTATAGATAACTTGCTCATATAATTGTTGCATGTAGATCGTAATAGACTGCCATGCTTATGTGTCTAAATGCTTAATAAATAAAATTCATTGGTGTCGTTTTGGTGTTAATTAAAAATAAAAAAGAACGCGTGCCAATACATCCTATGCATTGACTATGGTATTCATAAATCATAAAATGTGTACTGTTAGCATGAGAGAGCACCAACAGAACGCATAGACATTGAACAACATGTAAAATGTGTGGAGTGAATGTCATGTGTCTTTTATGAACAGACGCGTTGCCTGATTTTCTTTCTCGAGGGGGTTGGTTGACAGGTATAAATACAGTCTTCTCTCTTCCATACTTTCATAAAACTCTACTATTTACTTCTTTCCCTAATAATAATTTTCTGATTCTTTAATCCATCTCCATCACTCCACCCACCCAACACACAACCTCATTTCATTCTCATCAAACAACTCATTAGACAATCATGGACAAGTTCAAGGAGGTAGAGTAGACATCATTTCTTATCCTGAATCCATTATTATGATTTGCTTTTCTTCTTCTTTTTATTATTGTTGTTATTATTTATATTCTCTTACGAAATACTGATAATGTCTCTTCCCCACTCTTCCAGAAACTCGCTGCCCTTCGTGAGGAAGTCAACGCCGCTCTTGCTCGTGCAGAGACTGCAGAGATGGAGGTCAAGCGTCTGAACGATGAGATTAATGAGAAGGACCATCAGATCACATCGTTGCAGAACAAGGTGACATTGACAGAAGCAGAGCTTGAGAAGGCAGAGAACAAGATTGCAGAGACCAAGCTCAACTTGGATGAAGGCGAAACCACCAAGACCGTAGGCGAAGGTCTGGCCAGAAAGGTTTCTTTGCTCGAGGCCGAGTTGGAGACCGCTGAACACAACCTCCGTGATACTACTGAGAAGTAAGTCTTTTATACAAATATATTTTATCTTTTTTCAGGGGTTGTTTGGTGACAGAGAGCGAATAGGGGATGGCGTAGTTCCTGTTCACCTTATTGCCAATCGTATCATCTTCGCAATGGATTGTTGTGTCGTCCATATCGCATGATCCTTAGACCCACTGTCAAGCTCTTTCCTCCCCTCCCCCCTTGGTTATTATTATTATTATTTTTTTTTTTATTTCCATTTAACAAAAAAAAAAAAAAAAAAAAAAAAAAGAGCATCGCACTTTTTTTTTTAGCTTTTTTTTTTGTTCAACCTATTTGTGGAAGTGGAGAGCAGGTCCATCTTTTAATCTGGCATAGAATACGTGAGCTAGATGGGACCAAGAGAAGAGCTAAAGAGAGTTCAGAGAAGGTTTTGACGAATCATCGACATCTATCTCGGCTCTCTCTCTCTCTTCATCCCCTTACTCGCCACTTTTATTAAAACTATTATTATTTTGCGAAGTTTTTTTTTTTTTTTTTTTTTCCCTTCCTACATTAACTAACTCGCCTTTTTTTTCTTTTCTTTTTCTTTTTCTTTTTGCAGGCTCCGCCAAATGGACATTAAGGCCGAACAATTTGAGCGCAAGGTGCAGCATTTGGAGAATGAGCGTGAGACCTATGAGCGCAAGATTGAAGACTTGACCTCAAAGTATAATGGAATCAAGGCAGAATTGGATGAGACTCTCAAGTCACTCGAGGACATGTAAACGTGGAACATCCCCAATCATTTTTTACTTTTAATAAAGAATAATAAGAAAAAAAAAAAGGCATGAAACTCTAGTGTCGTATTGCATGTTGAATATGACTGTCATTATAATATTATTACCGAGTTTTTTTACCCAAATATATTTCTAATGCATCTTATCTGATCGTCCTATTGGCAAAATGTACATGTATGACAATAAGAAAATAAATAAGAAAAGGTCAATGGAACATGGTTCTCAGATGGACTTTAAAATCAAATGACAACACCCACAAAGACTAGAGCTAGAAAGATGGCTAAAAGCTGTTCGTTTCATGTATTAAGAAAAAAAAAAAACGAGTCTACTGTTGTACAATATATATAGAATGTGAAGGTTCGAAAGATACAAAAGCCAACACGAATTGGAAAAGTCTATGAATAAGCTAAGTAATGATAAATCTAAAGTGATCTAAAAGAAACAAGGAATAAAAAAAAAATAAAAATCATCATGCAGAAGAAAAAGTAGGGGGTAGAATAGATGAAACGGAGGTTGAGGCTGTTACAGATGATGCTGATGCTGATAATGCTGACGATACTGATGATGCCGATGATGCCGTTTTTGCTGTTGTGGCTATTCCTGCTGATGATTCAGAGTCACCCTCAAGGCTTTCCTTGATATACTCGTATGCAAACAGATATCCAATGCCTCCTGGAATTGATGCCATAATCTTGGGAGCCATGCCCTTAAAGAATCCACGGATACCTTCCTCTTTAGCAATCAATTTGGCCATGGACCACCAACCCTTCCTCAACTGCTCAGCTTGATCTTTATGAAAACTATCCAGTAACTGTAATCGGACACGGACCATATCAAAGGGAGAAGAAACCACGAGCGACATCACAGATGCGTTTAATGCCGATAATCTATTACGGGGGTGTTTTGTAAAATAATAATAATAATAAAAGAAGATAATAAGTATCAGCCAATAGACATTATAAATACAACTGAAAGAATAAATCAAAGCGGCAAGGTTTTTTGTTTTTTTTTTTTTTTTTTACCCAACAATGATCATGTTATTCTGAGAGAAGCGGTTTTTGGCGAAAAATCCATCCGGGTTGCCTTGCGCAATCTGTTTCTGCTCCTGAGCAATGAACTGATTGAATAGTAGCTTCTTAGTCGATTCATATCCTGCCCAATGCGTGACACTTGAGGGCGTGAATGCCATCAGAGTAGCCATGAAACCTTGATAATATCCCCGAATGCCGTCAGTCCTGTAGATTGACTTGAATATATCTTTTTTAAAGAAAAAAAAAAAAAAAAAAAAAAAAAAAAGAAAAGTCAACGCTTTTGACTCTATGATTCTTTTCAAGTCCATGAAACTTCAACTTTTTGCTCTGTAGGAAGAGAAAAAAAAAAGTATGCAGCCATTACCTATGCTCGTCATGTGTTTGCCGCCTTTGGCTTCAGATTGTACACGCAACCGCTGAGAAATGATATCTGTTGGCACATAAAACAGTGCTGACACGGCCTCCGCCAAGAATCCTGCAGTTCCAGCAACAGCAATCTCTACTCGGAATGAAGAAAGTCAATATTAGATTTCTTTTTTTTTTTTTTTTTTTTTTTTTTTTTTTTTTTAGGAAAAAAAAATGTGCAAAAAAAAGACTTCAGCTTTTACCTCTCATGGCGCTGTTTGAATTATGGCGATCAGGAAATTCACGCTCAATGACAGTCGTAGCGTGCTCATAAACACCAAGGTATACAAACTGTGAGGGTAGTGAAGTCAACACTAAAAAGGCATCCACCGAATAATAACAATAGCAATAAGGATGTTGTTAGAAACAGATCGGTAGCAAAAGGAAAACACCTGTTTTATAGATCAGGACGGGCCCGAAGATCGTCTAAACTTACAGAAAGGACCAAGACCTCGGAACAACTTTGTTGGACCTATATAATATGCATATGACTAATCATGTCAATCAACTTTATTTTTTTTTTAAAGGATAATTATATGAGAATAGACCATTCAAAAGTGTAATGTTTTTCTTATGGTTTTGGTGGCTTTACCTTCAGTCCTGGCAATGTCGCGTAAAAGTTTGAAAGTGGATTGAGGTCGGTTCTGATTTTAATGAGAGATCGAATGATAGTCAGTTTGATAACAGTTAGGGCTGTCAATGTCATTAACTTAACCTTCACTATACAAAATAATCTCCACTAAAAAAAAAAAAAAAAAAAAAAAAAAAGGAATGTAGGGGTATGCAGAGAGCTAAGAAACAAACATTACATCTTTGCTGGCCTGCATTCTAGTTCTGGCAACCTCCATGGGCCACGCTATGACGTCTACAAGGAAATGATGTTCATAATTGATATAAAAATATTAACAGAGGAATGCTTGTCAACGACCAGATCGCCCAATGTAAAAGAGGAGGCCCAAGCACCCACGAGGGATAGGATCCGCGCAACAACATGTTTCTCCTTTTTTTTCAGACAATTTTTTATGCCACCCAAGCAATTGATCGAAGGAGAAACAATTATAGACTTTACCGAGGCACATGAAGACACCGGTGCCTTGGAACATGTAGGCAACTACGCTAGAAGGTCCGAGTGTAACCTTTTTCTGAACAGGATATGCTGCCGCATTTTCGGCTAGCGCGGCTGTGACAGGATTGGGTATTGTAGTCATCTCGAATGTAGACAAGCGTGAAATTTGCTCCGCTTCGGTTGATCCGTAATTGTAAGGGAAATGAGAAAGGGGAAGAGGAGGGAAGAGAAGCCTAAGGGAGGATTAAATGAAAGAGAAAACGCAATGTGTGCAACTGTCAAAACAGAAGAGCACTGAGACAAGGTCTAATGGATCCTTCGACCCCTGAAGAATATGAAAAAAGCGAGTAAAAAAGACAGTGCAAGAAAATCAAAAGCCAATTGACTGAACGAAAGGAGATCGCATTCAGATTGTAGATGAATATATTTAAAAAAAAATAAAATAAAATAAAAGGAAGGGCGATTAGATGCAGGAGAAAGGTTGAATCAAAGCATTAGAAAGTTTACGATGTAGTTCAAAATGTGTAATTTGCCATTTCGGGACGCATGTCGTTCAACAACAAAACTTTTGGACACAAATGCAATTGGCGACTGAGGGAGATCCAACATATAAGCCACAGCTCTAAATTAAGGCAAGACAGGGAGATGCCTTTAGGGAATGTAAAATTATTATATATTGCATTTGTAGATAGTTCTGCATATACAGGAAGATGACATGGCGCGGCAGCTTTTATTATGAGACTTGTTTAATAAGGCTTGCCTCTGATAAATATTATCCCGTTTCGACCCACATGGAAGAATTAGTAAAATAAATAAAATAAAATAACGCAACTTTTAGTTGGTTGGGGCGTCATTATCATCATCGTCCTTGGACCTGTTTGCTGATTTTAGGACCATTGAAATAAAAAAAAAAAATCGGGCCAACCAAATAGAGTAGACAACGATGCGTTCATTTGCCTGTCTTAAATAGCAGGCTGCATCGATTGGGCGTGCCTTCCTTGCATACCAGTGTCCCTTTTCGTTTCCTAACAATCTACTTTTATATATACCCTTCTCTTTCTCTCTTTCTCTTCTTTTTCCTTTCTTAACTTCTGTTTTTCACTTATTGCCCTTCATTTTTAAAGAAGTAGAAACATCTCATTGCCCTTCCTTCTTCTTTTCTTTCAGCTCTCTTCTTTATCCCACCCTCCACTTCCTTTTTTTCTCAAAGGAAAACAAAAAACAGACTATCACCATCATGTCGTCAGCGGATGTTATTGTTCCCTCCACAATTAAACCCAAGCGTGGATTGGCCTCTTTTAAGACCATGTTCAGCTCAAAGCGACAGTCCATTGCTCAAATACCTGGTTCAGATGAATCCTCTTCGCCTTCACCCACCTCGGCTCGCCCGTCCTTAGAATCTACCATAGATTGTCCTACTGCTGGTGTAGAGACGTCCTCTCAGAAATTCGCCGGCTCCGTCCCCTCGCTCTTTGGTTCAAACCAGAAGCGAGCAATGGAAAAGGCAGTAGAGAAGGAGAAGAAGGAACAAGCCAAGCAGGCGATTCAATTGAGTACTATTGATGAGAAAGGTGCCTTCATTCCTCCTACTCCTCTGGAGAAGGGCTACAAAGACAACTTTAGGGACAATGATGAGGATTACTTCCAAACAATCATTAGTACTCCACCAGAACGAGTTCGGACATTCCTATCGACAGAGTCAACTATCAGTCCAGGCATGTTCTCTTCGCCTTCAAGCAAGATCAAACGATATTCTCTACCATCATCCTTCATGACTACAAGCCAACAACAGCAACAACCTATCTCTTCCGAATTCATGAGCGTGGATCTGACCACACCAGACCTGGGCTCTTCTCCTCCACCGCAAGTGCCTCCGAAAGACAAGCACTACACTGCATACCAAGCGCAGCAACAACAGCCCAAGAAGAGGAACAACACTGTCCACATTGCATACTTGACAGGGACTGAGGACCTGAGCGAGGCTCTTTCAGAGTCGATCAGCTCCCTCATGCCTTCCGTTCCATCTTCACCATCACACGAGGTGCCAGACTTGATGGATGATGATGACTCTGAGATCTCTTCCTCTACAAATCCTTCCCCAAGACATTCGACTGCATCATTGCAAGATGATCATTCCTATGATCGGAGCCCTGTCAAGACCAAAGTTGAAGGAATGAACGACTTGATCCTTGGTGGCCCATTGCCGCTTTCGTCTTAAAGTTCTTTCTAGGTCTCACTTCGACCCAAAAAAGGCCAAGTTTGGGAATCCTCACCCAACATATCCATTATTTTTGCTTTATCTGATCTGTACCTATAGCTTTTTTTTTTTTTTTTTTTTTTTTCTTTTATTCCCCTCTTAATCCATGTTTTTCTGTAGTAGTAGTAATAATAATAATAATAGTAATAATAATTATAATATATATAATTCGTAATATCGTTCTTCCAATGTGCACAACTGAGACTTTTTAGTTTCTCATGGCATTCTAAATCTTTATCTTACATTTCTAAAATATACATTTATATCATAACTTTTTTTTTTTTTTTTTTTTTTTTTCTTGACTTTCTTTTCCTTTTGGCCAGTCATCTCAACAGAAAAGAAAAAACTCGGTTTTTCTTTCTTTCTTTCTTTATTTTCTTTTGACAGTTTAGATCGTTGCATGGATATTACTGCGCTTGTGGTTTGTTTAATTACAATACAATGATGCATTTTGTGGGGTGCATTAGAGACAACAGTAAATAAATAAATATTATATATATACATTAATATATATACATTATACATGTGTAAATGCCATGTTTTGTATTATATAAATATTTAGATTTGTATTATTTATAATACGGTTATGATCAAACCACGTTGTTTTTTATTCTTGGCAAGGTTCAAGCCTCCTTCACCCATTCACCCATACTATCCTCCTCAACATTATCTCTTTCTAGCTTTCTCTTTCTCTTTCGCTTTCTATTACCGTTCAATATAGATGAACTCATAAAATGATTCGTTCGTCTAGCCCTAGTTTTTTTTTATTGATTTATTTAAAGGGGGAGAAGGAAGAGGAGAGAGAGGGGCTGTTCACATTGAACTGAACGGCCCAACCAGCTAATTCTCAACAAACAAATAAACAAAAAAAAAAAATCCTGGCATGTTTGTCATGTTTGTTCATGGTTTATTTGCTCATGTGGACACGCTAGAACTAACTAACCCCCCTTTCTCAGCAAGACGTGCATGCAACCAACTGTAGGGCAACAGCTTGTTTAGACTAGGCACGCAGGGGATTACATGTTCATGTCAGGTCTGTAATAAACGGAGAAATCGCCAGTAAATGGTTATTTTGGGATGAAAAACAATTTTTTTTTTTTTTTTTTTTTTTTTTTTGGGGGGGGGGGGAAGGGGGGAAGAGGAAAGGGAGATACATGTAGATTGGTTGGGATGTAAGGAAGAGAGGGACCCTTGAAAAAAAAAAAAAAAAAAAAAAAAAGAATGCATGCATGCATGTATGCACGAAATATTAACACTTTGCGCAGTGAGTCCAAAGAGATATGACATGAACTTCACTTCCGATTAAAAGGTCAAGTGGTTGATGTTTTCTTTGAGCTCTCAGTCACAGATCTCTCCACCAGCGTAAAAGTCCAAGCTGGAGTGAAGGATTGTTCCTTGTGTAACCCAACGATGAACGCACTGATCTCCAAAGTGATATGGTCTTCGCGCATATCTTCAAAAGGACCATTTCGCTAGAGGACCATGCGAGATCATTTTTTTGTCAAGATATGTTTGTATATTATATAATTTATTAATTTATTCATTTAGACACTGGCTTCCTGAAGAGCCTGATATTCGTTAATGCTTCCTCGCATGTATGCTTGCTGAGTAGAAGGCACAGAGTTACCACTGACATAATGAGACTGTGATGATGAAGACGAATCCTCCTTAGCTCCCCAACCACCACCGCCAGGAGTGCAAATCAACAATCGATCTCCAGCCCTTACATTCGCTGTGTTCTTTCCAGATAAATTCACAGTTCTGTATACAGTTTCTATCTCATCCTTCTTGTACGTATCAGTTTCAGAAGCTGCAAGCAACGAACCGTCCTTCTTACGGACCGTGCGCTTTTGTACCCACAGATTCTTGCCAGATTGACCCGGCCCACCTCCCGCCATACCATAGGGTTGGAAGACGCGACGTTCACTCAGAATAGATACTTCCATCGGCTCCAAGAACTCAATGTTACGAACAAGTCCCTCGCCACCAGGGTGAAGCCCCTCTCCTCCAGATCCTTGGCGGAGTGCGAATTCACGTAGAATGACAGGGTAGCGGCGCTCCATGATCTCAGGATCAGTAATCCTAGTGTTGGTCATGTGCTATATAGAAGAAGAATGAAAAGATTTTACTGGCTGTGAGTGTAGTTTTTTTTTTTTTTTTTTTTTTTTCCATTACATCATCAATTAAAACTTACAGTGTGGACACCACTTTGTCCATTCCACGTAGGTCCTGCACCTGCACCTCCACCAATGGTTTCGTAGTATCCCCAACCCTCCACCACCTTAGTTTCACCTGTCTTAGTATCCACGGTCTTGCCGCCCACACCAAATGTCAGATTGTTCATGCACCCTTGCGAGGCACCACAGACCTGGAAGGCTTTCAAAATCACATCCACCAATCTCTGTGACACCAAGACGTTTCCTCCAACCACAGCCGCAGTCTCTGAAGGAGCAAGCATTGACTTTTCAGGGATCTTGATCGTCACCGGTGACAAGCATCCTTGATTGAGAGGAATATCTACCGCAACCATGCATCGCAAACAGTAAATGATTGCTGAATATGTAACCGAAGCCGGCGCATTACAATTGCCATAGACTTCTTCACTGGTCCCTTCAAAATCAAAGACAGTAGAACCATCCTCAGGGTTAATCTCAATCCGAAGGCTGATCCTGCTTCCATCATCCATAAAATCAGTCGCAACAAGGTCTTTGCCTTCAGACCGACGCAGGGCTCCTTTGAGGAGATCGCGCACTGCCATCTCGGCATTCTTACGAATGTGCATCATGTAGGCCTGGACTACATCCAACCCATACTCTGCGACCAGCCCCTTGACAAGACCGATGCCCTTGTGGTTTGCAGCCACTTGGGCTTTCAAGTCCGATACATTGTCACGTAGGCAACGAGTTCCACTGCAACCAGGATACTTGGCGGGCTCCTCCACCAGCACCTTAGTTAGGCCTTCAAGGTCAAAATGACCTTTGGAGACTAACTTTAGCGATCGGATAGCAGCACCTTCCTGGTAAAGTTCCTTCGAGTTGGGCGGCATGGAGCCTGGGAGAATGCCTCCGATATCGGCATGATGTCCACGCGATGCCACAAAGAAGACGATCTTGCCTTCATTGAAGACTGGTGTGATGACAGTGATATCGGGTAGGTGGCTCCCTCCTGCAGCAGGGTGGTTAGTCATAATTACATCGCCTTCTTGAATATCACCTTTGTAATACTCCATCTGGTATTGCACAGCATGCGAAAGCGATCCCAGATGGACAGGGATGTGAGGAGCATTCGCAACCAAACCACCATCTGGCCCAAACAAAGCACAGGAGAAATCTAGACGTTCCTTGATATTGGTACTAATGGCGGTCTTTTGCAAGGTGCGACCCATTTGTTCTGCAATCGACATGAAGCGGTTACCAAACACAGCCAACATAATGGGGTCCATCTCAGTCGTCACCTGAGACTTATGTCCATCACCAATGGTGATCACAACCGTATCAGAAGTAATGAGTCCAGTGCAGAATGGCTGAATCAGAATAGCCGAATTAGCATCCATGACGATAGCAGGTCCTTCAATAGATACCCCGACTGGTAACTTCTCAAGCAAGTAAATAGGTGTCTTGTCATTGCGACCACCCTCAAAGTAAATGCTGGTCGTTTCCTCAGCCAAAGAGGGATCCACTGGCTTGACCTTCAAGTTCTTGATCTCCTCCTGAACAGAGAGTATAGAAGACTGAGCTGACTTTCCAATACTGCGAATACGGATGTCGTCTACAATGATGTCGCGGTCTGGCAAATGGAATCCAAATTCATACTTGTAGTTCTCAACAAATGCGCTGGAGAAGTTCCAATCATCCTCTGCTTGCGGCTTGAGCGTCATCAGAGCGCAGTCTGTACCATCGTATCGTAAGTTGAGGTAGATCTCACATTCAATATGGTCCTTTTCAAAGCCTTGGCTCTCAAGCTCTTTGTGGCATTGATCGACCAGGCACTTGACTCTTTCTTTAATCGCAGGGAGTGACTTTTCAGACAGGGTCTCTGAGCTGGGCTCCTGTGCCTCGTAGACAACATCTGCCAAAGAAAGTCCATAAGCAGACAAGACAGACGAATACTTGTGGATAAAGATGCTGGAGATACCCAATGCGTGTGCAATAGCGCAGGCGTGTTGGCCTCCAGCGCCACCAAATACTGAAAGGATATGCTTGGAGGCATCATGTCCCTTTGCTTCAGTCAACGCACGGATAGGACGACACATGGACTCATTAGCAACTTTGATGAATCTGTGATATATAAAAGCATAAAATATATCTTTAAGCCAGTGCAATAAAGGACATTACTTGGGCTAATGCGGAGGACATTCTTACCCGTATGCAGCCTCATCGACAGACATTGGGGTCCACTTTGAGCCTTCGGCTGCCTTATCTTTGGCCATGCATTCGTTGATCTCCTTTGTCAGCTCCTCAAATTTTTTACGTGCAATATCGATGTCGAGACCCTCGTTCTCATTGGGACCAAAAATCTTGGGAAAGTAATCAGGGTTGAGACGGCCAAGGACTAAGTTGGCGTCTGTGACAGTCAATGGACCGCCCTTGCGGTAGCAAGCAGGCCCAGGATGAGCAGAAGCGCTCTCTGGCCCAACAACAAATGTCCCGTTCCTGAAGAATAGCATGGATCCGCCTCCTGCGGCAACGGTGTTGATATCCAGTTGTGGAGCCTGAACCGTCACTCCAGCAGTAGTGGTCTCAAAGACATGCTCATACTTGCCGCCAAAACGAGAGACATCTGTGCTAGTGCCTCCCATGTCAAACCCGATGACAGGAACACCCTCTTTTTTATCGTAGGCTGTCATTCCGTAGCCAACAACTCCTCCCGCAGGACCAGAGAGAATAGCCCGTAACCCAGAGAACCGATTAACAGGGACGAGTCCTCCGTCACTTTGCATAAATTGGAGGGATACATCCTTTGTCAAGTTCTCGTCAAATCCGCTCACGAAGCCGTCTACATACTTCTTAATACATGGCGTTAGGTATGCATCCGCGGTTGCCGAGGTTCCGCGAGGTACCATCTTGATCATGGGTAAGATAGCTGATGAGAGCGAGACGTGAGTGAATCCGATCTTCTCCGCCAAAGCGCCTATGGCCTGCTCATGGTCAACAAAGGTATACGAATGAAGCAGACATACGGCAATACTCCTGAACCCTTGATCATAGAGGTCTTGAAGCTGCTTCTTAGCCTTCTCCATATCTAAAGAGAATGGGAAAATATATGGATATTAGAATCTTTATCCTCCTATAAAGAGAAAGGTATATGTTTGATCAATAACTCCAATATATTCTTTCATACCAGGCTTTTGAAGGATGTGAACGTATTCCCCCGAAACCCCTTTGACGTATGAGGGATCATTGGAATCAATATTCTCGACAATGCCCATGGGACTTGAGGTATATCCGACCAGCGTTACTCTAGGAAATTTTATGTATTTAATGAGGGATTGATAAAATATTGTCAGGATTTTTGTTCGCTAAACAGACGGACAAACTATTTATGAAATAACGGTAGTCTCTGTATTCACCTCTCATCCACTTCGACAACGGCCTGATAGAGGACATCAGGTTTGGTAATGGACAGATCAAAGATCTTGGGGCGCGATTGGTTGCCTATACAATGCAATAGCAATGAATAATTATAGAACCCAAAGAAAAATTATAGTTCTTTGATATAATTGCCTTTATCCTGTTGTCGATGTAACAAGGCTTTTTTCCGTCATTAGCATCCTACCGATTAACAAGAGATCCTACGTGCATAGATTTTTTAAGCAAGTAGTTACTGTTAGTTTGCATAAAAAAGCCGTAGCATTACAATGTCTACACGTCAGGTCAAGTTAATGTCATGGTACAATGACTCATTGGCGTTTTTTTTTTTTTTTTTTTTTTTTTTGGCTCTGATTACCTTGAATCCTTTTGTGATTAATAATGCGCTGCGCTCTCCCTTTCTCTCCAGAAGTGCATTTGTTGCCACTGTTGTTCCCATACGGATAGATTCTGTAGATGTCGCAATAAGAAAAGAAAGGAAAAAAAAAAACAATCATTTAGGCTCCTCTTCTTCTTTGTCAAGGTTTGCGCAGATATGACAAACGGCAATGTTGTTTTGTGCTTTTTTTTGCTTTCATTGTACCCAAGTTTTCGGTAGCTACAGGCTGATCACGCGGATGGGGTTTGCCTGTTGCGATCTCAAGAATGCGTCGGATTCCCTCACGAGGAGCATCTGGGTAATTATTAGGATCAACTGAGAGGAGCTTAATGACCAAATCCTTACGGCCTGTTGGATGTTCCTCAGAGACGGGGACGGGGATCGAGGCTACACAGTCTGTGAAGGTGCCACCTCGATCGATGCAGACGCGAATACCGTTTTTTCGACTCCCTTGAACCATCTTTTTTTTTTCCCAATTATTATTATTACTTTTAATCAATTGAACAGATAGTATCTATGTGATGGATATGGAAAACAGAATAAAGAGGGAGGAAAAAAAAAAAAAAAAAAAAAAAAAGCAAACGAGAAAGGAGAAGGAATGAGGAATGAGGAATGACATTCAAAAAAAAAAAAGACGAGCGAGGGAAAACCTCGCACAGTCACATCGCTCTTGCGTGTTGTCCGTGGGAAACTTAATTCTCCAATAGACCCCAAAACAAACGGGAGCGCCCATAAATCCTAGTATCACAACCTTTTCTTCAATGTTATTAATTTATTCTGGACGCGAAGCCTGGAGAACCGCATCATAAGTAATGAGGATCTTTTTAAAAAAGAAAAAAGAAAAGCTCTTGGGAGAACGTTCTTTGTTTGGACAGAATGGACAGAATAGACAGAATAAAAAAGATATACCAAGTCACTTTCAGTAGGCTCAATTGCAATGCTGATCTATAGGACGGTCATAATAGCATGAAAGAGTAGATCTTGGGACCACGAGTGTTGATGGTTGAGAAGTGTGGAGGGGAATAAGCATATCGATGTTTCAATCTAATAGGGTCTCCTTCCAAATGTGGTCCAAGCTCTTTTTCTTTTGAACTGGAATAAGGGGACTGCTTCATTTGTGCTTGCTGTTGGAGAACCAGTTGGAGACGCGTCTTTGCTTCTCTCCTTTATTATTATTATTATTATTATTACTATTATTATTAATTGCTCTTTGTAAACACATGTGAAAACATCTAATCTTCGCCTTTTATCCATTCATTTTAATCCAAAATCCCATACCCATCTTTCTCATCATTAGAATCCTTGTTTTTTGTTTTTTGTTTTTTTTTTCTTCATAATATACACATTACATTATATTTTACTTTTTACTTTTTAAACTGACATTCCAGCGCAGGGCATGTCATGGAATGATTTCTTGCCAGAGCTGGCAGTCAAACACGAAGTTCTCGAGTCGTTGTACGCAGACATTGGCACCCCAAAGGAGGCAAAGGCAAAAGAATGCCAAATACTCTTTGACAAGTTTCTAGATGTGATCAACAACCATATTCAACATGTAGAACAGGAAAAGGTACACATGCTTAGTCAATGTGAGCAGTTACTCGTCGACATCAAGCGTATGACAGGATTGGTAGGGCAAGGCGAGGAGGGACTCAATAAGTTAGCAGAAACCATAGATGGTATGACTCTATGGGACCGACATAAGCTATTACAAGAAGAATATTCTTACATTTATGAGGTGAGGAGAGATTTACGGTGTCAGATCCAAAAAAGAAAAAGAAGAAAAAAAGAAAAAAGGAAACTCTTGAGAAAGACAGTTGAAGGATAAGGACCAGTCCATATGTCGGCCTGTTGACAACTAATTCACTTTTTCTCTTTCTTTTTCTTTTTCTCCTCTCTTTCAAATTTAACAGCATTACACCCAAAAACTAGAGGAGATCAGAGCGTTACATCATGAGCTTGCACAGTATGCAACGATACTCGGCTCAACTTATGTCAACCCAGGACCATATCCAGAAGAAGGAGCAGCAGTCTCATTCGATGTCATTCAGCAGTTCTCAGACAACATTGCCACATGTGAGACTGAGCAGGTAAAATAATCCAGGATTTCTTTGAATTATTCACAAAGTAAAAAAAAAAATAGACTTGTCGCTATTTGCTAATGTCGTTTTTTGTTCTGGATTAATAGAAAAGGCGCATATCCATTGTCGAGTCTACTATTATTACAATCAAACACCTTTGGACGGAGCTTGGATTGACAGCACAGGATTCATTTGAACGACAGATTCTGGATGCAGAGCATGACTCATATCCTATATCTGACGAAGCTATGAGACGGCTGGAAACGAAACAGTCAATGGTGATTTTTTTTTTTTTTTTTTTTTTTTTTAAAAAAAAAAGTGTTCTTTTATTTTTACACATATTAGATACGGCATGGATAGATAGCATTTAATATGGCTTTTCAGTATTTAACTGTTGACTTTTATATATACTATAGCTCGAGGATGAACGGTCGAAACGAGAATCAATCGTCAAAGAGCATTTAGCAGATATTACACGGCTCTGGGATAAGCTTCGGATTGATGAAGATGAACGTGAAGACTTTATAACGAGTCACGTTGGACTAACTATGGACACTATCCGAGCTGTATGATATTATCTTTCTAAAGATTGAAACCCGCATTGAATGCATTTTTTTTTTTTTTTTTTTTTTTTTTTTTAATTGATTTACCTCCCGTCTAGTATTCAACACTCACAATATGGGGAAACATGCTCATCTCTTTATAGTACAAATCCGAGTTGAATAGGCTGGAGGAGCTAAAAAGCCAAAAGATACAAGAATTTATTTTGGACGAAAGAGATCTTCTCTATGAGCTTTGGGATAAATTGTATTACTCTTTGGAACAGCGCAAGAGCTTTGCACCTGTGTTGGATGACAACTTTACGGACGAGAGTTTAGCAGCACATGAAGCTGAAGTCGCACGGTTACGGCAGGAGGTGACAGAGAATGAACATATTTTGGATGCTATTGAACAGTACAGAAGGATGCTAGATGAAATCAGAGAATTCGAAATCACCTCTATGGATGCTCAACGATTGTTTAACCGCGATCCTGGTCGACTACTACGTGAAGAGAAATTTCGGAAGAAGATTGCACGTGAATTCCCAAAGATCGAATCAGAGTTGGAGGACGCATTATATGAATGGCAACAACTGAAGGGACGGCCATTCTTAGTGTACGGGGAGATTTACATCAAAACCATGAAACACCATGCCCAGCAAGCCCGCGAGGGCAAGGAAAATGAAAAATTATGGAGGGTACAACAATATACAGCTTCTCTCATGACCTTACTCTTGATCAGCTTTAACTGAGTAAAAATGATTTATATTAATTTTTTCTTTATTCTTCTCCGGTTTTTACCATTTCAGGAACAACGGCGGTACTTGTCATTGCAGAGAGATCTGCGATACGGTTCCCAGAATCCAAAAAAAACCGCACAGTCACCCCATCCCCGCCGTATTTCTCCTGCAGATCTGCCACCAAGCGAGTCGTCTGGCTGTCGATCGCCGCCTCCTACAAATCACACCACACCGCAGCCTCAAACACCTACATCCAAAAGGATTGGACTAGTATCAACAAGTCGACCAGGGACGCCATCATCGTCACATGTTAGAACTATTCCATCTTTCTATCCTACTACACCCACCAAAGCTCGATCTCAAACCCATGTCAACTCCGGACAAAATCCACTCTTACAATCGCCACGTAGTTTCCAAACACTTCAACTTCAGAGACAAAACAGCGCCAATGGGAAATTTTACTCTAGAAGTGAATCTCCGGCAACGTCCTTTTCGCTTTCAAAAATGCCTTCGACCCCATCCAAACACGGCAATATACGAAGTTCTGGTCCCCCTATTATGATGACAACAGAAGATTCTAACAACAGAAGGAGCAATTCAATAATTTCAATCTCGTCCACCACTACTGAAGGCGTTGCAGAGCCATCGACTCCAACACGCACGACCCGTATACACCGGCCTATTAGCTTTGATTTAACTCGACAATCCATTCAGGAAGAAGATCATCTTAGGTTGACACAGTCGCCTCGTGATCGTAAACGGACTGTTGCTGACATGTCATCCCCACCAGGATCGCCCTCTGTTTATAAGCTCAGGAGGAAGTCAAGAAGCCCTTCGCCACAATTGGAGGTGTCTTCATCCAATAATCATACTATACAAATTAAGGAATCTCCATTTGTCTCTAAAACTACTAAAGCGATTGACCCTGCGGAGCTCGCCACGAAGAAAGTTAAACAGGGAGACCGCTTCATAAGACAACTTTTGAAGATTCAAGCACAGGAAATCCACAATACCAATGATGAAAACGATGAGAACGCTGAAAACGACGAAAGCGATGAAAATATGGCCACTACATTGGATGAGGAAGACGATAGCGTCATCGAACTGGACCAAGCTGAAGCCGAGCATTTGTTTTCGACAGCGCACGAGATCATTGAAGTTGTAGATGAGCAAGAGGTGGAGAGCGAGGGATGGGAGACAGAGAATGATGAATCGCCACGATCACGGCGGCAATCCAAGGCTGTCAGCAACCCGAGTTTATCTCAGCAAACACAAAACATGGGAAGTTAAGCTGATCATGGGCGTTTAGTGGATGCTTTTCTTTTTTTTTTTTTTTTTTTTTTCAACATTTTTAAATAGATACCAGTGCTTCTTATTCAGCATATTGGTAACTGAAGCAACATTTTTCTTTCTCGTTTTCTTTGCTTGTATTTATCTTTTTTATCCTTAACGCTATTACCATTAATATTTGCTGTATAGTCAAACACTGTCGCTCGTTTCTCGTATGTCTACATCGTTCTTTATTATAGTTTTTTTTTTATTATTTCCCCTCCTTTCTTCCTTTTTTATATTTTACTTTTTGTACAATAGTTGGCTCAGTGTATAATATATTTTTTTATTGTCATTATTTATATAACTCTAAGCCTTTGCGGCGTGCTTGGCAGCGCCGCGCCTCAGGTTTTCGAGTAAGATGGCGCTGATACGAGGCCAATCATGTTCAAAGATTTCGTACTGCCAAAGATCGACCCACTTGTTAGTTGCTTGACACCACACTTCTTCTTTGCGGACATAGGCCAAGGGCACGCCGCATGTTTGTTCCAGGAACTTGCGCATGAGTACATTGTGTTGTGCTGTCTCATACAAAATCTAAGAAATAAGAGAATGAAGAAAAAAACGTTTAATTAGATTAGTTAATGAGGGAGAGAATGGCTACGATCGTATTTTTATAGATAAATGTGTGAATACATTTTTTTTTTTTTTTTTTTTTTTTTTTTGCCCCGGCTGTTTACCTTATGCATTTTGAGATCTTCAAAGAGACCACGCATGAGTTCATACAGAGCTTCGGTGCCATAACCACCAGACCAATACTTTTTCCAAAGAATGATGCCCACAATTGCGTTGCGGTCCCGGGTATTGATAGTATTTGCGCCCATGACACCTGCTAATTCGCCCGTGGATTTGTCATGGATATAGAATGTGGATGCACGTTTTTCCTCTATCGCCTTTGTTTGAGCTTCGCGACGACTGATGAGCTCCTCGGCAGTCCAACCACCTTGCCAGGATTTGGCCATGAATTGAAGATGGACCATGGTTTCGGGGTCTGAAAGCATGGCGCCCATAGCCTGATCGTCCTTTGCATCGGGTGGATCGAGTGTAAGACGTGCAGTCTCTATACTGACGTTGTTGTTGGTTTGAGATGGTTGCTGCGCTGTTGGTTGGCTGGACATTTTTCTTGTTTTTTGTTGTTGTTACTGTATGTTTATTAGGCGTGGGAGAGTCCGTCTTTTTTTTTTATTTTATTTTATTTTATTTTATTTGATAAAGAAAAAAAGAAAAGCGATGTTGATGGGAACGTCTTTTATATGTTTGGTTCTGGTATAGCTTTTGGCAGTACATGCAATATGACTCCAGTAGGGTCAGAACTTGTCAAAAAAAAAAAAAAAAAAAAAAAAAGCCTCTTCTCTCATGAGAGTGGAGCTAATTGAGAGCATTCGCAAATTAACTTTTTTCTTTACTTTTACTTTTTACTTTTACTCTTCTCTCACTTTAACAAAAGAACCCAAAAGAACCAAAAAAAAAAAAAAAAAAAAAAAAAAATGTCCATCTACACGTTCATGGAAAATCTGTTCAAGGAGCCTTATACGCTACCGACCATTGTGATTACTGTTGCTATTGCAGTCTTTATCACCCACTTGCAGGAAACAAAAAAATTGAATGAGGAGAAAGAGGAGGAACAGAGAAAGAAAATCGAGTCATCTGAGAACGTAGTAAAAAAGAATGAAGGCGGATCAACTAGCTCGGAATCAACATCTACCGCTTCCTCTTCTAAGCCAAAGGCATTTGCTCTCCCTGAAACGTGAGAATCGACACTCTCCTCGAAAAAACATTGCTTTTTTTTTTTTTTTTTTTTTTTTTTTGCATTCACACGATTATTATTATTTTTTTTTACATAGCCCACTGCCGCCACCAAACTGGTCTCGCATCTTTACTCACGAGGAATTGGCGCAGCATGATGGCAGTAAGGATGATTTACCCATTTATGTAGCCATCAAGGGCACAGTGTTTGATGTCACGACCAAGAAAGCCATGTATGGCCCCTCCGGCGGATACCATTGTTTTGCAGGAAAAGATGCCTCCAAGGTATAATATTGTATTATAAACTTTCCATGCATATTAATTTGTTCCCACATGCAATGGACTGGAATGTTCTCTCTGGATTTGGGGAGCAAAAAAAAAAATTAAATTACCAAGCATATATAATATTATAACTTGATTTTTTTTACTGAGCAATTCGAATTGATCTACGGATTTTTTTTTCCCTTAGGCACTTGGAATGAGCTCCTTGAAGGCCGAAGACTGTATCGCGGACTATAGTACATTGAGTGAAAAGGAGGTATGTCTTTTTTTCTTTTTTTTTTTCTTTTTTTTTCCTAAATTGAAAGTTAAGAGTCTAACGATCTATCATGTTCAACTGCTCTGTTTCTTTTTTTTTTTTTTTTTTTTTTTTTTATGCAGCGTAAGACGTTGGATGATTGGTATTCATTCTTCGAGAAGCGCTATCCTATTGTTGGCAAGACAGGGGATGCATGAATAAGAGAGACTTGAGGACATTTTTTGATATAGTCGTGGGACATCAGGGACTAGAGACGAAAAGACATATCAATGATATAAATAATAATGAAAAGATTCCAAGTATTTACAAGAGACACATCCATCCATGCAACTTACATTCAGAGACGCGAACTAATCACGATCCCTGAAGGTCCCTTGTTCTTGAAAGAAAATATCCCTGTATGGAAAAGAAATGTGCATCGCATGTCATTAAACCAAAATCAGAAAAAATGAATGTCACGGAAAAATCAAAACGCGTCGTTTGTTGTGGCTGACGAATAAGAGCGCGCTCTACTAAATTATGAATAGCGGTTGTTCATAACCGACATCGCTTTTTTTCTTTTTTTTTTTATACTTTCACTCTCAAAAAGCAAGAAAACATAATACAAATCATGGCTAGTTCGAAATCAAAATCCACTGGCGCAAACACCGCAAAATCAGGTCGTGTCCAAAAGAAGACTCCTACTAAAACATCTGCCAAAACATCGACAGGTTCAGCATCAACATCGGAAGGATCAGCAGTTGCATCAGCATCAGCATTAGGAGGATCAGCCTTATATTCAGGAAAGGCAAAAGGTGTCACCAAGCTGCCTGCTGCAAGAGTCAAAAGGATTATTAAAGAAGATAAAGATGTACAGATGGTCAGCAATGATGCTGTATTCTTGATCAGCATGGCTACCGTATGTTCTATTCTATTCTTTTTTTTTTTTTTTTTTTTTTAACTTTCAAGTTTCCAGAACTAAAAAAAGACATTCACCAATATATATATTCTATTTTCATTTTCATTTTCAATTAGGAATTCTTTTTGGAAAGCTTTACGAAAAAGGCCTTTAATTTAGCGAGGATTGGGAAACGGAAAACAGTATCATACATGGATCTTGGTAAATAAAGCTTATGATACATCCTTGGGAAATGAATGATTCTCCCTATCTCAGTCAGGATAAAAAAGAAGGAGAAAAAAAAAAAAAAAAAAAAAAAAAAACTCATGAGCTTACCTCTTAACCGATTGTCCATTTCTAAATATTTTTTATTTTTTCTTGGGGGTATTTTAGCGACGGCAGTAACACAGCACGACTCGCTCGAATTTCTGCAAGGTAAAGTAAATGATCAGTGGAAATATTAAAGATATATATATATATGTAGTTCGATATTTTTTTATTTTTTTTTTCCCTTATTTATTTACTTCTTTTATTCGGTTGTCTCCTTTGTTGGAAAAAAAAAAAAAAAAAAAAAAAATAGATGTTGTGCCAAAGACTATGACATTAACTGCAGCGCTGGAAAAGCAACGTCTTGCAAAAGAAAAGGATGAGAGTGGTCCGATCGAAGATGATGAAGAAGGAGAAGGTGAAGGCGATCATATTAATTCGGATCAGGAAAATGAGCGTTCAGGATCTGAAGGACCCAACTCAAGTAGACCGATCTCTGATGATGAAGAGCTATCCGCACCAGAGGACATGGATGAAGACTAAACAGGCATAAAATGCAAAAAAAAAAAAAAAAAAAAAAGCTAAAAACTAAAAAAAAAAAAAATAGGAATGTAGCGAACAATTTTTTTTTTTATTCATGTAACATTAGTTATCATCTCTTCTTTGCGCATAATAATAATAATAATAATTACAAAATTTCATACCAATCTGATTCTTCTCATAATTTTTTTTTTTTTTTTTTTTTTTTCAATGATTAAATATTGATTGTTTGCTTTAATGTCCAGAAGGGACCTGCTTTCAATTGCTGTGCTTCTTCTGTATCCAACATAAACGCTGTATTTCCACTCCATTGCCCTAGTTCACCCTGTGCATCCTCTACGATCCATGGCAAAACCGTTATTCGAATATTGTTGTTATCATTGGATCGATTGAAATCATTTGTATTTCCGATAACTGTCTCTTTGTCACCATACATGACAATAGTCAGCTCATTTAATTTCCCCGATTCAGCCTTGTGAACAAGCCCGTCCATTAGATAGAAATCATGTTGAGGAGAATCAGACCCAAAGTAACGCCCCACGAGCACACCATTAAGGATGATCATCCCCGAAAATTCCCCTTCAATTCTACAACAGAGTGGGATATTGATAGTGTAAGATGGGTCTCCTGTTGTTGATGATGATGATGGTGATGGTGATGATGATGATGGGGGTCCCTCAAATCGCGTACGCCACCATGAAACTCCATTATTTGGAATAACTCGTAAAGGTTGCTTTTTACTGTCAGCTGTAGTCGTGACCCCCTTCCAGCCTTTGGAAGAGTGCTCATCTGGGAAACCAGTGCTACTGTAGGCCATGTCAATTTGGGTCACATCCACTCCTGCAACTTGCCAAACTTCACTTCCCTTGACAACATCCTTTCCATACACTCTTGCGGATAGTAATCCGCGTGGGTTCCGAATGTCGTTCACGACGAATGGTTGACGACTTTGACCAAATGAATCGATTACAATGATGATCTCGTGTTTTTGCTCATGATAATGCTGATGATCATGATTGTTATTGTCACCTGAGCTTGTTGGCACCTGTGCTTTCGCTGCCTGAAGGGCTTCCTGGGTGATCAGGAGCGTGTGTGAGCCGAATGCGATGGGATCATATCCCATTTTAGCACCGGGTGATATTAATTGTCGCGAATAAGTCATATGGGATCCAATACAAACACCGTTCACAAACACAATAGCTCGGTTGCGCATGTTGATCTTGAGGGAAACGGGGGTTTTGGTATTGTTGAAACTGGATAAAAGACTGGTCCCTTCGTTTGAACGCTTCTGGCGTGTCTTGAATGTGCCCTTGTAGACGATATGACCTGATGTAAATAAGAAATCGAGGCTGACCTTTTGAAAGAGATCTGATTTTGGGCTTTTACGTGGACAATCTTTCCAATCGTATTGATTGAAATCTGTGGTCCTTGTCTCCCATCCTTTCAGAGAGATCCCAACATCCAAACGTGAATGTTGATGGATGTACTCAGTGGCTAATTTTCTAGTCAAAGTTGCAGTCTGGTTCTCTCTTAATTTGAATAGTTGAAGAGGGAGACCCGTTCCATGGATGGAGACCGACTCACTCGAAGCCGAAAGGACATCAGGTGAAGACCAAGAGGATTGATATTGTTGTTGCTGCTGTTCATGGTCGAATAAGAGCACATAGAGTTCATTCTGACTATCGGTCGATTCCACTGTCAGTGTCTTGTGCTGGGGGTTATAAATCGTATTGTACGATCCCCAAGTAACAAGCATAGGAGTTGTAGGGCCTTTCTTGACATTCTGGAGCTGAGATGCCTGCTGATCTCCAAGTGGTGCCGTTGCAGCAGCAGCAGGAGCAGCTCTATTAGAGGCGGCGGTTTCCGAGTGTCGGTTGTCATAGTAACAGTACAATGTTGATAGAACCGTCTGGTCCAAAAAGATGATATGGAGTAATGACTCGGAAGAATCATGTTTCTTTGAGCCCGCAAGGGTTACGTGAGCGCTTTTGGGGCCTTCTGGGACTGACAGTACCGCTATAGTTGTATCACCCGGTGGTCCCTGAAGCTTGATACCCTCATCGGGCCCAAGCCCAGAGGGGAAGAGTCCTCCAGCTTCCCTCATGGCTACACTCGAACTGAAAGCCATTTCAGTTGGGCCGGATGCTGCTAATGCGGCAATCCAGACTTCTTTCTTTCCGTTAGAGGCGAAAGCTCGGATAACGATTGGGGTTGCTGAAAGAATTAAATGGATATCGGGGTTCACAACCGTAGTATAATTGGCCAAGGCGATATAGGAAGCCTTGTATGCTAAACAGCACCACAGTCGAGCAACGATACCATCTTCCTTGCTCTTCTTCCTCTGAGCAGGTGGAGCGGATCTGCGCACAAGCTCAAGATAAAAGCGATCTTGCTTCTCCTTTGAAAAGTTGCGCATAAAGATGAGCCTAACATGGCCTTGGTGACTCGAGGCTTGAGAGAGGCGCTGTTGGCAGATGGTATTATCGAGACTTGATCGGATTGAGAAAGTGCTGATAAAAGACCCAGTAAGGGCAGGGTCCGTCCGAACCATGATGTCTGAAAACGATTGGAGGAATAAAATCCCTTGACGAAGTTTACGAAGGCGCCCGGACATTAAGCCATATTCACGGATAGATGCACTATAGTCATAAGATGTATAAACATCACTATCAAAAAAAGGAAAAAAAAAAAAAAAATGAACGTAAGGTAATCATTGTTTTCAGCTTATTAGTCTTCAAGCAATAATAGAATGAAGAAAGACATTGTTCAGGGAATGAGAGACGTACGAATCACCGAGAGTACCCCAATTGGTACCGCCGTAGAACATGTAAAAGTTGAGCATAGTAGAGCCTTGCGAGAAGACTGTGTCGAGCATGAGCCGTGTGTATTGGTCTCCATAGAACCGATAGATTGCGTCGTATGTATACTGGATCCCATAGTGGTTGAACCAGCCGCCTTGTAACTCTGGGATAAAGATAGGAGACCGATTGTTGGCGTGTCCGAATCCACGGACTTTTTTCTCCATCTTGTCGAGTTCAGATACAACTATCGCGGGATCCCATTCTTGAAGAAAGGACGGATCACGGCCAAACACCCATGAGGAAGGTTCACTATTGGGCGTAAACACTAATGGTAGAAATGTAACCAACATTGGCATAAAGCATAGTAAGTAAGCAGCGGTTTGCTTGTTTGTTTGTTTGTTTGTTTGTTTGTTTGTTTGTTTGTTTTTCTTTTTTCTCCAGCAACTTGCTTGATCTTTCTTACCAACATATTTATCAAATCCGTACAAGTCAATGCCAAAGTCGTTCTTTTTGCGGCTTGGGTCATCCTTGACGATGAAGGAGCCTTGTTCAAAGCCATCGTTTGTAAACAGTGGTACTGTGATCCGACAGTCGCGTGCAGTTTTGGCCAACATCCTCATATCGTCATGTAAGCCAATTGGATATCCAAAGACGTGCTGAAACGCTTCATTTTCGATTTGCAATCCTATCACACATCCACTGTTGGCCTTATTGATGACTGCTTTCGGGTCCGTATCGATATCGGCAGCGTTGGTGATTTGGTGTTTGGCTATGATGGGCAGAATGTGTTGAAGATACTCTACACAGTATTCCATGAATAATGGGTCGTATTCCTTCCAGAAATTTGTTTTCATATGTCGTAATCGGATTTCTCGCTTGGCTGCCAACCAAATAGGGAAGCCTCCGGCCTGGGTTTCTGCACAGATGTAGGGCCCTGGGGCTGCCAAGACATAGAGTCCAAGCTCTTCGCATAGAGTCAACAGGTAGTCAATGTCTCGATTGGTTCCCTTTTCGAAATCATAAAGACCTTGCTGTGGAGAATGAAAGCCCCAATGAAAGTAGATTCGAATACAATTAAGTCCAGCGGATCGGTATTGTTCCAAAATGGGTCTCCAACGGGATTGGTCTGGTAAACGCCAATAGTGGAATTCACCCGAGAGGATAAGAGTGGGCTGACCATGTAGAATGAGGGAGTACCTGTCATAATTTAGGATATGACCATACTTTTGTTTGTCAAAGAGAGTGTCGTTCGTATGAATGTGAGTTAATTTGCCCTTGACACGACGTTCCAGGAATTGGTGCATAGCTGTAACAGCAACTGCACCAAGGGTGATAGCCAGTGCAGCAGATAGTGGAAGGGACATGCTTGAGCTAAAACAAAGCAATGCGGAAAAGTTATGAGACGCACTAAAAAAAAAAAAGTTTTTCTAGTTCTTTTATAGAGGACAAGGCATCAATGAACCGGCTTGGGATTTTTTTTTCTTCCTCACCTCCGGCAGGATTCTTTGTCATTTGAGCAAAATTACTCACTTCAGTTGAATATTTTGTTTGTGCATGTGTGCCCGTGCACAGCAATGCCTCATTTACAAAGAAGAGGAAAAAAAAAAAAGCAACAAAAACCGATATCTGTCAAAAGGGGATTCATTCTTCCACTTTTCTTTTCTCTAAAGAACGGTTTTTGTAGGAGAGTTAAAGAGCCCATTGACTTTTTTCAACTCCGCTAGACGCGAATAACAACGTTTTGCACACATGGACGACTAGCTAAATTATGTACAAATCCAAGTCATAGAATTTTATGGTATTTTTTTTTTCTTCTTTATACCGATATTACCGATATTTTAACGATGAAGAAGAGAGGAGGAGATGTGTATATATAATACCATCATTGCCTCCAAAAAGAAACAAGCATTGTAGTAGCTTTGCGCTACAAAAGGTATTCTGGGCGTGGATTGACAAATTGTAGTTGACTTGAAATGGGGACAATGCCGTGATAGAGAGTATATCAGATTTATCTGAAACAAAAAGTACAGCATTATGATTATGATTGTTGTTATTGTGATTAGTTGTTTGTTAATTATGAGTTGTAACATGTTTGTTTTTTGTCCGTAGCAGGCACATGTACATGTACCTTCTGATCCTCATGGCCGAGAATAGAATAGCAGCGGAACTAAAAAAGCAATCTTCATTTTAATATTGCATTAGCATAATGTGCGCAAGTATGCGGCAAAACGGGCATCATGGAGGGCGTAAAAGTGATGTGTGTTGAAGAGAGATAAAACACATTGGGCGAATGTTGCACAGACCCATAGCATACCTTTGCTTGTGCTTCTGTCATCAAATATCCGCAGTGTTGGATCTTTCTTCCTGTTACTAAAGCATACTCTGATGAGAATACGTGTTTTTTATTACTCTTACAGCAATAGGGTCATAGATTTATAAACAGGTCGGTCAGCTATGACTGATCCACTCAAAGACAGTCTACGGTAAAGGCATGCCTTTGTAGACAGGAGGCTTTGAGTGGACATACTTTCTAATGCAGGGAGAATAAAGAGCTTTCTAGAGGACAAAGGAGACGCGATTTTTTTTATTAATATTTGTTCTAGAATAACACGTAATTGTTACTCCTCTTGTCTTTTCTCCCACAGTCATGGTAATAAAAAAAAAAAGTGTTTTATTATCCCAAACACTCCATACTCGCCACGCGGGAGCTCGGATTGCAAAACTAAAAAACTAAAAAAAAAAAAAATGCGCGTCATCCTGAATATTTTTTCTGCATCAATCACGTTTTAACAAAAAGAAAAAGAAAGTTTAGAGCATCTTTTCTTTTTCAAAGGAGAAAGGAAAATTTTTTTTTTTTTTTTTTTTACTGTTTCTCCAGTCGCGCCAATACATCTTTCCACTCTTTTCGCGCTTACTTATTTTTACCCTTTTTTTGTTTGTTCTCTTTCCTTGCTTTTTCTTTTCCTCACCCCACTTCATTCCCAACTCTTCTGTACCATTGTATCTCTTTATCGCTCTCTTACCACTATTCCACCCTTCAACTCTTCTCGGAGGTTTTTTTTTTTTTTTTTTTTTTTTGCTCAAAGGATCTGTTATTTCAGCTGTATTTCAGCTCTTTCATCGACCATACCCCATCTATCCCGGCTAAACTATGGCCACTGAGCAACAGACTCAGACAAGACTGCCAACACTGGCTGTCACCATCTCCAGTCCAATCCCAGCTGCCCCTTCTACTACACCTATCGTTAAATTCATCTCCACACCCGACAATACCTCCTTTCCAACAACAGCCGCTGCACCACTAACACCTTCAACCTCAGCGTCACTGACAAATACCGCTTCAGTCTCAACACCAACATCCGGTATGCATTCCCCTCCACTGTCCAACTCGGTGGAGGAAGAGAATGTAGAGATGAATACTGCAGCAGCAGCTAAAAAGAACCCAAAAACAGTCAATACAACAGCAACTGCAACGCCCAGGGCTAGTAGCAGTCATACTCAGAGCACTGCTTCAAATAACCTAACACAAGGTTCACGATCAGTCAAGACCAAAGGACCAGTTCCAACATCAACACCAACGCCAACACCAGCAGCAGCAACAACAACAACAACAACATCTTCAATGGAGAGCAACCCTTCGGGCACATCATTCAACACGGAGTCTCTACCAGCTACTATGACACTTGGCCACCCAGCCACAACTTCTAACCTGGTTAATCGCGTAAATGAGTCTCTCATTGCGGTTGAGCGCGAAAAGCAGGACCTCTGTCGTCCACAGGGTAAAGAAAAAACCATTGAACATGTGCTTCAACAGGGTAGAATCCTCAAGGTAAAATAAGAACCATAATCATCTTGTTGCTACTTTACGTGCTTTCTCTTTTTTTTTTTTTTTTTTTTTTTTTTTTTTTCTTTTTATTCTTTTACTAGCCAGTTACTGTTGCTATCAATCATGGATTCTTTTGTCGATAGAGACAAATATAATTCTTTATACTTCACGTCTATCCTTTGAGTTCATACAGTCGCTTTTTTTTTTTTTTTTTTCTTTTTTTTTTTTTTGTGGACATGTTTCTTTTTGGATATGTTTCTTTGTGTTTCTCTGGGTCTGGACTGGCCGGCGAAGTAGAATGTTCCATAGGTTGGGCAAAGACGCGTCTGCCATTGGACAAAATTGAGTCGCATCTATGACCAGATGTACTTAATTAAAGTAATCCTTATACACCAATCTCATTAGGTATCCCGTCGATTAAGGACACGACTAGAGTATGCAATCCTCAAGATTCGTCGTGGTTGGTCAAAGTACACTTTGCAGGAAGTCGAGTCTCTCATCCAACCCGTCTGTTCACCACGTGTCACGGCCAGTCAAATTCATCAGAGCATCTCACGTCAGTCCTCGCCTCGACAGAGCGAGAGAAAACGCGTCAAGAGGGTCTATCCTGACTATGATGTTTCTTATTTTCGTGGTAGAACATCCGATCCAGCTGGCTCTGAGACTGAAAAGTCGGAAAATCAAGACGTCGAAATGTCTTTTCAACCTTCAGCCCCTTCAACCCCTACTAGCCGCTTCAGAGCGAGGATGCCCTCATTGTCACAATTCAAGGACTCTGAGCTGTTTCAGCCTGCAAAGTCGCTGATGAATATTGCGACCTCTAAACCCGATCCTGGATACTTGTCGCCGTACCATCCTTCTTCAGAACATGAGACCAACGTACCTTCGGCCGCTCAAGCTGCACAGACCATCTTGATGCTCTCGAGTCCGACTCGACCTGCCGCAAGGACACTTAACCCAACACACTCACCCATCGCAGATTGGAGCACAGCACCATACTCCCCATCAACCTCCTCTCCGCTTGTGCACTTCCATATATCCGCCTCTAGAACGCCATCACCAGAGTCTACACCGCCCGCCATGTATGATCAATCGGCACCGCTATATATGGATAACGATCATAGCAACTCTCAATTAGGATCCTCTTTATATAGTTCAAGGCCCCTGAAGCAGCCATACTCGAATCTCTACGGTATGGGCTATGAACCTTCGTCTCCTTCACCTCTATCAACTTCACTCTTCCCCTCGTCCAATGAGTCGATGGACAAGCCAAAAATCCACAGCAGAAGCTCGAGCCCTACGCTGAAGAGAGCCGTCCGCTTTGCTGCTGCTGCGACTAATGCATCCGAATCATCCAAACTTTCAGCCGAGAACATCAAAGAAGGATTTTCGGGCTTGTCTGGTAATCGTACAGAGTACAACAGCACGACAGATAGCATCTACCCTGGATCACAACCTGGATACGATGACAAGAAGGAGTTATCGCCATCACTTTACAACTCTAGATCACCCATGCACCACAGCGGAGAGCCTTATCTTTCGATCTATAGTACCAACCGAGCTACAACTCCTCCTCTACATTCTATCCCATCCTCATCACCATCGAGCTACTCTGGATCCTATGGACCCACAATGGAAACGCCCAATGGTTCGCACGGAATGAGGACGCCACCCCCCAGTGGTGGCAAGGAGTTAAACTTGGGCCACTATGGTCTTGAATCTTCCACATCCAGGAGGAGGAGAAACAGCGTAGGTGTACCTCCAGGTACTGTAGACCTTCCAAGCATAATGTTCCGACAAGGAAATGGAGCCCATCCACCCAGTATGTCCTCGGCATCGCCTTCTCATCGATAAATATTGAAGAAAAAGTAGTGGATCTTCACTTCTCTCTCTCTCTCACTTTAATCATCTATTTTTTTTTCTTGTTATATATTTAATATGTGCCAATATCTATTTATCTATATATTTCTGTTGTTTTACTATTTTCTTTATAGCATTAGTTATTTTTTTATTATTATTTTTTTTTCCATCTGTACTTGTTTAGCTCCATCGTATCATATCAATCATATATCAATCATATAGAGTATTTGTAATAAATGAATTTTTTATTTTTTACTTTGGTGACTGCTCCCTGATGGCTGGCAAATTAACCAAATAATATTTTATTTTATTTTTTTTTTTGGGGCTACACTCCTGACTGCACTTCCTACTTCCTAGACTTCCTAGGCTTCCTATACTCCTAATAACTTCAATACTTTTTTTTTTTTTTTTTTTTTTTTTTTTTGACATCAAAGAATGACTGGCGCAACACTTCAAGCGATCCGTTACCAGCGTGGCTCTCTCGACATTCTAGACCAGTTACTGTTGCCACATGAGACTGTGTACGTTTCAATTACGAGTCTGGAATTGGGACATGATGCCATCAAGACCATGAAAGTCCGTGGAGCACCGGCGATTGCGATTGTGGCTGCGTTGACCCTGGCTGTGGTCTTGATCCAACCCTCGACACAACCTCGACTTCAGACAGCTCAGGAGGCAGTCAAGTTTATTGAGGATTCGCTGGATTATCTAAAGACGTCCCGTCCAACGGCCGTCAATCTATTTGATGCTGCTCATAAATTAGCAACAGGTGTAAGATCGACATCGAGACTGGAGGAAAAGGACCAGTCAGGTTCAAACTCGCATGTGACGGTAACGGGTCAAGATGTGGTCAACAAGTATTTGGAATTAGCAGAGAGGATGTTGGAGGAGGATGTACGAGATAATACCAACATTGGCAAGTTTGGAGCTGAATTCATTCTCAAGGTTTGGAAGGGAAGCGATGATCTTCGTGTTATCACTCATTGTAACACTGGGTAAGGAAGGGAAAAAAAAAAAAAAAAAAAAAAAAAAGCATTCTAGTCATGAGAAGTAAAATGGAGAATGATTAATTTACAGTTTTCATTCTATCCTTTTTTCTACTACTATTTCTACTACTACTACTACTACTACTAAAAAAAAAAAAAAAAAAAAAAAAGATCGTTGGCGACTGCAGGTTACGGAACTGCATTGGGAATCATCCGTGCGTTAGCAGGGCAACAAAAACTTTCTCATGCCTACTGCACAGAAACCCGTCCTTATAATCAGGGCTCTCGTCTGACGGCCTATGAGTTGGTTTATGAAAAGATCCCCGCCACTTTGATCACCGATTCGATGGCCTCTGCATTGTTGGCTCAACATACAGACAAGATCGCAGCCATTGTCGTTGGGGCCGATCGTGTGGCGGCTAACGGAGATACGGCCAATAAGATCGGAACCTATCAATTGGCCATCACAGCTCGATATCATAATGTGCCCTTTATCGTCGCTGCTCCCTCTACCTCTGTGGATCTGAACATCTCTTCCGGTAAAGATATTCATATCGAAGTCAGACCGCCGGTCGAAGTGACCACATTGAGAGGCCCTGTTGTCGTTGTCGATCCCAACTCTAGCACCTCCAAGGGTTCCTCTTCTTCTTCTACTGATGTGCTCTTGAAACAAGATGAGGCTAGTGGGAAAATCGTCTCTGAAACCGTCGCTGTTGCAGCTCGTGGGATCAACGTCTGGAATCCATCCTTTGATGTCACGCCTGCAGAATTGATCTCCGCCATTGTCACGGAGAAGGGTGTTGTTCTTAAGGAAGATGGTGTTCAACAGTTTGACATGAAAGCCTTTCTAGTACCGATGTAAAAAAAATAATAAAAACGCATTATAGCATTCTTCATATTACATTTTTCAGTGTGGAAAAAGAAAAGAAAAGAAAAATGTGCCATTCAATTAAATTGGATCTGAAAATATGTATATTTTATTATATTTTATTATTATTATTATTATTTTTTATTTTATTTTATTTTTTTTTACAATGACATGTACTCATCCCGACAGCGTCGGAATTCTGTAAGACGTTGGAGTGCGTATTCGAAATAATCAAACTCAATCTCGCTTTGGGTGGCCTGAATTAGACCCCATAAACCCCACATGATATGTGAGGTCAGTGCAAACTTATTGACCTCTTTGTACATGCTATCCAAGATTTCAGCCTTGGTCACTCCGCCTCCATCACCTGCCTTGCGTGCCCTACGCACCGCTAGAGGTGAATTCTCCAGTGCGCTATTACCTTTTCCAACTGCCTTTGCTGCTGCTGCTGCTGTAGTAGTAGTAGTATTAGAATGGTCTGTATAAGCGTGACCATTAGTGTTAGCGTTGCTATTGTCGTTACTGTTCCTGCTACTACTGCCGTTACTGTTACCGTTAGCGATACCATCGGCATTGGCGACTTCCTCCTGACGAGACTCCGCTACAGAGCCCTTTCTAAAGGCTTGAGCTGCATTCACAGCCGTCAAGGCCACATTGGCAAGGCCCTTAGTAATGGTAGCGGTGATCGACCTCCTCTTCCTGGAGTACTTGCTCAAGTCAATGGCTGTCAAATGGTATCCACACATGGCAATTTCAGCCTCCATGTAGGCCTCCAAAAAATTGAGCTGCTCTGCTTTGGTGGGGTAGCGCTCCGGATGCATTAGTGAGGGTCTTTCCGAGTGATAATCCGCTGTCCACTCACAGAAATGGTTTCCAATGTCGAATCCTCGCGTGTTGTAGCCTGCATATTCAAAGTCAATGACCACCAACTCTCCAGATTCATCTAGAGTCCTCAAGATATTGCCATACTGAGCCTAATCGATTTTTTTAAAAAATAAAAAAATAAAAAAAAAAAAAAATGTCGTCAGTCCAAACAATCTTAACAATCTAACGGTCAAAGGAGCACGTGCACATTTTTTCAAGAAATGAAAGACTTACGTCGTTATGAGCAAAGACAAGTGGAGAGTGGACCCTCATTAAAGCTTTTTGAACCTCTGCAATCTCTACCAACAACTTGTCAAAGTTAAATTCATCCATGATGGCACGCTTGGATGGATCCTTCTCACAGATCTTTTCAATAGCGTCTCTTGCCAAGGGGATCCACCGAGCAATGTTATCTTGTGACTGTGGAATTGTTCCCTCAGGTGGGGGGAAGATGTTTACGATGTTATGCAGCTCACACATACGATGCGCAATATGACGCGATGTCCTAGGGTCCCTGATGTCTTCCTTTGTCAGTGTTGTTGACTCGACATATTGTTCAAAGCGACCGTTTCTGAAGATTCCCAAGAGGGATGGACCAATGTCCATCATAGAAAGGTTCCTGAGCCATTGAAGCTCGTTGCTGCGAGAGAATAGGGATTCAAGACCGACACCATAGACTCTGAGAAGAACCTTTCGGGGTTTTGGGACGATATTATCAAGGGTAGAGTGTGATGAAGGGGGTCCTGTAACGAGAAAGATGCAGTTAGTCATGGCACCGCTGATTCGATCAAGGTGAATGTCTTGGTAATCCGTGACTTCTGCCCAATCCTGGATCTCCATCAAGTGTAGTAACTCCAAAACTCGTTTCCTCAAATGGTCGCCTTTGAGTTTGCTAAACAAGTTTTACAGCAATTGATATTTTAAGGATGTTTCAAAAAAAAAAAAAAAATTAGGCAACAATTCGCAGCACTCATGTGAACCTTTAAAAAAAAAAAAAAAAAAAAAAAAATAACAAACAAACAAAGAAATGATGACCACATAAAATACTTACATAATATCCAATTCCACATCATCCATATGCTTGACTGGATCAGGATGTGATAAAGGCAAGACTTTGAGCCCTGCCAGACTGGACCTCTTGCTCAATGGAGGACGATGGGGTGCATATTGGTGATAGACCGCAGGTTTGTTTTTCTGCCAAGGAAAAATAGATGAAGCAATCGACTGACGAGCAGAGAATCCGAAATGTTTCCTGGATCCCATGAAATGAATAGGATCATCCACAGGTGTGGTAGGAGGTGAATCCCGGGTTGCATGTTTCGCCGCAGTGGAGGGTGTGTATGCAGGTAAATGTACAGGCTGCTCTTGCCATGCAGACTCGACCTCAAACGAACCTCGACTGTCGTCATTTTCTTGAAGTAGAGCGTTGTCATGAGCGGCCTTCCCTTGTTCCTCTTGCTTGGTATTTATACACAAGGGTTGCTCAGTTTCGGATGCCATGACCAATGAATGAATGAGTTTGTGAAAAGAATGAATGAATTCAAAAAGTGGAAAGTGGGTAATGAAAAGCAAAAGAAAAAAAAAGGTAGAAGAGAGAATGAAAGAAAAGAGAAGAAGAGAAGAAAGAAAGAAAAGAAGAGCAAGAAAATAAAAAAGAGAACCGATCAACGATTTAAAAAAAAAAAAAAAAAAAATTATCTCAACAGAGCAAACAACATTAAGGCGAAAGTAAAAAGCGATGGAGAAGGAAAAAAAATGATGAGACTGAAACGGAGGTTGAAATGCACTGGATGATAACAAGATAAAAAAGCTTGATCGTCTGGCCTGGCACTCTCTAAATCAGCGGGGATGAAGACGGAGACATGGAGACGGGCAGAGAGGTTCTCGCATGTGAGGTATTCGATCTAAAGTTTTTTTTTTTCTTTTTTTTCCATTTCTCTAGCGCTTAACGACATGGCCATAGATTGTCATCTTGTGCCACCATCGTCTGTTGATTTTTTTTTTTTTTTTTTTTTTTTTTTTTTCTACTTGGCTCCATCTCTCTTTTCTGTGGAGCATAAGGTTATAACAAACTTAAAGTTGTAAAATACACGCGCTGCATTTCGTGTGTTCATGCATGTGCAATCAGAGGGTGCTTGTGTGCTCGTGTGCTCGTGTGCTCGTGTGCTCGTGACAAAATAATTTTAATCTGTTACTGGCGCCACCAAAACCATCTATTTTTTATTTTAAAAAAGCGAGAGACTGAGAAGACAGAAACAAAGTCACATGTTGTCCTCCAGATTTGCCTTTTCGCGTTCTGCAATCCTTCGCTGAATCTCAAGTCGTTTCTGTTTACGCTCTTCAATTTTGTCTGCCTTCTTTTGCTGCCGTCGACTGATAGGATCAAGCGACTCTTCTGTAAGCGACCGCTCTAGCGCCTCCGGTCGAATGTCGTCTAATGTGTATCTTCCTAACTTCCCTAGACGATATTGCTTGATCAGAAACTGCGCTGCTGCTGCCAAATTATACTCCCCGCCCCTCTTTAGCGCCCCAATATATTTAGCAACTTGCGGTAAAAAAACCTTGATGTCATCTGTAGGTTCCTGAATGTTGTAAAGCTTCATGTAGCTAAAATGATCAATGTTTTGCGTATCAGCGACGTGATCAAGTACAAAAAAAAAAAAAAAAAAAAGGCATACCTATAATCCTGTGCTTGATTCAATTGAAACAATAGATAGTCTGCAATCACTTCTTCATCCGAGAGATGATCGGAAATCGCGCCTGGAACCAAAGAATTAAAGCCAGTTAGTTAATCAAGGAAACTTGGTCAGAGTATAATGTTCAAAGCCTTGTCACAAAAAGAAACGATCTTTTTTTTTTTTTTTTTTTTTTTACCAGTAAGAGCAACTTTGATGGCTGAAATTGGGTCAGCAATGTGAGGGATCATGACTCCTGGAGTGTCAATAAGATAGATTTTCGGGGAATCTAGGACTTTGATCGTACCAGCAACTGTCCTGGTGATGCCTGGGATTGCGCCTGTAGGCGCGGCCTTGCCCTTTTTGATACCTATCCGCCGTAAAGAGTTAATCAGTGACGATTTCCCGACATTCGGCATCCCAACGACCATCACTGTTGTCGTAAGTTCCTTTTCTGCTGCTGTTCCGGTAGCCTTCGCTTTCTCTTGCAGATTATTATTATTATTATTATTTTGAGGAACAAAGAAAGAAAGAAAGAAACAAAGAATAAAGCATCCAGATGAATTAAACACAAGTCCTATTCCTATTCCAATACTATTCTATAAGCATTGCATTAAGCTTTTTTTTTTTTTTTTTTTTTTTTTTTCATTCAGAGTAAAGACGTAAAGATATATAAGCAGAGTGGACTTACTCGCTAGATATGAAATAATCCTTTTGATATTAAGATCCTCGTTGGCATTCGTGAATACGACTTCTTGCCTTTTATATTGCTTGAATGCCTTTACTACTGCCTTATGATCCACCACAGATTTTTTTTTAATTAATTTGTATCCTATATGCGTATTTCTTTATTTTAATTTATTTTTTTTTAATAAAAAAATAATAATAATAACTCACTTGCTCTGTGGCTGGGTGTGCCAGATCAGTCTTGTTGTAAACAATAAGACGATCCTTCCTTTGTGCAATTGGCTCAAACTTGTGATTGATGGATGATATTGGGATGTATTATCGAAAACATTTTATATATACATATACATATACAGAAAGTAAAGGAAGAACAATAGACATCATAGACATTGGATTGGCAGAGTTAAGGATAATAATGGAATAATGGCATAATGGCGGAGCCTTGGACCAAGAAAATACAAAAAAAAAAAAAAAAAAAAAAAAGCATAAAAACAAAGGACACGAGAAAAATTGATATCCTTGCATCGCGCACTTCAATGACCACTTGGACAGCATTTAGTTTCTCAGTGATCAACCTCAAGCCCTTTGCCATATGACCCGGGAACCAATTAATGATCTTGTCATATGCAAATGCATTCCGAACTTTTAGAGGATTCATTATGTGTTGAAAATGGAATGATGGCCAATGAATATGATTTCCAAAAAGGGAGGGTGTCCATTAGACACTCCACCAAAAAGGATAAAACAAACACGAGAGCACGGGACAATCATTTTCTTTTAATAAAATCTCCATATCACCCTACACCATGTGCTCCATTCCTGTTATCGACTTTAGTCTGTTTACCTCTGATTCCAAAGAGTATGCGCGACAGATCTGCGAGGCTAGCAGAGATATTGGGTTCTTCTTTGTTAAGAACCATGGCATCTCACAAGACTTGATCGATCGCATGTTTAAATGCAGCGAGGATTTCTTTCAGAGGCCACTACAATGTAAGAACCGATATCTCATCAACTCAGAAACTAACCGAGATAATAACGGATACACTCCCTGGAAGTCTGAAAGGTAAAGTAAAGATAAAAATAAAAAAAGTCTAGCAATAATGCCAAGAAATCGGCTCGATTTTATAACAGCTCAAGCTTAGTTATTTGACAAGATTTCTTCTTGTCTTACTTCCTTTATTCTTGAATACTCTCCAAAGCCTGGACCTCCCGAATCAGACCCAAGGCGATTTGAAAGAGTAAGAGCTAATATAATGATTTATAATGGTTTGAGTTGATATTACACCATGAACGAGCATGGAAAGGAAAAAAAAAAAAAAAAAAAAAAGCAGAACATGTATCCTTGACACATGAATGTGTTCTTTATTTAGAGCTTACAATGTTGCCAGTAATTCGATCGATGCTGATTTAACAAAGTGCTTTTTTCAGGACAATGCGGTGGATTATGAGAAGTTCGTAACTTTCTTCAAGGTAAGATAGGCGGCAGCGACCAGCAATCAGCAATCAATTTTTTTTTTTTTTTTTTTTTGCATCGGATATAGAAGATGCTTCTGACATCTCATTACTATCAACTCTTCATGTCTCCTTGTCCTCAATAGGACCTCAATCGGCTCGCTAATAATATTATGCAGTGCTTTGCTATCGCATTGAAAATACCTGAAAGCGAGGGGGCCAGCATTTCTTTGACAAAAGTCATGGATCGGGCATTAGTTCTGTTGGAGGTTTTCGATCCTTATACTATCCTCTACATGAAAGTGACCCGAAATCGCTTCTGGCTGGAAGGTATGCTTATGGACACACATTTGGTAGATATTTTTTTGTTTTTGTATTGTTGTTTCATGTTATTAACGTTGTTTCACTTTTTATTTTAATTCTAGTCATACTGATTATTCCTCTCTTACCCTCTTGATGCAAAAAGACATCCCCGGCCTTGAAGTTCAACTTTCCAGGACTGATAAAGATGCGTCTTGGATATCAGTCCCTGTCATCCCTGGTACCATTCTGATCAACATAGGGGATCATGTCCAGATGTGGACCAATGGTTTTTTAAGGTCCACCAATCAGAGTCACATATAATCCTCAACAGCGTAATCGCTCACGTTACTCGATTGGCTATTTTGCTTCTGCCAGCGAGGACACCAAATTGGATCCTGTCCCTTCACCTCTCATCCCACAAGAAATGCGAGCTGAGGCTGTAGAGTTTGAGGAATGCCGAAATATGACTGCAGGAGAATACGTGAAATGGAGACTAGAGCGATCGTTCCGTCTCCATAAAGAGCGTTCTATGAATATCCAAACTAACAAGTAAAGATTGAAACATTAAGTGTCAGAAGACTTCTGGCATCAAATCCAAAAAACAAAATTCCATTTTTTTATTTTTTTATTTTTTATTTTTTATTTTTATTTTTTTGAACGTTTGCAACGAGCCTCCATACCATCACACTATGACCTCCATTCCTGTTATCGACTTTAGCCTATTTACTTCTGATCCCAAGGAGTGTGCACAGCAGATCTACGAGGCTAGTAGAAATGTTGGATTCTTCTATCTTAAGAACCATGGTGTCTCTCAGGACTCGATCAATCGCATGTTTAAATGCAGCAAGAGATTCTTTCAGGGGCCACTCCAAAGCAAGAATCGGTACCTTATGAAAGATAATATCTTTGGATATGCCCCCGTGAAATCTGAAAGGTAAAAGCGAAGGATAAGATTAAGAACCACACCTATTTTGTTTATTTGTAAGAGCTCAAGCTTACCTTGCTAATTTCTCCTCTTCTCTTTGGTATTTATCTAAAAAAAATTTTGAATGCGTACCATAGCCTGGATCCTGAGAGTCAATCTCGAGGTGACCTGAAAGAGTAAGAGGATATAAAACAATTTAATACAATGCCCTAAATTAATGCTTTATAGTAAAAGAATATTAAAAAAAAGGGAATGGCAAACGAACGTATGCTTTAATTAGATCTTTCGATATCATCAAACATTGGGGCAGATGTGAACCAATAAATTACTTTGCTCAAAGCGATACGATGGAGCAGAAGAGGATTGAGGCTTTCTACAAGGTAACATGCAAGTATATATATGTATGTATTTTTTTTTTTTTTTATAAAAAAAGTACTTTCGGCAACCAACTGACAATACTCTTTTCTCGCTTATTTTTGATTTCAATAGGATCTCCATAGCCTCGCTACATATGTTCTGCAATGTTTTGCCATCGCACTGAAAATACCTGAAAGCGCGGGAGGCAAGCACTTCTTTGATAAAAGTCATGAATGGGACCCTCCTTCGCATACCAATCTTCGATTCTTACACTACCCTCCGCAGGAAAGTGACCCAAGGACTCCTTTAGCTGGAAGGTAATTCTACGGACGCATCTATGGCAGACTTTTTTTATTTTTACAGCTTACTAATGCCGTCCCATTTTTTATTTTTTTTTATTTTTTTTTAATTTCTTTTCTTTTTTACTTTTCACTTTAATCCTTAGCCACACCGATTATGGTTCTATCACTCTTTTGTTGTAGAAGGATGTTGGTGGTCTTGAAATTCAAGCATCTAGAACTCATAAAGATGTACCTTGGATACCAGCACCTGTCATCCCTGGTGCCATTTTGGTCAACATTGGAGATCATCTCCAGATGTGGACCAATGGTTTACTAAAGTCCACCAAGCACAGGGTCACTTACGATCCTCAGCAGCATTATCGTTCACGATACTCAATTGCCTGCTTTATGAATGCCAACGACGACATCAGACTGGATCCTATTCCTTCACCTCTTATCACACAAGAAATGCGAGCTGAGGCTGTGGAGTATGAGGAGGGCCGAAACATGACTGCGGCGGAGTATGTGTCGTGGAGAATAAAACGTTCGCTTTAAGACCTAAGATCATTGTGGAGAATGTTGAGGTAGTTTATGTTTCAAAAATAAATAAAATAAAATAAAATAAAATAAAATAAAAGGAATTTGAAGTATCACTCAGAACCTTATTGCTCGGAGTATTATCATAGTGGAGGTACTTCGTATTTTTTTTTTTTTTTTTTTTTACCATGTCCTGCGCTACCTATCATTATTTGACGAACTTCAGCAGTGAGGCTTCGTACCATCGCGCTCATTCCTATACCATTAAAAACGTGTCTTGAATAAGTGACACCTCCAAATGTAAACCAGTAGCTTGTAAAAGCCCGCAGTGCACAAAGTCACTTCCAATCCTCAACAGTTTTATCACTCACGTTACTTGATCAGGTTTTACCTTAATCGTTCTCCCCTCGACATACAAGAGATGAGATCTGAAGCAGAGGTGGTTTGAGAAAGGATGAGGTATGAGCGTGGGAGAGAATTTGACATGGAGGCCATCGCGGATACACCATTATGACCAGAATCCTTGAGAACTGGAAGCAATAAAAAAAAATCATCCTTTCGAGCATAGACCCTGAATATAAAAGAACTGTATCCTTTAAGCGTTCACAACAAGTCTTCTCGGCATACCTCCACACATCCATACCATCATGCCATGAGCTCCAATCTTGTTATCGAATTTAGTCTCTTTACTTCTAATCCAAAGGAGTGTGCGCAGCAGATCTACGAGGCTAGTAGAAATGTTGGATTCTTCTATCTAAAGAACCATGGTGTCTCTCAGGACTCGATCAATCGCATGTTTAAATGCAGCAAGAGATTCTTTCAGAGACCACTCCAAAGCAAGGATCGGTATCTTATGAAAGATAATGTCTTTGGATATACTCCCGTGAAATTTGAAAGGTAAAGCAAAGGATAAGATTAAGAATTTACCTGGCAAATTTCCCCTCTTCGCTCTTCACTATTCATTTTTTAAGAAAAAAAAACCGAATACGTGTCATAGTCTGGACCCCGAGAGCCAGTATTAAGGCGACTTGGAAGAATAAGAGGATATATAACGATATGTATAATGCCCTGAATTAATGCTTTGTAGCAAAAGAACAACAAGAAAAAAAAAAAAAAAAAAAAAAAAAACATAAATGAGTCTATGCTTTAACTAGGTTTATGGCTTTTTCAGATATTCAATGGAAGGAGAACCGACAAGGTACTTTGGCCAAGGCGGAGTGGCAGAACAGAAGAGGATTAGCAATTTCTATATGGTAAGATACAAAGTAGAAATAGGTATCTCCATCCTTTTTATTTATATATAAAAAGTACTTCCAGCAACCTACTGACAATAACATTTCCTCGTTTCATTTGATTTCATTAGGATCTTCATGGCCCCACTAGGGATGTCCTATAATGCTTTCCGATCGCATTACAAGTGCTCGAGGGCGTAGGAGGCCGATATTTCTTTGACGAAGGCCGTAAATGGGGTGCTCAATCGGGCACCAACCTTCGATTCTTACATTATCCTCCACAGGACGGCGATCCTAAGACGTCTTTAGCTGGAAGGTAGGTATTAGGACGCGTAAATTACGAACCCGGATTTTTAATAACGCGCTATTCCTACTGAAATGTGTTACTACGATGTGTTACTACAATTAATTACTGTAATTTGTTACTGCAATTTGTAATAACAACCATGGTGTCTCTCAGGACTTGATCGACCACATATTTAGCTTCAGTGAGTGATCCTTTCAGCAGCCATTCGAAAGCAAGGATCGAGACCTCTTGAGGAATTAAATCTATGGATATTCTTTAATGCATGCTGAAAAGTAAACCTCGGATTATTATTAAGGAAAGCAGTGTATAGCTCAAAATGTGCTGACAGTTGTTCTCCACTTTTCACTTTTTTTTTTTTATTTTTATTATTTTTGTATACTCGTCAAAGCCTTGGTTCCGCGAGCCGTCTACAGCCTGATTTGAAAGAATATGGAGAGGTATAATGATCTATAATGACTAGTGATTTTTCAGTAACGAAAAAAAAAAGAGTTAAAGATAAATTTTGATATAAATGTGCGCTTTATTTAGAAGCAACAGTATTCCCAGACGTATAATCGCAGATGAGCCAATAAAATGCTTTTTTTCAAGGCGGTTTGGCAGAGCAGGAGAGATTCACCATTTTCTTCAAGGCAAAATAGAGAATAGCAATCAGCGTAATTTATTATTATTTTTATTGCAGTATTGTATCAGAAACATATAGAAGACATCCAGTAGCTTATTGACAGCATTGTTTTTATTATTGTTATTGTTATTATTATTTATTTCCTTTGCTTCCAATAGGGCCCGTCTCACCTCATTAGAGAGATCATGCAATGTTTTGCTATGCGCTGCAAATACCTGAGAGCGTGCAGGAGACCAACATTTCTTTGACAAAAGTCATCACTTCGAAGCTCCTTCACGTGCCAGTATCCAATTTATACACTACCCGCTACATGATTGTGATCCAAAAGCGCCTTTGTGTGGAAGGTAGCTTTGTGGACGTACATATGATTTTTTTTTCTATGACTTTTAGTGGCACATCTTTTTATTTATTTATATTTTCTCTTTTCATTTCATCCTAGCCACACTGACTATATCTCTGTCGCACTTTTGATACAGAGGGGCGTTGGTGATCTTGAAGCCCAAGTATCATTATCGTTCGCGTTACTCGACGGGCTATTTTCTTTTCGCCAATGCCGACATCAGGCTGGATTCTATCCCTTCACCTCTCAACACACAGGAAAAGAGAGCTGAGGCTGTGGAGTTTGAGGAAGGCTGAAATATGACTACAGGAGATTATATTATGTACAAAATAGTCCATCTTTTTTCTTTATGGACTTGGAAAGAATAAGTCATACCGATAAAAACCCATCGTAACTTTGTAGAGAATTGGCAAATGAATAACATTACGATGAGTTTCCTTGTCTAGCTTTCATGGAGAGTGAGAACATACATTTCCCTCGTGGCCTATTATTTCCCCTAAAAAAGTGTGTGGCTAGGAGGAAGACACTGTAGTCAAGACAAGAGCTACAATGCATAAGTATTTTGAAGTTAGTATAGAAGCGATTAAGAAGAGGCACGTCTGAAGCTTGTTTGTGCGACTATTTGCTAGGTTTGGCCGCAATCAAAGTCAATCTTGTCTCGATATGCGCTGTTTCAAGAAATGGAGATACAAACTGCCGCTTGCTTTAAGTCCTGAGATCCCGATCTAATCCCTTATTTGATTAAAATTTAGTCAATAACAAGTATCCTGTTGGATAAAACTTCTACAGTTAGATTTGGTTCTCTTGGCACAATACCAGAATAAGGCCCGACACTACTGATGTGTGTCCGTTACGAGGGAAGACACTCCTTAAAAATTGACACCGCTTAATATCAAGAATTAAAAGGCACAGCATTTTTTTTTTCTTTTTTTCTTTTTTTAATCATTCCATCCTAGTTCCACAATCATTTTATTGACGAACGCCCATAGCAAGCCTTTACAATATGGGGACTATTCCTGTTATCGATTTTAGTCTGTTTACCTCTGATCCCAAGGAATGTGCGCGGCAGATCGGTGAGGCTAGTAAAGACATTGGGTTCTTCTATATTAAGAACCATGGTGTCTGTCAAGACTTGATCGACCGCTTGTTCAGCTGTAGCGAGCGATTCTTCCAGCAACCACTCGAAAGCAAGAATCGATACCTCATGAAGGACTTATTCCATGGATATTCCCCAATAAATGCCGAAACGTAAAGCCTGGGACAATATTAAGAATCAATGTATTTCTGTAAAAAGCTTAGAGTAAACTGACAGTTCCCCTCACTCTCCTCTTTTATCTATTATATTTTTTCCTGAATACTTATCAAAGCTTGGATCTCGAGAATCAGCGTCAAGGTGATTTGAAAGAGTATGAATAGTCTACAATGGCTTTTAGTATCTCTTTTTTTTATAGTGAAAAAAAGAAAGTTAATTGTGTATTCTTGACATATGAACATGGTTTTTAATTAGAACTTTCGATATTATGAAGCATACAATGAATGAAGAGTCAACAAAGTACTTTGTTCAAGGTGACGTGGCAGAGCAGGAGAAGGTTGTCAATTTCTACAAGGTAAGATAGGAAGTATCAGTCAGCAATCGACGTATTTTATTATCATTATCCGTATTTTAATATTGCAGCAGCAACACATAGAAGTCACCCGACAGCTTATTGATAGTACTATTTTTTTTTTTTTTTTTTTTTTTCCCTTCGTTTTATTTGATACTAATAGACCCTCCATCGCCTCGCTAATAATATTCTGCAATGCTTTGCTATCGCATTGGAAATACCTGAAAGTGCGGGGGGCCGATATTTCTTTGACAATAGCCATCAATTGGAATCCCCTTGTCTCACTGATCTTCGGTTCCTACATTACCCTCCACAGAGTTGTGATCCAGAAACGCCTTTATGTGGAAGGTAACTTTGTGGGTGCATACGACAAACTTGGATTCTTATAACCCACTAATGCTGCTGCGAGTTCTTTTTTTTTTTTTTTTTTTTTTTTCCCGTCCTAGTCATACCGATTATGGCTCTGTCTCGCTTTTGATACAGAAGGATGTTGGTGGACTTGAAGTTCAAGCATCTAGAACTCATAAAGATGTACCTTGGATACCAGTGCCTGTAATCCCTAATGCCATTCTGGTTAACATCGGGGATCATCTCCAGATGTGGACTAATGGTTTGCTAAAGTCTACCAAGCACAGAGTTACTTATGATCCTCAGCAGCATTATCGTCCACGCTACTCGACCGGCTTTTTCCTTTTTGCCAATGCCGACACCAAGTTGGATCCTATTCCTTCACCCCTCATCACACAGGAAATGAGGGCTGAGGCTGTGGAGTTTGAGGAAGGCCGAAATATGACTGCAGGGGAGTATGTGGCATGGAGAATAAAGCGAACATACGCTTAGGATCATTGTATCAGATAGAATGCTAGGGCTTTTCACGCCCAATAAAAGAAAATAGGTCACTAGAGAGTATTATTGAGATTTGAAATGCATATGAGGATACATACATGACTGGGTGGGGTCTTACCCACTATCACTACCATTCCTTGACAGACTCTTACAGCAAACCCCTTACCATTACCTCCGTCCCTATTAGCAAATGAAGTCTACCTGCCTCGGGTCTGAAAGAGTGCGTACGACAAAATGATGATCCAAAGACGTCTTTAGCTGGAAGGTGGTTATGAAGGCGCATATATGACAGATTTGGTGTTTTAATAACGCGCTAATTCTACTACTGCAATGTGTTACAATCTTGAAAATTTTTCCTTCAAGTCTTCACTTATCATTTCTTGACGAACCCCCACAACATTTCTCCACATAATGACGTCCATCCCTGTTATCGACTTTAGTCTCTTTACTTCTCACCCCGAGGAGTGTGCACGACAGATTAATGATGCTAGCAAAGACATTGGATTCTTCTACGTTAAGAACCACGGTGTCTCTCAGAAGTCGATTGATCGCATGCTTAAATGCAGTGAGCGATTCTTTCAGCGACCACTCCAAAGCAAAAATCGATATCTCGTTGGGCCAAACATTACCGGATATGCTCCTATGAAGTCCGAAACGTAAAAGCTAGGACCGATATTGAGGGTCGCTAAAACTTTATAGCAGCACAAAGTTATCTGACAAAACTTCCTCTCTCTTCACCACCTTATCAAAGCTTAGATCCTGAGCATCAGACTCAAGGAGATTTGAAGGAGTATGGGGAGTATAATGATTTATATGGCCTTGAGTTACAGTAATATTTTATAATGAAAGAAAAGAAAAAAAATACTTTATTTAGATTGTGAAACCACCTGTGTCCACTCAGATGGACACAGCTGGACACAGCGGACACCAAGCCACAAAATATTTATATTTCGCTTCACAAATCTTTTTCCACAAGGAATTGTGAGGCGAAATAGAACAAAATCTTTTTATGGTAGAGACAGGGAAATAACAGAATTGTATATAGCAGTGTTAATGATTAAACATGACAGTTTTTATATTGATGAAGTATTCAATTACTTCTGCTATAATGCGTTGGTAGCCGAGTCGAGTCAAAAATGCTTTGATAGCGCTTTGATGGTGTTTTGTCTTGTTAATAATGTTGACGATAATGCTTTTTCCTGGATGATACTTATGCTAAACACCTTGGAAGATCACAAATTTCACGACAATGGATTGCTTGTACATTGTATTTTCTTAGCCTCTTTTGGCTCAAGGACGCAGCCAACAGTTTTCTGCCTCTTGTAGCTCAGTTCATGTCTTGGTATTTCCGACACCATCACTACTTTGTACTTTATTGCTTAAATTTATATCCGAGGATATATACATGTATATAAAAAAAAAATTTACTCTTATTCATCTACTCGTCCGCATCTTGGTGGCAGCCTTCGTCATTCCCGGTGT